TAATTCAGATTCACGATGCTCCCTCTCTCCTCCTTTGGAGCGCGTTTAATATCGGACGCGAGTTGGCAAGGTTTTCGGTGATTGATTTTCTCACACGTGAAATGCCTCGCTACCTAGCAAGCCAGCTAACTGGAACGGTATGTATATTATTATCTCTCTTTCTCTCGAAACTTTGCCCCATTGTGGCCATCAATCGAAACCCTAGAGGTGTGAGAAAAAACGGGGACATCTAACATGGGTCATGTTGGGAGCTCTGCTCTGTATCACCCAATCATCCACAGATCAACCAATGGCCCCAATATGCGCGCTGTTAATTCTTGGCTTATGGTGGGGGAGACATCATACATGTAGTGGATGATAGGTTCTATCCAGTCTGATCTTGGGACCAAACAAGCCTCCAACTATCCAGCCTCAAGGTGTGTAATTACGGCCCGAAAATCGTCATTTGCGCAATAAAAAAGCAAGTAAAGACCTATCCTGAATTACCATTGCCATCACCTCTACCTGAGAAGGAGAAACATCTGCCATCAGCATCACCATCAGCAGCAATTTCACAGGGGCGAATTAGTTAACCACGAGCTCGTTTCGTTTCGTTTCGTTTCCTTCACTAAATAACTGCCTGATTTAAGATTACCTTTCATGAGTGGGAAAAATAAAATTCAAATTCAAATATCAACGAAAGAATTCCGAATAAGAAACCTAACCAGCCCATCCACCGTGGGGGCCATTCTCTAAATCCTTCCACCTATCTAACTATACATCATCCAACTATAATAACAGCTAGAACTAACATACGGTGTTAATTTATTTCCCTCCCCCCTAAAGTGGGTACGGTAGATACAGAGGTAAAGTACCTAGGTAATTACAGCAGGGCGGTGGTCCGCCTCATGCACGCCCGCGTTTCTGGCAACTGTGATCCACACCGTCGGGAATCAGACGTCAGTTCTGTGACCTGGTGGGGGAGGGGAAGCTAGGGGTGGTTGGCAGCAGTAGCAAGAACAACAACATGCATGCATACGCCGCTATGGCCGCCTCCCGTCACGCCGAGATTTTTCCCTTAATTCATGTCCTGCCTGTGTCTGAGTGAACCATGGTAGATAGAATAAAATATTAATCAGGAGCTTTTTTGGCTTCTTAATTCAAATCTTGGTTGCGGCAGTTCCGTCATATACCTAGGTAGAGCAGCGGCGCCCCCTGAGTTGAAACTGAGCGTGTCTCCAGAGTGGCTTTGTAACTGATTCCTACACATTACCGCTACCTTTCTTTCTCCACATCTCCATTCAACTACCGCTACCGCTGCCTGCTTGCTTGTATACCCAGCATAGCCCCACGACCAAGGAGGTGGAAATCTCAATCTCCTCCGCGAAACAGCTATACACGAAACCCGCTAGCGATATAAGCTCTTCAGATAATTTAGTTAATTGGACCGAGAAGAAACAACCTCAAGCTAGCTAGAAGATAGCTACCACAAAGATTCCACCATCCGGAGGATACATGTACTTGAAATTATGAGAAGCCGGAAGTTGCTGGGACTGATCCATTATTGGCCACCTGATAGTATGGAATCTAAAATCCCCACACTTCCTTGGCCTTGTTATAGTATGCAGGGGCAACTGTAGTTCTATTCTAGTGGTCCTTATGAAAAATAATGCCTATTGTCCCAAACTAGAGTTGCACTAGTCACTCAGGGGCCATTAAACCTGATAGCCTATATGGATAAACTGTGTCATATACATATCCTCACAGGTGCTAGTCGAATTTTAGATAACTAGGAAAATTCATGTCATTCATTCACTGTGATTGCCTCCCATTCACTCTCAGCTCCAACAAGTATGTATGGTGGTATGAAGATCGAATATCACCTCCAAACTCGTTTTGATATACATGTCTGTCAGTGGCTATATCAATGCAGGGCCAACTGAAGCCTCTGAGGAATACGTGATTGAAATATTCGAATGTATAAGCAAACAAAAGAAATGGATAGTAGATGGAGCAGTAACGTTTGAGGTTAAACTTATATACTCACATGTATCCTAATTCCTCAAGACTTGTCATTTGTTTCGAAATATAAATTATGAGGCAAGCGAGCTTTGAATAAATTTAAGAACGCAAGAATATTCTTAGGCGGTGTGAGCAAGGTTCACGATCCACCTTCTTTCAACAAGAGGCAGTATATCAACTAGCGGCATGATGAGGTACAGAAAAGAAACGGCATTCTATAAGCATCACCATGCATAATGAGGTTATTCTATTCGTCATTCCCGCAAAATAATCTGCAAAATGATCAGTCGGAGTACATTATTAGGCCAATGACCTCAATTCGTTCTCCATACATTCCGAGTATTCCATACATACGTACATGTACATAATAACCACATATCCTCACATCCTCTCCGATGTTCTTCGTTCCCTCTACACATTTCGTCCCTGCAGTAAAAATTAGCTATTTCCAGTAATAACATACGAGAGGGTAACTTATCAAAAAAAAATGTACGAGTCGCCCCCGTAGGAACGACCCGGCCCAACTCTAACCAGCATCAACCTCAACATACCACCACTTCTACCTCCAGCCCTTCAATCTCACTCAACTCCACACCAGCCCCATCCAGAGAATAACCGAAAGGCAAAACGGACCAGTATGAACTGTCACATCGGGCGCGGGGGTCCAAGTGCCGCATGCCTCCCTGTCAAACTGAGAATAAAGACCGAGGAAATTAGAGTAGTGTGGAGAGAAGGACTGTTAGTTTTCGATGTGTAACATCGCTCGCTCTCCTCTGTTTAGTATGATCCAATCACCTTATCACCTGAGGTGGTAAAATCTCGGCCACTCTCATCAACGCTCTCGACGCTTGAATCTCGCAAGACGCCCATTCTCCTCTCGAATGCAGTCTGCATCCCTCTGACCCGAAGGAGAGGGAACCTTACCCCCGGCCGGATGGCAAGGGTCTCGTTCTCCGTGGTTGTTTGCTCAGCTCCCTTTGCTCCGTTTGTAGGTGGCAGAACTGTCTATACTGTTTTTTTTACTTTCTATTAATCCCCGTTTCCGAGGACTAATGCACGGGAAAAAGCAACAAAAAAAAAGCCGCGTAGTTTATCTCTGAGAGATAGTTTTAAATCAATGTGTGTCTTTCCTCCAAGGAGCTCCCCCAAGATACGTCCTCAGACTTATCTCAAAGTAATTCCAAGGAGGGGACATTCTCACAGTTGGCTGATCTTATCTCAAAATGAGAACTGGTCCTGATTTTAAACCAGTCCAGGTGGAGGGGACGAATGAGGTCATGTTCTAATGACCACTACACTGGAGCTTGATGATGCTGGCTGGTGATGATAGGTACCCATCATCGCCGTGATGATATGTAGTTACCCATCATCGCCAACGTACGCTGAAAGGATTGTGATCATGAGGTTTGGTATGCCTGCGGTCCCCATCAGGAGCCTAGCAACCCACGCTGATAATGACTATTGGGAGGGCTTCCGTATGTAAACCTGAAAGGTTCGCTGTACACCGCGTAGAGCTACATCTGCGTATGCATTGCCGGCAATTTGCCTTTCAGGTGAGTATGAAGCCACATCCCAATGTCCGTTTGTAAAGCATGGGTTGGCTTGCTAGGGAGGCCGACCCTCATGCACAATCCTAACGGTGCGTAACAAGCCTGGGGGGGGACGGCGTCAACGCACTACCAAACATCACCAAACTCCAATGACGTTCGTCACCGCGAAAATAACTCCGCAACCGACAGATTGTGGGGAAAAAGATCGCCCAACAAAGAGCGAATTACGGTAAAATTTACCTCCACAAGACGCATCCCCGAAGGAACGCCTAGAGCCGGTCTAGCAGAGCTCGACGAACCGCGAAACAATCTGTAACCCGCCTGGAAGAGCCCTATTCGACCCGACTGTGACACAAGTGATTGGGTAGTTAGGGTTAAGTTCCCGGTATGGGCGACGAGAACATCTCCCTATACGCACAACCCTAGCCTATTCTTTTTCCATTGACGACGACGGTCGGAAAGTGGTAGGTGGGTCTGCAGGAGCCATAACTTCTCTCAAGGACAACTTCCCCGCGCTGATACCGGGAGACTATGTGGTCGTTTGACTGCTAGAGATTTGTGTTTTGTCTCAAGGAGACGAGCAAAGGGAGCTAAAGCCAACGGACCAACGGAACTAAGGCACAGAGCAGCAAGACAAGTGGTATATGGGCAAAACGAAGGGGGAGAGATGATGAGAAGGATAGAAATAGTACCAGGCGATCTGACAAAAGGTACCAGTGACGAAAGGTTGGAGCAAATCGATGGTTGGGGGCAATCCAGTTATTGTGAGTTGGGTGAGGAAAGAAGGAAGAAGTCTGTGAGACGCGACGTTAAAGAAGTGGAGGCAAACGCGTGCCCCACGTCGTCTTGGCACTCTCAACCCACCCTAAATTTTCACCTTGTGGCTGGCATTTGCATTGTATGGTACGCCCAATCTTATATAACCTGGACAGTGAAAACAGGGTGCTCTGCAGAGTATTACGCTGTGAATTCTCCCACTGGCATTCTTTTTAACTCTATCCTGTCGATTTATATGGCGACTAATATATCGTTATGCCATACTCGGGCGTTCATTAAATGGTCGATATCGTTGCAACCAAATCCCTACTAAGAATTCCGACCATTTAATGAACGCATGGGTATATCTACATAAAAATGATTTACAGCTAAGCAATTCGTGGCTGATAACTACACCCTGTGTTATGTTGCAACCTGACCCCTGCCCAACTCAAAATCATGGGATCGATTTACGCAGATGCGGGGACGTGCACAAGCCACTCTCGCACCCCGCCATCATTTTGTTGCATCGCGAACTGAAATTTATTTTTGGCCGGATAGGTTCTATGCAACTATCCTACAATACTCCACCACTCGCGGTTGCAGCTCACGGTGCTACCTCTCCATCCACGGACACCAACGTACCTCACAATCCTCTATTGTTGATTTTTTCTATTTCCAAGAGATCACCCGATGGATGCCCACCAGCCTGCTGAGCCCAACGTACCCGTATGGTACATTGGTCACCATCTTCCCACCCCAAATGTTGGAATAAATATCGGCACACTCGAGGAAGAAATCAGCAATGGCGTAAATCTCCCCCCAAAAGAAAAAAATAATAATTCTTCACTTGCGCTGGCAGATCTCTAATTACTATGTAAGCATATTAGTATGATATGATAACAACCTACATAACAAATGCCAACTTCCGCGCCCGTATTGAGCAAGCCACGTCCGGCGCTCATGCAGACAATAAAGCCCACCTTTACATCCCCTCTCTCGACGCTGAGGAAGTCAATATTCACCCCGGCGAACACATCCCCCAGGTGATTGCCTTTACGTCCTCATGGATTGACTTGGACTCTGAAGATCCTTTGTTCGCCCATGTTTCTCGACAAGTTCTAGCGCACGAGTTAGAATATGCTGCGTTTTGCGGCGTAAGCACAGTAGTCATTGAGGGGCCAAAAAGGAAGACAAATGTTGCGCAATATGCGCAGATCATACACACGACATTGTTGAAGGGATCATATACACAGATTCATGTTCACCTCCCTATGACAGAGGAGGAAGGAGTTGCGACGAATAATGGGGAAATATATGACGAATTTTCTATGTGGGATGTATGGAACACGATTCGAACAGTGTGCAAATACAATGCAAGACTGTCTCTTGGTACTTATCCCACTCCCCCGAATTATGCTGCCAGTCATTAACCTCAAGCTTCAGCACTCCGCATTCCTGCTGTACTACCCTCCCGTCATCTTGTGAATCGTTGGTTCGCCGAACCTATCCGCACTCTCCTTATCCCCTCATCCACATTCTGCCCCAACCCCAAAGGCTATCCCACTTTCTCAACTGCACATCAAGGCCTGCTTACCCGTTACATGAAGCTTCGCCCTGTACCGTACATCCTCATCTCCGACACACATGTTGAGCCTACACCTGTAGTTGCTGCTGGCTCTGGATCCCGCTCAAAGCCAAGATACGAACCCCTCGGGTACTTGGTATATCTTCGTCATCTCCAGAAGAACCAGCCTCCGCAATCAACTGTTGAAAGGTTCGGGGCAGGATACCAGGACTACCTTCAGGCGCCACTCCAACCACTAGCCGATAATCTCGAGAGTATTACCTATGAGGTGTTTGAGAAAGACCCCGTTAAGTACGACCAGTACGAGAAAGCGATCAAGGCGGCATTGGATGTGAGAGATCCCAACGAGACAATGTAGGTTTCCCCAACTCATTTTTTCCGGACCTTTCGATCATTTCCCTTTAGCCCTATTTTGGTTTATCCCATGCTCAGGATCTGCTGAGATAATCTCCCTGGTTACGCTAATTCGACTGACAGTATCGTCGCCGTCACTGGAGCCGGCCGAGGACCCCTCGTTTCCCGAGCCCTTCGAGCTTCAAAATCGGCTAACCGCAGCATTAAGCTGATTGCAGTTGAAAAGAACCCTAATGCCTACGTGCATCTCCTGCGGCACAACCGCGATACATGGGCTGGACAGGTCACTGTGGTGAAGAGTGATATGCGCAGCTGGAACCCTCCATTCAAGGTGGATATCATCGTCAGCGAGCTTTTAGGGAGCTTCGGTGACAATGAGCTTAGTCCAGAGTGTTTAGATGGTGTGCAGAGGGTATTGAATCGTATGTTTATTTTTTGAATCCACGTAACGAGTGGGGAGGTTCACTGATGATACTACCAATCTCACTAGCTAATGGCGGTATCTCCATTCCCGCATCATACTCGGCACACTACACGCCTATCATGGCTCCTAAGATTCACGCCGACATCCTCTCACGGCGATCTGACCCGGATGCCCCAGAAACTCCATACGTAGTGATGCTACAAGCCATTGAATCACTCGCTGAAAATGAGTACATCCACCGGGCCTGGGATTTCCATCATCCGCTTCCCGCCAACACCATGTCCGAGGCGGCCGCACTAGGTGGTGGCTTTATCGGGCTCGGCGACGGTGGCAATGACCACAACATAAGGAAGTCAAAGGCCACCTTCAAGATTCCCCGAAGGGGAGTGGTGCATGGGTTGGCTGGATACTTCGAGAGTGTCCTGTTTGGGGACGTAGAGTTGAGCACCAGGCCGGATACGATCGATGCGAAGAGTAAGGATATGATTAGTTGGTTCCCGATATTCTTTCCGTTGAAGGTACGTAATGGGAATTCAGATTTTTTTTTTTCTCCCCTTCGTTTCCTCTCTCTATCTACCTTTTTTCATTCTTCCCTGCAAATCCCAGATGGTGCAGATATATATATTTATAGAACCACCCACTACCACCCTCCCCCTGGTCGGTATGGCACTGATGTGGTGTGCGCGCACTGCACTGCACTGGCTGGGATCCTTGTTTTCTTGATTACTCTCCACAAAAATGAGGGGAAGCGAGCGATAGAGTAGATACACATGCATGCATTCTGATCTATTGTTTATCGAACTCGCTTCTTGCATACTCTAGGGTGAGAGGGGAGTGTTAGTAGGGAGTAGTAGCAGGGAGTGGAGGGCTGTCCGGTGTATCACACCGCATGTAGCCGAATCACTGGATGGGATGAACTCATCACTAACAAACCCGCAGACACCGGTGCAGCTTCCTGACGATTCCGAGGTCGACGTGACGATCTGGCGAGAGACTAGTGAGCGAAAGGTTTGGTATGAGTGGAGCGTGGAGGCTTTCACCAAGGGGAGTCGGGGGCAGAGGTTCAGGGTTGGGGTCACAGAATTGCACTCTAGCAAGAAGAATGGATGCTTGATGTGAGCTTGGTCTAATGCCGGAAAAGCGGGCGAAGGTGCGGGAAAGAGTCTAAAAAACCCATACCACTCAGCGCAATTTTGTTCATATCCTTCTATGGATTCATTTGGGAAAACCTGTCCTTTTTTTGGAAACTAATTCTTTTTCTCTATACTTTTTGCACAGACTGGTGATCACAAAAATAAAAAATAAAGTGAAGAGAAACAAAAATAAGCGGTAAGATATGTAAATAAATGATTTGAGTATCGTAAGGTAAGCAATTGTAGGCTCTGCTTACCAAATTGACAACAATTGAAATTCTCATCGGAGTCAGCCGATGCTCTCTTTCACTTCTCTGTCTCCTTTAGTCTTCATTACCTCTTCACACAGACGTTCTTCAAGGATCAACTTTCCCACCCCCCGGCATATAAGACTGTAGAGTAAATGATTAGTCTTACAACGGACGGCTTCATTCTCCGGCTTATTAGGTGAGAAAAATTCTCCGGGCAAGGGCTTATCGGCTGTTTATCGTTGTTGCGCGCGCCGGGATCGGAAAATATCGACATATGAGACAAGCCAAGTGCAATTTTTTTCTTTTCCCCTTTGTCAACGGTAAACCGGGTGGTAAAGATTTTAATCTACATACATACTTACAGTCGCAACTCGATATGCCGGATTGCCAAGATTCGAAGGATTTCATACGGGATAGCAAAAAATCCGGGATAGCAAATTGATTTTGCAGTAAAAAAAACCAAAACCCCAGAGGATTTCGTACGGGATAGCAAGGGACCCGGCGTATTGAGATCCGGCATATCGAGTTGTGACTGTCCTTTACTTCACCTAGGCACATATAGATAACTCTGCGGTCAGGTCTGCTGCTTCTTGCTGCTGTTCGTTCTCGAAGTAAATAAGGAAACTAAAGTTTTGAATCGGTCCAAGGCCCACATCCCTGCTTTAAGCCTCGAACGAACCCTACAGTACTCCTCAAACTACCCCTACCCTACATACCCTACACTCTCTTAGCAACCGACCAATCTTGTCCCATTCCCTCACCGCACCACCCACCACCCGGACCCAGGTCACAGCCCAATCGCCGCACCTCCGCCCCGCCATGACCTCGAACCCCACCACCGCCCTACAGCTACGCCACCTTTGGGCCGCTTCGCACCTCCTCGCCACTACCTCCCCCTCGGTATCGGCACACCTCGCAACCCGTTTACTGCACATCTCGTCCGAAAAGGGGATCAACCTGCCAGACAGTGTCGAGCGAAGCGTCTGTAATGCCTGCGGCACGGTGGCGGTTTGGGGTATCAATTCCCATGTGAGCAAACAGAGGAAAGGGAAGGACAAGGCGATGATGGTGTTTGAATGCCAGATGTGTGGCAGGAGTCGCGCGTCTGCTGTTCCCCTGGCAAAGAGAAGGAGGGGCAGCAGGGCCAGGAAGTCAAAGCTTAAGGCTGCAGTCACAATTGCAGCTCCTCCTCCTCCTACAAAAGCCGATGCGAAAGCTGAGGTTGGCGTGGTCCAATCATCGGGGAAGGCTGCTGGGGCCCAATCGTTGGCAAACGCCAACAGTCGTAAACGGGCAAAGTCACGGAAGGGGAATAGTCTCTCGGAGATATTGAAGGCGAAGAAGCAACAACAGCAGGCTAGTAGTGGAGGAGGCTTTGGATTGGATCTTATGGATTTGATGAAGACGGGGTAGTTAAAGTAGATAGATAGAAATGTTTGGTGATATCATTTTTACCGTCTGATTTTTCTTTTTATGGTGATGTTTCGCGAGGCCTTTTTTTTCCTTGTACCTGTGTCTGTGTGCCTGGCTGTTACTAGTTATGTCTCATATTTCGTGATGTCTGTCTGCCTAACTAGCTCCATATAGATTTGATGTGCAGCGCAGTCCCTAGAGTAGGGTAGAATCGATATATCACTCGCACCTTTAATCTAAATATATAGAGTACGAGAAAAGGGCCCAGATCTGGATCTCCATGGCAATATGGCACGGCGAATCCGGTCAACGGGAACGGATTTGATGAAACTCCACCGTGCACGGGTTTTGTAATGATAGATAACAGATACCTCAGCAGTCATCAGCTAGGATGGGTTCCTCAATCTAGTATATCTTCCTTTGTTTGAGGTTGTCTAAAGGTTGAGATATGATATTGGATGAACTGGCGGTATACGAAACGTTAACGTCTTGGAGAATTGACTGGAGACCAAGAAGTCGGTCAGCATTTGGAAGGTTTTGGCGGTTTCTGGTGCATGTGAATTAATAATAGTGATATAGAGAGTCTGGTCACGGCATCTGGTCACGGCAAGACACTCTAGGCCATAATAAATTAAGGAGAACAGATAGTATTAATGGTACCGTTCTTATAACAGTCATTATGTGGTCTCAATTACGGTTATAACCTTCATTGGTAAACTTAATCTGAGAGTAGGAACGGGCCACCTTTATCAAAGAATCACACATGCGTTTCTGGAGACGGGTTCTGTTTGATATATACGTAAGTAATCAAGCAATACCCTGGGTCGTCCACTCGTATCTTCAGGTTTTTCAATATCGTTATTACCAGGTATCCATACACCGAATGGTGAAGTACTGAATTATCAAACACTCTAGATCTATCGTGTAGAGTAGGTATATCGTGCCACCGGGAACAAACTGTCAAATCCCATCACTGTAGCTAATTGCTCTGCATGACCCTATCTAAGTAGCCGCATGTATGTATGTAGAGTACCTACATGTCTACTTATCTATACTCTACTGAGTCTACTCTACACTTAGAGCGCTCGCCCGAAATCCGATGAAACCCCGGTTCGGCATTCGGCCCACCAGCTCCAATTCTCCGAAGTCCGACCGAGCAACCGCCGACTGACGACAACTATAACTAGCTCTCCCCCTTCAATTACGGACTTCGCGGCCCTAGCAAGAAATATAAATGCACGTTTGTCACACAACGGGCCCTGCAGTGGAGAATAGAAAGAAGCCTTCAAGGCAGAATACGCACATGTACCGTACCTAGGCATGCTCATCTCGTAACAAAACACTAGGGTCCCTTGCTGAGGTTATTTACACATGATAGAAAACTACCTACACCAAGGCCTAGGTACAATAGAGTACATGACGGAGATCACTCATGAGGAAGAAGAAAAAGAAAAACGATGATGATGCGGTGTTTAGCTGCATGATGATGACCGGAGGATCAAATAAGTGCTTATTTAATGCGTATGATTATCATGCGTTTCCTTCCCTTTTTTTTTCTTCTTTTCTTTCACTTTCATGTGTGGTGCGGTTATCGTCGCTATTAATTATCGCAGGCTGGTGTTAATTGTAGCACTGCATTCGAATCTCACTCACGCTATCTACTACCACGTTAGCTTTCTGCGGGGAAAGGAAAAGTAAAGCAAAAAAAAAAAAGAAGATTCGAAAGGAAACAAGCAAACAAGTTTTCCAGAACCCACGATCATTCTCCTGCAGTGTGGTCTGGCCTTGATCCGATATGTGCGGTTCTACATCTCCCCCCCCTCCCTGTTCGCTGCGGTGCGACGCATCGTCTATATCTGTAGCTGGCTAGTGGGCTACAAGAGCTTAATATTCGATACCTAATGGTAGAGTAATAACAATTACTTCGCTGCATCAAGTCATATTTTCCCGCAACCCTTCTTAAATTCTCCCCCTCCCTTAATTCCCATCGTCCGGTCAGCAAGCAAGCAACGCACACACCTCACCTACGGGTATCCGAGACATAACTAAGTTGTTCCTTGCAGCTACTAGCTACATCCACATTTCAAAAGTACAAGTACGCACACATCGCAAACCATTTCTTGCTCTCTCTCCGCGTTGCCATGCCGGGGGAATATCGCACGGGGGGGTAGTCGGGATTACCGCCCGCGACTCTTCTTTTATTCTACATACACAAAAAAGAAAAAAGGAAATCTGTGACCTGGAGCGAATTATGCGGCCGGATCCGGCTTGAAGAAAAATAAGTTTTCTTGGACAAACGCGGGGCAAGATCGTGGATCTCTGGGGAAGTGCTCCTAGCTAAGCTACATAAGGGGGGGGGGGGGGTAAACAATCAGGGGTTGTCATGATCAGTAGCCGCGGTTTGGGTAAACATGCCTCCCTCCCTCCCTCCCTCCCTCCCCCGCGTTATGTATGTGTCCACTCTGGGACATAGAGCACTCGATCGCTATGTATCCAGCAGCCAGCTAGAACAACAATCATAAAAGCTAGCTATGTTTTTAATTAGCCAATTGTGAATTTCCATGCCAGGCGCTCTACTCACCGCCAGGTACACTGCTCAGCGAGTAAAATACAGCTGAAAGTTTATCTACTCGAAACCAGGGCAGTGCGGTTTTGTAGCCGGCACTAGGTTTCCGGCTGGTCGTGGTGATGCAGCGACCAATCAGATTGCAATAGTGGTTTGCCATTGAAGAGTCCTAGGTGTACATAGATCGGTGTTTATTTTAAGCTTAACATATTTTTGACGTCATTTCATCGAGTGGTATGCTTGTTTGGTCACGTACTGGATGGCGACTGAGAGAAGTTGGGTGGTTGTTTGGTGGTAGGCGGTATGAGGTTTTCTTGGGTGTTTGTGCTTACGCGGAGTTGTAGTATACCTAGCTAGGACGTATCGCTTTGATACGACGATAAAGCCTAAGTGTAATTTAAGTAACTCCTAAATCGAGGTACTAATTATCCTAATGAGTGATAAGGGTATGAAGTAAGAATGAGACCGAGAAGTCACAAAACACCAACTGTCACCATGAAAACAGACCGGGAGTCGTAGCAACCTAAACCTAGGGCCGCATGTCCTTTATTTGTTTAAGGATCCAACTGGAATAGGCGAAACAGCATAGTGTAGATACAATGTCTTTCTTTTAGACTATTAATTTGAACTGTTGGGGTCCAAAAACTAGAATCGGCAATTACCGAGTGAGTCATGGTGATTCAATCTTTGTTTGGGTTGGTGTGTTAAAATACATTTTTACGAAACATGGTGATAGAGGCTACGGAATATGTTGGGATAATAATATCGGCGGTATATCGTATTTGGGGACTGTTGTTTTATTTCGGACGGAATGCTTTCAGTCATCCGCAGAAATACATGTAGTCACTCACCACGTTTTTATCAATCCTTAGAGATATTGAGTAGTGCGCTCATATTGTACGTTCAGTAATGCCGAGCTTGTTTGTGTATCTATCTCAATGGATACAATAAAAATCAACGAGATATTTATCTCAGATCAGACAAAACATATTTCTTGTAATCCTTAGGAATAATTATAGTTATCACCATGAATACCCGCTGTAGCGTTGTCCTCAAACCAGGAGCAGAGGGATATTACTTTGTCGTATCGTTTTAGAAATGTGAAGCTACTCTCTTCCTATGAAAGTCTTCCCTATATCCGTGCTCATGCTTGCACGTCGAGGGGAAGGTTGGTCCGAAAAACGCAAATATTCCGCCCACGGAATGGAGTGGGTAACACCATAAACGTAATTAGAATCTCCCAAATCTTCAAAGAGAAAGTAATCCCCTCATAACAATAAAATACAAAAGCACAACCGCCCCGCTATGTAGGATCGTCGACCAGTGTAGTATAGTGCCCAAATCCATGACATACATCAATAAATCTGTAAGATCCGCTGATAGCTATATATACTATACTAACTGTTAACCTAAGTCACGTATGCTCCAAGGTAAAATACCACAGCTAGAGTACAAGAGAGTAACGATATCAGGGGGAAACCCTGATAAACCACTGTTATAAACCCTCGTCGGCTGGGAGGGTTTGAGCCTTCTATCAATGGAGTCGACATTAGTGCTTACGGCCAAGATTCATTCCTAGATGTGATCGGAAGGATAAAATATGTAGAGGTGTTTTGGGTCTCCATTGGCCAGCCATGTTGTTCATCGTCCATCTGTTATTCCTCTTGTCTTCCTATTGTATTAGTCTCAAGACATGCTCAAGAACTATACTTCGCATACATACCTACCAAGCTTGGGTCTATGGTAGCTGAAAGACCGTATATCAATCTGAAAGTCCAAACTCCAGAGACATAAACCGAAAGGGCCCCTACCACGCGCTAGTCGTGTATGAGGAAAAACCAAGAGCAAGAAATACGATGGCGGCTATGGATTAGGAGTCGTGATGATTATATAGATGTAACAAGTTCCATCTTGCTTCTGTTTCTGTTCTGGAGCCATGATTCGATAGCCTCACATTGCCCAGAGCCGAAGTAGCGCCTTGGATCCTGTACCCAAGACCTGCAGCTGAGGTAATAGAAAAATGGAGGGGGGGAGAGGGGACGGCGCTGCATTATCCTTCATGGCCTCCATGAGGGGGTGGGGGTGCTTGACGCATTCCAATACCCTCTGGTAAGGAGTCAGTCCGCACTAGCAATAGCCTGCGACTGCACAAGGCCGCTATAGATGCCGGTGTCTCCACTTCGTAGGGGGCACTGACCGCCGGGGGGAAATCGATGGCTACTTCAACCAGAGTAAAATATTGAGGGGGCGGAGGGGGTGGAACGGGCGCTCTCTGTCCTGGCTTTTACTTTACAGACAGCTTCTATAATCAACAGTAGGCCTAGGTTCGGAGGGGGCTCTGGGATTTTGAAATTCTTGTCGGCTCTTATGATGCTTGTCGGCCTGGGACCAGGTGGGGGGCGAGGTGGGATACACGATAACATTGAAGCTTTGTTATCTTGCTAAAGCATGATGATGGTGGTGTATCATACTTTTGTAGTTTGTGGCGGTTTGGGGCACTGTTCGGTGTGGCGGGGTATGATATGGTGGGGTGTGTCGGTGGTGGGATGTTGGCTCATGTGATTTGGTTCATGTGATATCACTCGAAGGTCTCAAACAGGCCCCCCCCCGCTAGTGGTCACCCACAAATGCTCAAATATTTGTGGTCTATGCTCATATACAGCTTGAATCGGGTATAGGTGTTGACTACATAGACACTCAGGCATGCTAAACTCATCTCACATACATGTAGTCTCTGCTCACCAGATTGCAAAACCAACTATCCTACTTATCCTTAAATCCGCCACTTCTACAACATCTACCCGTCATGACAACATACCCGGGATACACCACCGCACGGCCAATCACACATACAGCCAGCATTGCTCCTCGGTGTCTTGAACACCGCAGCCCCACAGAGCAAAGTCTAAACTTGAGCCTGACAATATACACTTTTTCATTTCTAAGGATAAATTGAGAGGATCTACAAATAAGAAAGAAAAGAAAGAAAAGAAAGAAAGAAAGAAAGAAAAAATATTAAATCATTCGAACCCAAGGCCTCTCTGCTGTCGTCATAAGTTTCCTAAATCAGGGTGCATAGATCACCACTATATATGCTAACAGAGCTTGAAAATCTGCCTGCTGGGGGGGAGATGATAAGCTCTAGTAGCAGTAGCAAAGAATGAATGAATGGCTTAAGCTAGCTTGAGTTTTTCTAGTATTAGCTTGAACTTGAGTTGGCTTGAGCCCGTAAAAAGCAGAGCCCGAAGCACCCGAGCCAGCCCGGCTCGTGCCCAACACTACTCACCCCCGATGCAGGCCGGCATGTTCCCCTCCCTCCCCTCCCTCCCCTCCCCCCCCCCTCCCTCCTTCCAGTGAGACTAGAGGACACTCTACACCCACCCCAACCGCACCACCCCGGGGTTCCGAGGTTTGGTTCTTGGCCCTTATGAACCCGTCAAACCGTCTCCTCTGTCTGCACCTGCGCCTCATGATCAAGGCAGAGTAGTATACAGCACGTGCTGGGGGGCTCTGTCTTCTCTCTACATAGGTGTAAGATCATGTAGCTACTGGCAGGGAACCAAGAGAGTGAGTGGTTATGCTTTAAACCCACTGTTCCATCCTCTCTACCTCTACCCGCTCATGGGTGGTACGTGTGGGTCAAGTGTGTGCTGGAGGAAGAGTTAACGTTACTGGCGCTGATGTGTAGTATGTTGGGTGAGGGGTCGCGGGGCTCCTAGTTGGATCACTATTTATAGCCTCTAGCACTATGCTGCAAACTCACTCTAGGTGATTCATAAAAATCCTGTCGCGCTATCCCGCCCGTACTGCTTCCAGACCCGCAGACCCCGGGTGGAAGATTACAATCACAGATTATCACTCGGCGTCTTTAAGTCCCATAAAAATCATAATCAACACTGCGCAACCATGAAACGAACAAGCTCCTATAGAGTCTCCGAGATTTATTCGTCTTGTTGGGGCTATGTGTATGGGAGTATAAAAAATAATCATAAATAAACAAGAGGACTAAACACTGCATGTATAGCTATCCATGTATACCCCCCTCTACCCTCTACCCTCCACCCTCCACCCTGTCCACCTTCTACACACTACAACCCTACCGCATCACAGCCCTCCTAACCCTCCCACTCCTCCTCGCCCCCTCCACTACCACAGCCCCCGCCGCCGCCGCCTCACGATCAACCTGCAAAAACACCTCCTGCTGCGGCACACTCGGCACCTCTTCATTCTCGTCGTCGCTGACCAGTGGCGGCGAACTCAGGTCTGATTCTTCTGCATCTGCATCTACAGCGGGTGCGGGTGCGGGTGCTGGTGCTGGTGCTTTCTTTGTGGGGCGTTTTTTTTTGGTTGTGGCCTCTGTTGCTGTTGTTGTTGGTGGCGGTGGTGGTTTCTGGCGTTTTGGGTGTGGTTTTGTGGCTTCTGGGGCGGCTTCTGGGGGTGGGTTTGCGGGTTTGGGCTTTCGGGGTGCGGATTTCTTTTTTGGCGGTGGTGGTGCTTCGGCTTCTTCTCCGTCTCCTTCAGGCTCTGGCCGCTCTACTTTCGGCCTCCTCGCCGCCCTCTTTTTCGGCGGCGGCGGTTTCTCGCCCCCCTCTGCATAAGCAGCGTCCTCATCCCCGTCTTCATCCTTCACCCCCTTCTTCGCCCTCCCCCTCTTCACAGGACTCAACCAATGCTCGCACCCCTCCGGCCAATACACTCTCCCCTCACTCCCCCCCATCGCCACCTCCCCCTCCTCCACGCCATCCTCATCCCCCCTCACATGCGGCACCACCTCCGCCACCACGCCACCCCCCGGCCCGATCCCAAACTTGCGGTACAGCTCAAACACCGCCTGCTCCTTGTCCTTCGCCTCGATCATCAGGTCCATGTCCTCCGCGCACGGCGGCAGCCCATACACGCGCTTCGAGTGCTTGCGCATGTCGCGGTCCGTCAGCGCCTCCGGGCGCGGCTCGGAGTAGTGCTGCTTCTGTGTGATTCCTTTGTTAGTCCATGTTGCGGCGATGGCGGGGAGCGTGGGGAGCAGGTCGAGGCTGCCTTCGCGGAGGTTGGGGGAGTGGCGGATGTTGTGGTGGTGCCAGTCGAGGACGAGCGGGATGGAGAGGTCCTGGCAGAGGGGGAGGAGGTCGTGCACTGTGTAGTTCTGTCGGTGGGTTTGTTAGTGGGGGTGGTGGGAAGGGGAAGAGGGGACGTACGACGTCGTCGTTTTCAAGCACAAGGCGTGCCTTGACGGCCGGTGAGAGGGTAGCGTAGTTCGTGCGGAAGCGGGCGAGCGTGGCGTCTTTATCGCCAAACACCCCACCCATATGCAGTATCATAACCGCATCCCTATCCGCCTGTCCCTCCAGCCCCAGCAGCCCCAGCAGCTCCGCATGATACTCCAAGTCCCTCACCGATGCCTCAACAACGTTCCTCTTCGGGCTCGCAATCTGCGTGAACTGGCCCGGATGCGTCGTGAGCCTATGGCCGTACTGCATGGCCAGCGCGCCGGCCTCCCGGAGCGCGGGGCCCGCAAAGGTGAGGGGGTAGCCGTACACGGGGTGGCTGGCGAACGGGAACATCTCGCTGGAGATGCGCAGGAAGCGGATGTTGTAGCGCTCGTTCCAGCGGATCATCTTTGAGAGGTCGCGAGCGTTGGCGAGGCCGAGGGATTCGATGTAGGATTTGCCGGCGGCGGGGGTGCCTTGCTTGAGGATTGTGTCGATGCGGCAGGTGCGGGAGCAGAAGATGGGGGGCGTTGCGCTGCGGAGGTAGGTGTTCAGGCAGGCCTAATAGTGCGGTGTCTGTTAGCTCTCTGCGAGGGGGAGGGGGTGGGGGGGTGGAGCAGGTAAGAGCAGGCGAAGTACATAGCCAATCCGCCCTTTCCACGGCAGTGGGAGATGCGTGCTATTGACCTGTGGCTCGCGCGTGATCATTGTGCCGTCTTTATTCATTGTCTTTATGAACGTCTTGCGATCAATCGCCGGCTTCTGCTTCTTCTTCTTCGGCGCGGGTTTGTCCGACTTCTGCGAGGCCCTTTTACCTTTCCCTTTTGTAGTTTTAGTAGCAGTGGCAGGCTCTGGATCAAACTCATCAGACCCCTCCTCTTCCTCTTCGGGTGCAAACTCGTCTCCAATATGCTCCTGTTCCTCGGACGTCGTAGAGCCTTCGGGCAGTGCGGCGAGAGTCGCCATGCTTGCCTCTGCCTTGATGACTGCTGCGCGCTTGCGCTTCGTCATTGTGGGCGCGGGACGAGGGGGCGGTGGGAAGAAGGGTTTATGTAGCGTGGTGGTAGAGGCAATTGATAGACACCTTGTTGACCTTATAGTTGTGGTTGTGGTATTAATAGTGAGAAGCTTAAGGGTCTGTATCCTCAGCATGCAGTGAGTGTAATTGATGTATCTGAGAGGAGGGTCCGGTCTTCAGATCGGGGTGTGTGTGTGTTCTTTTATGGTGCATCTTGTTACAAGTTCCACTTTACAGACCTGGTTTTGTTGTCGTGTGTGGCGGCGGGCCTCCGAGATGCACGGATGCAGGGTTGCTGTGTGTGAGATTCGCGGGTGGTGGCACAAGATCTGCCCATCGGGAAGCTTATTACGTCGTCATGGCCTGGTCGGTCGGGATAAGGCATGAGCTGCGGGGAGGATATCTCAGCACGGGATCTGCATGCCTTGTCTTGTTCCACTGGACTACTCTCCTGGGGGCAGATGATTAGAGGTGTTCAAATACAGTACTCCAGCATTTAAGGTCTCTTCAGGTGTCTCTTACCTATTTGGACGGACCAGTTTGCAGTGCGCAGCCGTGCTGGGCAATACACAGATCGTTCCTGGTATTACGATAGCGTTTGATGGTTCACAGGTTATCACTCGATCTTGGCACTGTCTTGGTGAGGGGGTGTGGGGTCGGGGTTCAGGCTGTTGGTGGTCGATATCTCGTTATCTGAGGTCTGAAGATTTCTCAAAAAGATGGCCCAGACTCTCTTGCTCGAATGAAGAAAAGACTAACACCGATTGCTGTCAGTCTCTTCGTCTTAAACCCTTCAATAAACACGTGACGCATACCCACACATACATATGTACATACCGGATACAGCAGCTACACAGCCAGCGAACTTCTATGCACTGATATGCGAGCTTATACTTCTTTTTTATATTTATATATAGGCAGAGACATGTCGAGTGATCGGCCGTGACTGGATGAATAGTGCCACTGCAGCAAGTGGTTCAACCCTGCAGACGGATATCTCAACGTCGGCAAAAATGTTGGTTTTCAACGAAAGGAGGGCTGCATAGTCGACCTACAGCGTGGGTGTGACTTTTTACTTCACTGATAGGTAGTGGTGATAGCAACTGCTTCGGCGGCGTTGTCTTCTGTGTCGGTGATATGGCAGCCGATAAATCCTCGTCATTTGCAAATATGGCCATAGTTATTCTACGTGATTCTGCCTAGAAGAGCTGTATCAGATCCCCTTAAGATCTTCAATCTAGATCTAGTTCCTTTCTGTCAGCAAGTATTGCTATCCAGCCGGAATGTTGTGGCATTAGTATTGATATATGACACGCGCAGAAATTGACTGGATAAGCCAATTGTGCATATACAAACCTTTCGAAAACGGGGAATCATCACTACCAAATTATAAACCATCACACATTTTAGGGGAAGATATCTCAAGCTGAGCCCCTTGAGCTCAAGAGGTACGGCCCCCCCTCCCCCACCAACACTTGTCTCTTAGCCACCCCACCTCCCACCAACGGCGCTATCACACCCCCACTGCGTCCCCATAGCAATCTCCAACACGGATTCCCCGTCACCTTAACTCGTACACTCACCACCCCCGCAGAAACCCATATATCGTCCTCACGCCCACAGTCCCCACATCCTCCTGCAGCAACGCCCGCCCCGACCACCACCAACACCCCCCCTTCCATCATCCCCACCCCCCGCCGCAAATTCCCGTCTCACATAGCAGTGACCCCGGTCCATAATCCGCACATCCACTCCTACCCTTATCCCATCCTGCACAATCTCCGCACAACAAGAACCTCCGCAACCCCCCACACCCCGCCCTCAGAACAGGATTCACTACGCACCTACAGCCTAGTAGATGGTGCCGCGGATGATGATTGGGAGACGGCTATGACAGATTCTGTTACTGCGGTGGTGGAGTGTGGGTGTATGGATTGGTGCGCATGTTTAGGAGAGGGTTGTGGTTGTGCATGCTCTGGAGGAATGAGCGGATAGTGGGGGTGTTGCGGGCGGATGGCGGGTAGTGCGAGGCTTCGGGTAAGCTATTGATTAGACGCTCCAGGCCTCTCGAGAGTTCCAGGCGTGGGGGTCAACACACTCGGGGCAATCACTCCTATTCGCCTCGAGCTATATACTGTATTGTACTCGATCAGAGTGTACTCAGTGGGATTGATGTTTCCGCGATTCGAACGTAAGGTTAGAAGTATTCCCAGAGCGGACGATCAATTACTATATCTATACCAAGCTGTAAATATAGATTCAATCTTGATAGATCTAGGTACCCCCTCGGCGGTCCGGCTTAATCAGTGTCAGGTTAACCATATATGGAAGTCGTGAACATCAACAACTGTGAGAATGAATAAATGCGCACATTCATTCACATCTGATAAGATATTGATAATGTATTAGTGTGAGGATATCTCTGATTAATTTTAGGAGTATCTTCTATCATACCTTCCTTCTCCGGCTAACTTGGCAGGTACTAATGGGGCCTGACCGCGGAGGGGATAGTTGGGGAGCTAGAGCGCCTTGATCAGAGGCATCATGTACATCTCTTTGCATGAGCAAGGAAAGGTACGTATGGCTTATACGAGGCTGAGGCCACTCGTCCCTAATGCTCGCCTTGAGTAGCCTCGATCGATCGTGGGCCGGGCTAGGCGCCGGCGGTGAGGATGTGAGGGTTGGCGGGAGTGGGGGGGGGGGGGGGGGGGGTGAGAGGGTGAGAGGTTGGAGAAATCGTGACATGATAGTTTGGAGGAGGATGTTTGGAGGAGGAGTTCGGGTGGGAGGTCTAGGCTGGAAATTGCAGGCCCGGGGGGAAGAGGAGGTTAGTTGTATATTAATTTGCGAGAGGGTTTGATTGTCGGTAGTACTACTGGAGGGTGTGGAGATGCATATGGTCTGTTAAATTGTGCTGGGTATTCTGGGTTAAATACCACTGCATGTAGGTACTGGCAGCCTAGAGCGCGGGGTTACAAAGTCGTTAAGTATCATCTAGAGTATGTATATGTCGACACATGACGCTATCCCTTGGACGCGTGAGACATTTGGAGAATCTCTCTCATGCATTAGCGGGAATTGGCAGTCATGTGACCTAGAATTTGGCTGAGAAAACGTCCGGGTAAGCAGTTTGCTGCATTTATTGGTCTTCGGAATACTCAGAGATGCCAAAAACTTCGCAAGTTGCTGCTTTATTATAGTAAATCGTTTCCTAGGTAGGGCACGCTAATGCATGAGAGAGATTCTCCAAATGTCTCACGCGTCCAAGGGATAGCGGTCATACATGGGATGATCATGGGGGCTGTGCAGAGATGGTGTAACAATAACAATCACAGGATATCACTCGCGTACGTACATACCCTCTGAAATTATTTGCAGATATTATAGATGTATGGTGCGCCCAGTCATAAATGTAGTCAAAAATTAGGGCAAGGTTGAGGTTGAATAACTTTTTAACCAGGACAGATATCAAAAATCGGGTTGGTAAATTTGAAGTACTAGTAATGAAGAATAATTTTACCAACCCGATTTTTGATATCTGTCCTGATTAAAAAGTTATTCAAGCTTGAAATTCGGTATTTTAGTATGTAAAAAGCGCCAAGACTGAGCAAAGTGGAACAGTATTATACCCATTTATACCCTTAAAGAAACAAACCCGATCAGGCCATGGCAGTGATGCAGCAGAAGGCCCTCTTTTATTGGCCCATGAGGCCATATTGCAGCCACAATTGTTCCACTTCTGTATCTTCTGTACGCCACCCCATCACCTTTATGAGTGTGCGCACCATATGTATGCTGATCCCTGCGCTGCTGCATGCAGTTTGGAGGACTAAGCTCTCGATGGAGGTATGCGTGGTCCGAGCGTCATCATGATTCGTCAATCGAGACTCTTTTTTCTACCTGGGCTGAAGTAATTTTGATCCCAGACTTATAGTAATTCTTTTATGGTGTTCGTTGATACTAAATCCAGACAGGCCACGCGTGTACCTTTCTATTTATTCACCTACAGATCTATCTAGCCATCATCATACAATTAATGGAAGCCTTCCCGTGGATATTTTTGAAGGTTTGTAGGCGTCCAAATGTGGTCTGTAGATCCCCCCTGGCCTAAGGAATCTACGGACCACATCCGGACACCTACAAACCCCAAAAACATCTATAGGATGGCTTCCAATCAATCAGTTAATATCTAGCCATCATGATACTTCAACTCAGCGACAGCTAGCTCAAAGAACAATGATGACTAAGCAACACCTGGGGTTTCTATATTGTACCAGCCCAAAACTGAAGAAAACTTTAGGGCACTAGGTAGGTGGTTTGGCCTTATCCCTTTCGTGACCGAACGTGATATGGCCTAACAGTAACAAAGCTCAATAGGGGACGTCGCTAGGCCATACCGCGTTCAGTCACGATTTTGATTTTGACTGACCGCCTAAAGGATAAAGCCAACTTTTGAAAGGCCACCTACTCAGCCTCAGCCTGCCCGCTTAGAAACAGCTTAGGCACTTTAGATAGACATGTTTTCTGTGGGGATGGTAGATGAGACCTAAATATAGATATGAATCAATGTCTGAGGTTCCCCTGTTCTCAGAACTACAGGTGGGTTTTCGAGTGCACGGTGCACTCTGTGGCCCATTTAACCAAAAGTTGACAGCTTCACCAGCTAGCGAAAGGGATAGCACAGATGGATGCTAACAACCCTAACCACCGAGTGATAGTTTATGACTTCGGCGTAAACCCCACTAAGCATTCTAGTTGTGGGGGTGTTAGCCGTCGCTCCAAGGTTTAAGCCCCACTTCCCAGCAGCGAGGTTCAAATAAAGCCCCTTTCACAATGCGTTGCGTGTGCGTACAAACAGTCAGCCATCAATTTCCATCATCTCGGACGTACGTACCGGCCGTATTATTGTTCGGGTGATGACGGACACTGGGTATTGACCGATAGGAAGCTCAAGCAAACGAGTTGTATTACCCCTTTCGGTTGAATGATCCGTCAATACTAAGTGCCTATCAATACATGTATCCATCCTATCTCAACATGAACGGTTATATCCGGCTAGCTGCGCTGCTACTAGACTAATATATACTCGGGCATTCATTAAATGGTCGGATATCGTTGCAACCAAATCCCTACTAAGAGTTCCGACCATTTAATGAACGCATAAGTATGCGGGGGGTGGAATTTCTGACCGCATGTCACCCCCTTACAACCATGAGATTTCGGGCCCAACTGGCGCGCACCAAAACACGCATCTTAAACTATTGCGCACCGTATGCATGCATGCACGTATGTAGGTACTCTAACCATGGGCACCGCGCATGATCACCGCGTGTGGGGGCCGCTAGATAACAAACTTGTTTTTCCTCGAGTAAGATGAGCAAGAACCAAATTGCAAAAGACACGAACATTTATCGGCCTGAAATGTTTCAGAGGCCGAAATCAACACATAATGAGCCGGCTAATCCGGTAGCTACGTATATGGTTTAGATAGTAGGATATAAGGAAGTGGCAAGGAGAACTTCTGGTCGCAGATCTACATGTACATGTAGTTACCCACCGCCGCGTATTATACAGATGCGGCTCGAGTATCGATTCTTGGCTGACGTGATGCCACTTAATTGTAAGCATATTTATTTTAACAGTACTTAGGGGGAAAAAAAAAATTGATAAAAGCATGTTTTACAATTAATGCCGGTTAATAGAGCCTCTATAGATGGAGCCTCTACGAGACCAACGTAAGAGAGAATCAAATATTTTCTTGAGTTTTGTGTGGGACCAGAAGGAGCTCCCAATAACCGTCCTCGGAATGAGCGAGACGTGATAAATCCCTTTTGACCATGTATGAAGCAAAACCACCCCAATTTTGCAGATCCTCCTTGCTCTTTTCCAACGCGTAGATCTAGAGAGAGAGAAAAGCTTGAACCAGCCGGATCCGCGGGTCTGTTATAAATCAATGAATTATAATGCCCGATACCATATATTTACACATGAATTTAATTCTTTAAACCATAGCTCATACATTAATTAAATTAACACCATAATAGATACATACCGCTTGAACCTTCATACCCCACAAATTGAACCGGGGAAACCATGCCTGCGGGTTTTTAGAAAAGAAAGAAAAATGGAGACTAAATAGTTAGTGTTTATCACAAGTGAAAGAAAAACGAAAGAGGTAAATTAAAAAAGAAAGAGGTAAAAAAAGAAAGAGGTAAATTATAAAAAAGAAAGAGGTAAAAAGAAAAGGTAAAAAAGAAAGAGTCTCATGCCAGCTAAGCCTATCCAAATCTCTAGAAGTACAAAACCAAGACCACTAACATAATACAGCGGCCGTTATTTGGTTAGAGCTAGCCGAAATGAAGGTCCTTCCTTGTATTGACCTTGATATTGACTTTGAAGAACCATTCCTTATGCATGCCGCGGGCATGTACATGTATATTCCCTAGCTAAGCTCAATACAGTTACATGGCAGCACCGTATATATATATCAGCTCGAATCTCATAATATGCTTGATGACATGGCCTGATGTATCAAGAGCTCTCGTCGGGTTTCTCTAAGGGTTTCTTGACTACTGTAGTCTGTAGCTCCGAAAGGCCATGATTCAGACAGAACAACACTATAAAAGACAATGTCAGAAAGAAACATGTGAGGGCTTAACGTAGGTTACTTACTCATACTCATCATCAAACAAATTCCCCATGAAGCCCCTGCCGTTCCAGCCTGAGCTCATCCATACACAACCTCGTAATTCCGTGCTTTTGATAATATTTCTATCTCCTTCAGCTTCTAATATTCCTGTGTAGGCTAGATCTGAATGCAGGTCATGATGTGTGCTAGTGATCATCCCAATAAAAGACGAGCCATGCATGCCGATTAGCTCTGTAGATAGTTCAAGATTCTCCACAGGCCACCCGACTAGAGAAGGCATGTTATCTTTTAACTCCCGATCCCCTTCGTAGATGGGCTCTATACTATCGGTCTCAGGATTGGCGCGTCTATAGACATAACAGGACTTTAATATCATAAAGATGCTTTGCAAAATCTTGATGTGCTCTTACCTTGGCTCAAGCTCTTCGCGTGTTATATTCGTCCAGTCGTCAGATATTTCTATTGAATCTTGCGAGTCGCCATCATAACTGTCCTGAGAATCGGTTCCTCTTGCGGCACCCTCCATTCCATTGACCATCATATACCCGTCTTCGTTCAGCCCCTTATATTTAATGGCTTCATATAATTCATCCTGCGGTTCTGGGGTAAAGTAACCTATTTGTGACGGGACAACATCTGGGACAATAATTTTGATTAGATTAAGCCAATTGATCCGCAATTTGTACCTTCTTTCCGAAAGCTTTTTCTTTAAACTTACCTCTTATATATGTCAGGCCCAAATCAACCCCATAATCGTGATTTTCGCGAGCACGTTTCACCTTGTTTTCCGAGATAGGCACCCCACATAATACGAAGGCTGTCCGTTTTCCATCGACATTTGCCCGTTTGTCTTGGATCTGCGCCATGCTCCGCGCCATTCTCTTGCTAATGTTCCTCCAGAGACCCCACTTACTGATCCGAGTTTTATATTGCGCTTTCCTAAGTTATCAATATAAGTCTGATAGTCACATAAGGTAGTACGTTGAGGGAATGAACGGCCAACGAGCGATAAAGACTTGAGCTTGGCCACTGTCTTCGGGTCAGCGCTGTCTTAAGCTAAGCTTAGCTTTCATCGCTCGATGTTCCCTCAACTACATGCAATGTACTCAAGTACACGTAGTACAGCAGATTCATAAAAGAATTCTTACTTTGCGTAAAATCCATGTTCTTCCGCCATGAGTTTCAGTATTTTTCCGAGGGTATATGTATGTTTGCCATTGGTGTGGCTCCTCAGGTAATAATTCTCGATTATTTCACGATGTTTCTCCCAATCTTCAGGTGTCGGTGAGCCAGACATTTCGAGGTGTTTTATACAATAAATGTATATGGTTAACGTAACGCACTTTTCAAAGAAAGATTTTGATAAGATCACTCAAGCCGAAAGAGAGCTCACGAGTAACAACAATACATGCATGTTTGTAGCTAAATGATGTAGGATAATCCGTCTATAAGTAGACGCCATCTGATATGAACGGTACGTCTCGTGCGTGTACCTTTCTTTCTGCCGCCCTGGGTGGAAATATCATTTGCAGTACATACTGCACACCACTTTAATTGAGAGGCTCTCATGTGTACACCATCTACATATTTCGCCAACGTGGCCGGTTCCACAAATTAGAGTCATTTCGCGCACAATGAATTATGTATGTATTCATTAGGTCGACTACATGCACACATTACTTCAAACAAAGATATTCCCCATATTGCCTGTTGCAATTGTTCTACCAACCTTACCCCACAACCAAATTAAGTAAATGCAAAGAACACGACTTTTAATTTATCAGCCGATCAAAAGTTTTGTGGAACACCCTGCCCACCGAAAGAATGAACCGTCGCGTCGTATTCAGTTTTATAGAATTCGGAAGGACATATGCGCGATTGTAAGGGTGAGGAATTTTTTAGCGAGATTGTATGTACCTACATATATATTGTGCATGCGCGTGAACATCTTTTTTAATATATCAGGATAATTTATTCCCCGGCTTTAGGTACCATACTAGCTTGATGGCCCCGAGTGATTCCTCATGATTTAATCATCTCACAGAAGTTAACTCCGATAGCTATCATGACCAAGATAGGGGCCTCACTTCAATCCGGATATGATGATGGGTGTTTTATGTGCTCAGGACTTGGGTCATACTCAAGAGGTTTGGGCATATCCCTGATCATGGTACATACTTGCACAAAGAATTAATATAGAGGACTCGAAGCTAGGATTTACATACTTTTAAAAGGTGAATCTTTGTCTAAAAGTACCTGCATGGCAGTTCATCATACATGTACTGACACCTTTGGGGCGAAGGAGGGATTAAGATGGCGACAGCTTTTGGCTTCAAATTGTGCGAAGTGCTTACATGTAGGTACACACGTCTACCTCGCACAAAATTGGTGATCAGCGTCGATGTGGGTTCTTAGAAAAATTCTTATATGTACATATGTGATATATAGATTTGAAACGACAAGTTGGCAGGGGTCTGGGGTACGGTGATACATACAAATACCTAACAAGGCTGAATATTTGGTCAATTGATCATGATCGTGATTGGGGGCGGATCTGGACGGCAGAGGGCACAATAGTTTGGTCTACTGGAAATTGCATACTTACATGTACACAGTACTTACATATACACAGTACTTACATATATGCATACATGTACTATCGATACATTTATTTGTTTCCATAGCTATCAAATGCATCTTGGAAACCCAAGACTACCTGAACCCCTACTGTCACTGCATTTACTAATTCATTTCTATATGCTAGTAGATATATATATACGTGCTCTGTAGATTTACTTTAAAACCTCGGCCTTAAATTAAAGTGTTTCATAATCTAGACATCCCTAAATATTTCTGCCACATTTCTGCTGACCGATCATGAAGAAGCCACTTGCGCCACACCGGCACCATTTTACACTGTGAAATATAGAGTTACAGAATATTGCACTCCTAGAACTAATCGTGGTGCTCATACTACATACGTATACCGTACGCGTGACTGTGGCCGCGGCCAATGTAATTGATTAGTACATAGTACTGAACCTCCACATGTCTCAGCCCGGCCGTCACGTCATGTCAAATCATTATACCCGGTATAGTATATATATATTTTACCGGCCGGCTCTGGGACAGGAACACCCAAAAATCAAAATCAAGGGCCTGGGCGCCGCATTCGACCCAGTGGGGTAACTATGCAATCATATATTGACTCCGTCGCTTTTTTCCTAAAGACAAGAGATTCTGGTGGGTGCATGTGGTGAAGATAAAGGAAGCTAACCTACATAGTTTGCCTTCCCTGTAGTAGGCTCGCGGATCCTCTCTGAGTCAGAGAGTTAAAACCAAGGTCCCGTTCGGCAACAGCCCAAAACGACGTTTACAGGGGTGAAAACTCCGTTTCAACGACCTTTTTATTAGGCATTGACCCTTGAAGACTCTGTTTTGTCTTGTTGCTGGGCGGGCTCTAAATTGCTGCAAAACAAGATCCGCCGTGAGTGAGTGTACTACATGTATGTTCTCGGTCGAAGACATTAAGCGCCCGTCCGGGAGTCTTGTTAGCACATTGCTAACTGAGAAATATTAAAATAAAGTTCTGGTCTGTCGGACACGAACTCAGTTGGGTGATTTTGTTACAGGTTTTGATGTTGCAACGAGAAAAATTAGGTCTAGCCCAGTTTTTCAGAGTTCAGTTATGGTATCGATATTTCCTTAACAAAGTGGCCTTCCAAACAGGCTGACTTTTGAGATAACGGAGTTTTGGGAAAAGTGTGTGCATTTGGGGGGTCTTAACCTCCGTTTAGGTGGTTGACTAGATTTGTATAGCATGGCACGATCACAATAGGCCGGGGAAATTAAGTGGGATCCTATTCAAATGAGGAATTCATTTTGCAGTAAAAAAATATCGTAGGAGGTGAGATAACTTTGGCCGCAGAAACCCCTATACAAATCTCTTCGGCCATGGTGGTCGATTGTTTCCAGCTTTTGAGCCCTGCCAACAATGAAACAATCTAAGAATTTATCGGGTGCACAGTGCGATATGCTCCCATTCAGCGAAAGTAATAAAGAAATTGTCCAAGCGTCACAGCACATGTGTAGGAGTTTTCCGAGAAAATTTCACTCAAGTTTTCTTCTATTTTGTAGAAAATCACGGGTAATCAATCATTGACCAGAACACGCCTCGATAACTTTATGTAATAATTCCCAAACCAGGCCCGAAAAAAACAAAAAAATGCAGCAAGGTTGTCGAAAAGAAAAGGAAAAAAAAAATAAGAAAAACCCAAGCTCAAACAAGAAGGGAGGAAAGATCGTCAGGAAATTGCAGGCATGAGAAATATCAAGACTGGCGTATACAAGTGATCTGTAGAGATGAGAACAAACGAAACTTAAATTGTGAAACGCAATCCCTCCAGAGAAACAAAAAAAGAGACCTCCTGAACCAGCGATACTTGGGATGACGATAGTTCCCAGAAAAATCGAACGAATCTGCCACCTTTCTCGCCAACTGCGAGACGCCCGATTCCCGAATTAAAAGTTGAACATTGTGTTGTTATTCGTAGGATGCTTCGTAATGTGTTATCGCGTACAGCGTAAAGGATAAGAGGCATGCGGTTTACTGTAAGATAGGATCCAGAATCAGCTTACTATTCCCCAGAGATTTGCTGGAGATTCTTGAGGTAACTGAGAGTGGGAAAGATGCAGCGAAGGATTCGGCGACTGATCAAATCGAAGAGACGTGTTTCGCTTCAGCCTAGGCTTAATCCCCACTACTGCCTGATAGCAGATGCCAAAAAGCGTTGCGTACTTCTGGTGGATTGCCAGTCCACCGCACCAGAGGAAAAGTGAATAAATCAAGAGTGATAATCAGGGTGAACCAACCAAAACGTCATCATCCATCCCAACATCACCATTGCTGGCCCCAACCGCAGTTGGGGCAGCCCCGCCGGCTGTGGCAGCCCCGGAAGTTCCACCAACGAAGTAGTCTGCCATATCAGCATCCAATTCCTCGGCGGTTGGCTTCTTTCGGCTAGGATTGCCAGAGCGTCCACCACGTGCATCACGGCCCCCACGTCTGCCTTTAGCACCGCGAGCTGCTGATGTACCCATGTTTTTAGTGACAGGCTTTGGCTTGTTAGCGGTAGAGTTACGAGCTACGGGAACCTGCTTGGGTGCACTATAAAGTAGTTAGTGTGATTTCTCTGGAATTTTTTCCGAAGGGTACTGGGCATACCCGATGCGGTCTGCGAAACTAGCTGGCGCGGTGGGGTCCACAACAAGTTCAACCTTCATCGGCCTTTTGTCGACCTCAACACCGTTGTATTTTTGGACTGCGGTGGCGGCGTCAGAAGCTCGAGAAAATTCAACAGTTGCAATTCCACGTGACTGGCCGTTTGGTCCATAGGTGATGACGCAACGCTTAATTGGGCCGACAACCTTGGTGAAATATTCCTTGAAAGTAGAAAAGTTGATGTTAGAATGTTCGGTTCCAAAAAATTGACGCCTGACTTCGAATTCTCCAAAAGCTGTAGGAAAATTAAGACACAAAGCTACGGAAACGGGAGCGAGTTTGAGTCTCAAGGAGCATTAAAATGAATACTCCGTGGTTATCGCAAACGACTCCAAAATGCAATGACGAACGATGATGTAGAATGTTCGTAATGGCAACAGCAAAACCAAAAAATTGTATGACGACGTCTGCGTCAACAAAATCCAGGCAGTTCCCAACAGCTTCAGGCATTCAGAAGCTCCCCAGAATTAACCTTCCACATTGATCCAACCTCCTGATTCGAGTTACGATCGAAATCTAGTTGTTTTCAATCTTCGTTCGTTTCGATTTTAGAGGGTGAACCAGAAAGGCATCTGGGAGAGCTCTGCAATATGGCCTCATCGACATGCGAGATATATGCCTGCCAATGTCTGTCCTGAAGCTGTATACATTGGGATATGTAGGGTCGCCACTACATATTGACAAAGGGGAACTGCGGGAAGTATGCAAAGGCATCAGGATGGTTGCAAAAAGACAGAACCACATGATTTTTACCAACAGGAAAAATCTGTACGGAAGTCATTATGCATGGGGAATCATCATCGTTCGCCGTTATGCATTTGGATTCGCGCCGTTGAGTCCCATAGAAGGGTGGCAAAAGGGTCATCATGAGGTGCTCTCATTCCTCACTCCCAAAAAGGATAGAGAAGCTCGCTCGCTGCTTCTCCGGTCCGTAGCGTTTGTGCCTTCGCTTCCCAGACTCATGCCGTGTGTTTGACTTCGTTGTACAATCAACGTACCTTGATCATAGCCTCATCCACATCGTAGGGCTATTATGATTTGTAAGTGACGCGTTCAAAATCAGGCGAAAATCATCAGCGCGTAGAAGCGAGCTTACCAAGTTAGAAACAATAATTTTAGATCCAGCGACCTTTCCAGACGGGCCAGTTGGCACAGTCTTGGTAGCGTTCTGCGTGATAGTTGCGGATGCCTTTTGTGCGGCAGCCCGCTGAGGGCGTTTGCGGATACCGCCAGCGGGAGCATTGCCACTCCTGGCACCGCGACGGCCAGCGGCACCAACACGAGGGCGCTCAGCGAGAATCTCATCCAGAGACTGATCGAGTTTTGAAGACATTATTATAGAATGATGAGAAGGAGTTATGAGGATGAAAGTCAAATGAATACAGTATCGAGCGGATAATGTTGCTGCGAGAGATGCCAACACTTTATCAAGCGGGGTTGATGTTTAGTAGCGGGAGATGGATAGATGAGCAGCAGAAGAGAGTAAGATAAGACGTAGGAAGCGGACGAGGGTGAGAGACTTTTATATGAGAAGTTTGTTGGGGTTGGTGTTGTGGGTGGTGTTGTGGGTGATGAGGATGGGATGCAGAATAGAAGGGACACGAGCGCGGACTTGGGAGAAAGAGAAGGGAAAAGGAGACACAGAACACGTGTTATGTAAGCATATTTGCTCATCAACCAGTCAACCCGAATGCATTCAGCCACAACTGAGAGCTGGCAGGATTGAATGGTGGGGATGCATCACACAGAATACCAATGAATCGACCGGCACATAACTAATCTAGACGCCTACACTGCCCCAGTTTTTCAGCAGGAACGCCTCCAGGTAAAAATCCTCTCTACATTCTTTGTCCAATCCTGCTTTGTCCGGCTGTTTGCACTTGTCACTCTCTGTGCAGTAAAAAATAAATACATCTGCCTGCATCCAGTATAGCGGTCGATGTGGAGTATGTAGCGATGTTGGTTCATGCGGCGCTACAATAGATACTCTATAAAAAGTATTATTCAATACATCCTAGGTTTTGAAGAGTCTTTTATCTCGCTGAAAACTACCCCTTTGACGTAACTTTACTCATCCCATTCAAAGGGCCGGCCGGAATTGTTACATGATCGATCCTAAAGCGATTCCGCTTTCACTGGACCAGTCCTTGGCAGATATTTACTAGATTGGATACATGTTTAAAAGTTGCTCTTCCCGCTTCAGAATAGACTGAACAACCTTCCAGTAAATATTCGAAAGCGGCAGATCATCCGATCGAGAGGGTATATTTGTTGCTGTATTCACAAAGCAAATGGAAATTGTAAACAACAAACTAAAGGTAAACTACATGTAGAAAACCTGTTTTTGTTTTTTGTCCTTAATCCCTCTAAACACCTGGTAGATATCGTACAGATTACAGGCCCTCTACAAAAATCATAGACCTCTTTGCAAAGTGTCAATCGGCCAGTGTTTGGTTACACCTCCAATCCCATTGACCACATCTGTCTTCGCTTTACGAGTTCTTAGCTCAACCTTCCCTCTGAATCGCATCGTATGGTATCGTACTATGTCTATCTGTTTATTGAGCGCGCAAATTAGCCTCATGCGCACCAGTTGAATTCTGTAGTTGCTATAATCACGTACCACGCATTCTCATCGACCAGGCGCCTCCCTAATTACTTCCCACAATCGATGCCTTTCCGTGTCCATTTGTCAGGCCATTCACAGAGGAGTGAGAGAGCTCTCGAGCGTTGACAGCCAAGAAGTGGTAGAGCACGATAAGGCTCATCATTAACGTCCCCAGAAATATTGCAATTGAGTTGAGTTCCGAGTCGGTGATCATATCTGCGGTATGGTATTTTCAAGACAAAAGACTGTTTCTAGAAGGAATACCAGAAGTGAGAAGGGTGTTTTGGATTGCGAAAAAAACGGCGGTTATTGCAAAACAAAGTAGAGCTATGGAGGACGTGTTCTCTTCGAGCTGTAAGAGCCTCCGACAAAGCTACGTAACGGCTAAAGCGGCAACCCATGCATAATACTTCCATGCTCATAAATACGCGTAGATCACAGCAAAACCACTCTAGCCGCCGCCAAGAATCCACAGTTACGACCTCCTCAGCAAGAGAGAAAAGTCAACATTCTAGTGTTTCTAGCGTGCAACAACCTCACTCGTTACAACTCAACTCTGTTGGTTTTTTTCATATACAGAAAAGAAGTAAAACCTCCGTAAGCCTCTCCTACAGGAACCTCAAGATCCGACTTCGGCTGCGAAAAAAAGTTTAACAGAATTGATTAGATACCCCACTACAGCCCACCATGCCACCAAAAGGAAAGGATACCAAGGGAATGAAGCCCTCTGTCCAGAAGAGCGTACAGGACAAGGTAGGTTCCCCCCGCAAGTCCCTTACCATGCTGACACTAACTAACCCTAAACTGCGTATTCCAGACTTTCGGGCTCAAGAATGTTCGTCCACCCCCCTTCCACCTCACCAGCACACACCCCCGGGAATGAATACGAATCAGTCCAGTCACTCAGTCTAACAACCTTCACAGAAAAAAGGTGGAAAAGCACAAAAAGTGATCGCACAACTACACTCACAGGCCAGCGCCTCTGGTACACCCGAGGAGAAACGAAAGGCTGCTGAGAAAGCTCAGCGTGAGGCAGAGAAGAAGGCCGCTGAGCAGGCGAAGAAGGAAGTGGCGGATCTGTTCAAGCCCGTACAGGTACAAAAAGTACCATTCGGTGTTGATCCCAAGAGTGTGGTTTGCATCTACTTCAAGAACGGCCATTGTGAGAAGGGTATGTGTTTGCTTCCTCTGTGCATTACGAAAATTGGGGGGAAATGCTGATTTCTAGTCAAGGCAAGAAGTGTAAATTCTCTCACGACTTAAGTGTAGAGCGAAAGACGCTGAAGAAGAATCTGTATGAGGATGGTCGAGACGAAGGGGCGGACGGTGAGGGAAAGAAGGAGGACGATATGGACAACTGGGATGAAGAGAAACTGCGAAGCGTTGTTTTAAGCAAGCACGGAAACCCTAAAACAACTACCGACAAAGTTTGCAAGTTCTTTATCGAGGCCGTCGAGAACGGGAAATACGGATGGTTCTGGCAGTGTACGTGCTTCCTTTTCGCTCTAACTTAGGAACATATTACAATAACTAACAAGAGTTTATTGCAGGTCCAAACGGAGGTAACGACTGTAAATATAAGCACTCTCTACCGCCTGGCTTCGTTTTAAAGACGAAGGAGCAACGTGCGGCGGAGAAGGCTCTTATGGACAAGTCGCCACTAGCTACGCTCACCCTTGAAGACTTCCTGGAAGGCCGACGGTAACTCAATTATCCTCTATCTAATAAATACCCTGCTAATCATGACTAGTCTCGCCCTTACGGGTACATTAACGCCCGTCACCGAGGAGACTTTCAAAAAATGGAAACTAGAGCGCACTTCTAAGAAGGAAGCTGAGGAGGAAGCCCGACGTGCCAAGGAAGCAACCGGAAGAGCACTCTTCGAGAAGGGCGACTGGCAAAACGAGACCGACAGTGAAGAAGAGGAAGAAGACGACGACGATGGCGACTTTGACCTTGCTGCTCTTAGGAAAGAGACAGAGGCGCTAGAAGCAGATGATGCGCCAATCAAGGTTTATGGGAGCTGAACATATAATTATCTCAAAAAAATAAAAAAGCAAAGAAAATATGCGGAGGAATATATATGGACAGGGAAAGGAGAGAAACGAATACATATTCATCATTGGTGCTCTTAGAAACGCATCACGGGGGAGCGCTTGCTTTTATGTTATGTTTTTATTTTTATCTTTCCTTCCTTTACATTCCTTTGTATTGGCGTGATGTCTTTTTTGGCTTCTTCTGGGTAGGTTTGGTTTTCGCATTTCCTTTGGGGGTGTAACTACATACAGTGTTAAGATTAGGTCTATGGCTTGGCAGGCCTAGGGGGTGTGTATTGTTCGAGTTTGGGCATGCGTCCGCTTGAGATTAAGACTAAAATCAAAGTTCTACAACACATGACAATCATTGGTCATGGTCTGTATGCTAAAAAGTGGAATGCACTCAAGTGTTCCTGATCCAAACTTACAGTTAATTACATGCAAATGCAATTAAGTAATTTAAGTATGCTTTCCTTGATATTTTGATATTGGTGGAAATAAGAGTACAACTGTGGTCAGTACTCTACTTAATAATTTAGGTTACGTCAGTGGGTGTTTGTGTTTTCCGTTCGGGCTCAATTGGGGAATATTGTTGGTTCTGAGTTGATACATGCATGCTCTAAATATTGCAGGGTGACAAAAATAACTACGCACCAAAGTTTGTATTGGAAAAGAGTATTTTCTAGACCTACCACTCCGAAAATGCGACCACTAACTTGATAACCTACAGGAAAGATCTTTGGAGCTCTAGAAACTCCCATATACACTTATGTCTCTCACAGCCTATATAGTTATGCAATAGCTATACTTCAAAGTTCGGCCTTTTTGTTAGTAATCCACACAGCAACCATACAAAAATTGACAACTTCAATTCTTTGTAACTCCATGAGTATACAAGATATCAGAGAGATAACCATATCTCTAAAATTCTGGAGCTTGGGAGATTTGGTCTTTCTGATATGAAATTTGTGGCGGTATGTTTGAAGTAGCTAGGTCCAAAAAACGTTATTTTACCATACAAATTTGGGTGCGTAGTTAATTTTGTCACCCTGCAATACATCTAGTATAGCCATCTGCAAACTTTTCTACCGGTTTACTCCACCAGAGCCGAGACGGCCAAAGCGCCTCCGGAAGGGACCTAGCATCTTTGAACGAACGTGTTACAGTTGGGCAAGTCCATAACTAAGAAATAAAACTACGTACGCCCAGATTTATAGATCCTCCTATAAATCCCTTTGTCTGGGTGTTGCTCTATATACTATGACGATTATATGATTTGGCTAAAGTCAAAATACTTGCAATATGGCATTGCCTGAAGAATATCCCACTTCCCCCAACTCTCATGTCCGCTGCCTGAACCATTATCAACCGTAACGCGCAAGATCATACGAGAAATAGCTAGAGGCGCTCCCATCTTCCCATTCGCCGGTTGGAACACAACTCCCAACAATGTCTATTCCGTCCAAAATTCAAAGGTATCATTGATTGGTGGCCTATTTTCTCGACTTAGACCAGTCTATGAGGAACACATGTCAAATCTAACAACCTCGTTTCCATAGCTCGGGCAGATAGCATACATATCTACAACTACATCTTGTTACCGCCGCCGCTCAGGCTGATTGGCTAGTTGTAGGTCTAAGATTCAATCATCTACATTTCGCTAGCTAAAAGTTATATCGAGTAATCTCTGATATCTAGTAAGCTGCAAAGATTACTATATCCAAACATATCCCCCCCCGCTTTCGCTATTGTCTAGATTTAGAGGGAAATAGAATAGCGGTGTTTGGTGCTTGTATAGTATATTAGTCTCTCTACTGTCATCTAAAGATACTTTGTTGAGGTTTATTTGATGACTACATGCACCTTAGCTTTCGTAAGTACATGTATCGCTCCACGCTCACAACTCCTCAAAATGATCATAAGCTATCACTCGAGGGTTAGGGTTATTGCTGTGTTGGTGGCAACGGCCTAAGAGACCCTGAAGTTTGTTAAAGTGGCTATTAGACTGTAACTGTATATATACGACTTGAATCCCAAGCTTGATAGTAGTCAAGGCTTCATGGATCTGGATAGTTTAACAGGGACATTGAACGTGCTGGCCTCCGCTAAGTTAAGGTTGTACTTACTGGAGTACGAACTCAACTTATAATTATTATGTAGCCAAATCGTCCTCTACTAGTAGTAGTATGTACTCCATGTCTTCTCAAGGTACCTCACTACATGTAGGTATCAAGTACGATTCCGAAACCAGATCTACTATTAGCACTATTAGCACACAACACTAAAGTCTCTTCGGGCTTCTCCAGAGATCCAGATCCGCTAGTCGGGTTCAAACCAGACCAGCCCGATTTAAAATATGGCTAGAGATTGAAGATGGTATGGCTCGAGAAACTATGGGGGGTAGGTGTGTAAACTTCGGCGTTTTTTAAAGAATCGGCCAATCAAACTTATAGAAATTGGCCATAATGGTACTAGCGCCTAGGCTAACCCTAGCATTTTCTCAGACTCCCATACAAACGAAATTCCTCTGAAGTTGACACACCCGCTCTCTAGGCCTTCTCACGCCATAGATAGTTCCTGTTCGTGGATCCTAATGACTGGATAATTTATAGCAGGAAGAACAAGAGCAAGTGCTGCTTGTGTATATATTTATATGGGAAGAGGAATAAAAGGCGACATTCATTATGCGAGCTCTAATGATGGATGAATAACACATAATGCACATACAAACGTCCAGAGTGTAAGTAAAACACAGTGCCCAATTCCCCGGAGGGCAGTAAGTAGAGAAAAGGAAAGGAAAATAAAGGAAGGACTCCCGATGGTCTACACGACCCAAATCACAGTACCGCACAAACAAAAAACAGCCGCGCCACTCACTATCTACTACTCAAACTGTAAATCTAACTCTTCAACATCTCCAACCTTTCCCTCATGTCGTCTAGCGTATCTTGATCCTCCTCCTCCTCGATACCCTTCTCGGGTGATACCGGTGCCGCGGGCGCCGCCACAACCGTACCGCCCATGACCTCCCTCAGAGCCTTCTCAACCTCCTCCTCTACCTCGTCATCCTCCATCTCCACATCATCTGGCAATGAGTCTGCCACCATCTCCTCGATAATCCCAGCCTTCACCAGCTCCATACTGAGCTCTCTCATTGTGCCGGTGAGCTCGGGTAGGCGGACGAGGCTGTTGACATCGCGCATAACACCCGTGCTCGTACGGATAGAGCCCTCGATCTTTCGGACAGAAAATGCCTCGTTGACCTGCATCCCGACGCTCTGGAGCTGGGCCTTGCTAGTAATGAGACGGGAGGATTGCCGCCGGATGCGAACGAGCTCGCGCGCGATGATACGTGTTTGGGCAGCGCTGTTGGCAGAGCGCGATTTGGATGTGGTGAGGATTAGGGATTTGGTTTTGGACTCGAGGCCGCGCAGTTGTTGGATGTGGCGGTCGAGCTCGCGCGTGTTCTTACGGATGAGCTGGTTGCATTTGCGGAGCTGGGGGTTGTTAGTGTGGCTTGGGAGGGAGTGCTTCAGGGGAGATTCACTTGGACGGCGGGATCAGGGCCCCAGATCATGGCTTTGATGGACTCCATGGTGGGTTTGGGTGGTTTGGAGATATGGGTATTGTAGTTGTTTGAGGGAGAGATAGCAGTGAAATAAGAACAGTAATAGGTAGTAGAATAGTAGGATAATACGGTAGTAAGTAAAGTAGATTAGTAGAAAGCGCTTGAATTATTCAGGTCTGTGGCTCTACTAACAACAGCTCATCAGGGGAAGGCACAGCACAGTTAGAGTCCTAAACCAGACACTGCCAGGCCGTGGTTGCAAGAAGTCGGGCTGCAGTCGGCGGTTGACGTCTCCCCGTCCAGTCGCGATACAACGTGACGAAGCTTGATTCCGCTTACGCCTCACCCCCGCGCCGAATCAATAAATCCGTAATGTATGAAATACCCCAATTCACCTCCCATCGCATTTTGACATTCCCATTTTCCCTGAATCCGGGCTCTTGGAAAATCGCTGGCGTGGCGGGCGATGACGTTGCGCGGGGTGTTCCATTTGTTTCGCTGGGGTTCGCTCGTTGGTGGGGTTGTGGGCGATCATTACATTACGCCCATGCCCTTCCTTCTTTCCAACCCTTCCTTTAACTTTAAGGCTTTCTCTTTCTCCCCTTCCCACCTTCCATCAATCACATCAATCAACGTTCATCCCTTTCTCTACCTAAAAACAGAGGAATATTGAATTGCTACCCCACTACTACAAATAGTGATACCCCTCTATACGTAAAATAAGCTATGGCTGCTGCTACCTCAACCCCCGAAGGTTAGTAGCAGGATGATCCCACTACACCCCCCCCCCCCTCTCCTTAATCGTTCATCTCATCTTATCCCGTGAATCCCCACTAACAACTCCCGCCAAAAAAAAATAGTCATCTGGGCACAACGTTCCAGCGCCGACGAGCCTGAGAAGAATGTTGTCTATCTTTCAATAAACGCCTACGACTGCGCTGCAGATACCATCAAGCTCGATATTCAGCCCACCAAGATCACATTTAGCGGAGCGTCCAAAGCTCGCGCATTTGCCGTTGAGCTCGAGCTTTTCGCCGAGATCGACCCCTCACTTTCAAGGCACTCTCATTCGGCTCGCGGTGTCGACTTTGTGCTCAGAAAGAAGGAGGCCAAGCAGGAGTTCTGGCCAAGACTGTTAAAGGAGTCAAAGAAGCAGCACTTTGTCAAGACTGACTTCGACAAGGTGCGTTTAGTTATTTATGATGGGGATCAGATCTACCACCCCCGCCCCCCTCCTCTTAGTTAATGCAATGCTGATACAGTACATGTATAGTGGGTCGATGAGGACGAGCAGGAGGAGGCCGCCGAGGACCCAATGGGCGGCCCTATGGGTATGGGCGGTCCTCCCGGCGGTGAGGACGGCGGCTTCGGCGGCATGGACTTCTCAAAGCTTGGCGGCATGGGCGGCATGGGCGGTATGGACATGGCCTCTATGATGGGCGGCATGGGCGGCATGGGCGGCATGGGCGGCATGGGCGGTATGGGCGGTATGGGTGCTGACATGGATGAGGACGATGTATGCTTCTCCCTTAAACCTTGATCAGATACGAAGAAAGAGTGCTTGCTGATTGTTTTTCTTAGGAGGATATGCCAGAGCTTGAGGACAGCTCAGTAGGTGCCGATGTTCAGGCGGAGGGTGCGAAGGCTGATGCGGCCCCTGCCGCATCTAAGATCGAAGAGGTCAATTAGGGAAGGGCGAAAAATAAATGATCAGCAGTGGCAGACGTGGCTTTCCTTCTTGTTTCTCGTCCATACTAACTTGCGTCTGGTGCGCTCGCTGACCATGGTTGCTATTGTGAAATCATAAAAAAATTACAAAGTAGAATTTCCACCATTCTTTTCTTCTTCTGTGTGTGTTACGAGGTGCGGGATGTGAGGATGTGAGGTGTGAGAGTTGGCCGAGTGATTCTTTGTGAAGTGAATGCTATTGTAGGTAACTATATTTCATCATTTAACAAAGGCCGTGTTTTATTTGTTTTCTTTTATTCGGTGTAATGCAGTGCATTTGTATGTAATGGTTCCAATGTATACCTCAATTCTTTCACTACTAGCATCCGTTGCTGCCTAGATCTACCCATAGATACAGACATCTTCGGTCTGGCACAAATAAGGCAGCCCGCCCAAGCCAAACACAGTACCTACCCCAGCCCTCCCTTTTTCAGCTATACTATCTACCTACCTCTATAGTCATCAGCCCTCATAGTGAGTATATCCAAACCTCTCTACTAAATACATACCTCCACTAGTTACAACCCCTAATCTTTAACTTCGCCGTCGAATTCTAAACTGGGCTAGTCGGGTTTAGAATCAGACTGGAATATGTGGAAAAAGGACTGCATAGTGGATCTACTTCTCGAGGTCAGAGGTCGTCATTTCGCCCGGCGGAGGTGTATAGGGCTAGACATAGTTTTGAGAATATCGAGAAAAGGAGTGGGGTTCGGGGCTGGGATTGGGCGCGGATAGGTGGGGTCGGGGGATGCTTAGGCTTGCTGTAGGTACACGCAGGGAGGTAACGTAGGTACTCGTACTGCCCTCACACTCGACCAATACACTCACTAGCCGCGGTGAATCGTAGCCTCTACATCAGTACTAGTTCACAGTCTTTCGGCTTCATAGCTATATTCTTCTGACCACCGTCACCCCCTGGTGAGCAGGTTATATCAACCGTGAGTGGGCTAACAAAACTCGGCCGGCGAACCAATACCCCATTATTTACCATGGACCCACGACTCACTGCATCAGATCTCGAGCAGGGGGGTATGAATCTGCAGTTGGTATGTACTGAGCTTCCTACTATTATCACCCCTTTTAGGCGCCACTTGTTGGATCGCCGGAAGCGTTGCCTCCCCAATCGGCGTAACCCTAACCCTACGAGTGATATGCTGTGAATATTATGAGTGATAGTGTGTGATTGCAATGTTTGGAGAGCTGGAGACGGGGGAGGATTGGGCGCTGTTTTGATAGGGTGTCAGAGTGGTATGGTGCGGGGGTTTATCGTGCTATTACCCGCTGCTCGCGTATTGACTTGATTACTCTCTACGTCGCTGGGCTGGTGTCTGCGGATGTTGGTGTCGGAGAAGGTGGTGGAAGGCTGGCTATCGGGGGGCCCGCGTAGAGGAGGAATTTTTTCTTAGTGAGAAGCTACCGGAATAAAAACAGAGAGAGGCCGGCTGGGAGTGGTGGGTTCTGTGGTTCGCTTGGTCAAACGTATTGATGCGCGGGCTGGAGGAAAGAGGCTACGCTTCGCGGAGAACGTCTCCTTGACACGGTTTTAAAAACTTGAGCTCAGCTTAATTAATGCTTGACCAGAACAGAGTACACCACTCACTCACTCACTCACTCATCCACTCATAGCTAGCCCCATGCGCCTCCTATTTGCTTGTTTGAGGCTCTAGGTTGTTTTCCCTGCAGCTGCGCAGCCCCTTCTCCCGTCTACACACGTACCATAACTCCTGGCTACACCTCACTGTCAACCTTTGATCCCGCACCCCCCACACCCCTGCCACCTGGCATCTTCATCACAGTATACACTGTAGAGTCCCACTCCAACCGTCACCCGTACCCTACTACCCACACTCGATGCTCTCAGGCCGCGCGCCGATATACAGCGGAACCCCGCCTTAAGACTTTGGAGGCTCAGTAGATGTGGCGGTCGGATTTGAAACACGACTGGTACGTCCGATTCGAAATCATGTTGGTACTGGTAACTTCCTATGGGGTCCTACATACCTACTATCGTTTTGCGGCAACTCAGTGTAACACCGTGACCCTAAATATGTTTGCAGCTGTAGTTGAGGGGTGGCATGAGTCCTAGACAAAGACAATGCAAAGCTTCAGTTCCAAGATATCCCTCATGCTTGGCCAACAGTATCAGGACGGATCTTTCCTTTCTGCAATTGAGGGCACCAGTATTCGGAGCGACTTGCTAATACCTATAGAAGTCGGATGTGGCTTGAGAAAAGAAGGCACTGGATGGGCGATAAGGATAACAGACGCACCAAACTCCTATTGGAATTGGCGGAGCGTACATAATTCGGTTTACGGTTAATGCCCCGAGTACGAGTGATAATCTATGACGACGTTTTATACTTCCTCTTCCTATGTGCACGTCTTCTCCCCCAGTACTTCTTCTTTCTTCTCCACCATACCCACTCGCCGCAAGCACTAAAAAGCTTACTAGAACAACCTCATGGAGAGGGATGTCATTATATTCTAACTTTATTTCTCGATTTATAGGCGCCGCCGAGGGGCTCTAACGATCGGATGGATCGACGCAGTTTCTTGCCCATTTCCCTCTTGTGGGAGCAAAGTGTTGCTTTCCTTGGTTATAGTCCGGGTTTTATGTGGGGCACCCACCTCCAGCCCTAGGACGAGGGATTATCATCGCCCAGTGGCCCTAGACCTAGGATAAACTCCGACTCGAGTCCGCTTTTAACATGAAGAAGGGCTTGAGGTTTTCATTAGAGGTGATAGTCCAACCATACAAATATTTTCGTCTAGCGTCTAAACCCGGAAACAGGCCTTCTAGACGTTGAACGGAGTCTTGGGGCTAAGAATTGTGTGGGGACTACATGCAGTACTTCTGGGTTTGGATAAAGAGAGACAACGCAAATTGTTTTTAACTAGTTACTTTTCTTTCCTTTTCTTTTTTTTTCCCCCTTTCTTTATTATTGAGATGGCGGTGGGGGTGGGGCAGTTCTGGGGCAGTGCAACATGACCGCCATAACTGACGTAAGGTTGCACGCGATTAGCGAACTAAACAAAAAAAACAAAAAAATACTTCTGGGTTTCTTATTCACAGATGGAGCCGAGTCTGTTCTCTAGGCTCTGTATGGGTATAGGAGACGGTGACATTTAGAGGTCCTCGGGGGATAGTAGGGGTGGAAGGGTGCACTCATCGGTATTCATTCGGTGGTGTCTGACAAATACATCGTTTCGTTATTATGCAGCTGGGACTGACAGTTTTCTGCACTGTGTAGATTTTTGTATAAAAGATTATGACCATTGGTCAGGTATATTAAATTCCTTTAATTGTACTGAATCTAGATGGGAAGCCTCAAAACCAACAGCTTTGCGATAAGTTATCGAAAATATTGACACGAGTGTTTTTCTCGATGCCCTTGGGTCTTGAATCTTGATGAGGGCCGATCCATCTCATGTTCGCTTGGTTGTGAGATCGAGAGGTAGATATAAAGGCAACACGGTACTAGCCTTAAGCAGTCTATAGGGCTGAAAGAGTAGGTGGGTGGGGTACCACGTATAGAGGAATACTGTTGCAATGTATACATGTAGTTCTTGACGTAATCATGGGAAAGCACCCATTTTAATTTACACCAAAAATGCCGCTTTCCAGTCCTGTCCCCCAACCACTAATTATCATAGATATTTTCTGAGAAGAAGAATATATATTATATGTTAAGAATCTTTCTATCAGCTCAAAGTCTAAATGGACAACGACCTCGGATTTGTAGCCATGGGATGCTCTCTGGAGATGGCGGCCATAGAGGTCATATGGTATCTTTTTCTATTACAGTTCTAGGGAGTACTAAATCAATTTACAAATGGATATAATTCAATAGGGTCCTGGATTTTTCAAGTTTCATACGATACTTCAAATTTAATTATTCTTGTAAATTTAGCTGTCCTGCGCGGATGGAAACAAACTAGATATCCTCGCACCCCGTAAGCGCCGTAACCTCTTCTAGGGCTTGATACAAAAAGAAGAAAAAACGGAAAGCGCACGTATCTATGTGACTGTCTGGTCCCGTTGTTTTCCTGCATAGCGACCAGCCCCCCCCCCCCCCAAAAAAAAAAAAAAAAAAAAAAAAAAAAAATGCCACCTCCAACGGCGTACCTAACCATGCCACACCCCCAAATTCGAACGGTATGTCAAATTCGTGAGTTCGAAGGTCTTTCTTTCCTTTAACTGCGCAGACTGAATAAACCCCCTAAAATATTACTGGGTTGTATTGAGATATCAGCGGGGTATATATCAAAAGCTTTTTATTAACGGGGTACGGCCGGCCGGGGATGTATATCACTAAGTTGTATTAACTGGGTGGTAGAGAGTCAATGGGGTATCAAACTATCAATGGTGTATTAACTGGCAACGGGCTCATGAGGTCACTGCCCCCACCCCCCCGGGGGGGGCGCAATCAGGATGGAAGGCCGGAATTAATTGGAGCAGAAGGGACCCGCGCTCGCGAGGTCAGCCACTGATGTACATGTACATACATGGTTCCTTTTTTCTAGCGAGAATTTAGGTCGCGGGGAATTTCGGTGTCCGGCTAGACCATCACTTTTCTCGGGTCGGCACGCAGTGACCCAGCCCGTGCACAACTCACACCGCACATGGAGTTTCGCTGGGATGATGAGACAAAAAGTTTTCCGCATCTTTAGATCTGTGAATCATTTACTTAAATTAGTGGGGTGGACATTCGTAAATTTGGATAGACCAATCGAGGCAGCCTTTGGACGAAATTTCTCAGATTTCGCGGTAGTATGACATCAGACAAGATCCAGTAGGTGAGCGGCTGTGCCTGTTTGCGGTGACGACACAAGGATCCTCTAAACGTTGCTTATCATGCAGGAAACTTTTTGAGGGGTACTCGTAGTATTATTTACCTACGACTGTAATAATTCAGCCTTGGTTTACGATCATGAAGTGGTTTTGTAGGTACAGCGACCAGCAAAATTACCCAAAACCACCCAAGTTTGTGCACGCGTACGATTTATACGTTCTATATTCTCCCATAACTATCCCTCTATATCCGTGAATCTATATAAATAGTTTCTCATGCTTTGAGTATATTCCAACAGTATATCTATAGCTATAGTAAGGTTTGCATATGTAGTACTCTAGACCATAGGAGGTACCGGTACACTCTGGTAGGACCGTTGTGGGGATAGGTGTTGTGTGCAAGATCTCTGTTCTTAGCTCTCGATCCTGGCGAAGGTTTAGGCGATAGAATTAGGTAGAAGCCCCCTATTTCCAGAATAATTCTATAAAGCTGTAGGTGATAGGTATTATATTTCTTCTGGGGAGCTCGCGGACAAGCCCCATACATTCCCGATGTTCCCCGAGACCTGCACGTCTCGTGGACCCTGGACTCGCGGACAAGCCTCATACACCCCGTCTTTCTTCGCTTATGTAAAAGTATCATGCATGCGCATGCGGCATGCACGAGTACTTTTAATGGGAATCGCAAATATTCCCTTTTTTCGCTAAAACCATAGCCAATCCTTAAAGTGTAATCTCATCTCCTGCTCTTGTCCCCCGACTCCCAAGCCGTTAAATCTAGGGTAGAGTACCTACATAGAGTACTAACATATATGTATGCAGAATACTTACGCATATATGTACATACCAATTAGATCCTACAAATCCTACGAGCTCAATGTAGTGTATGTATGTAGTTAATCCTTACCCCACCATACCCTGGATCGATTCGATACCGGTAAATATATTTACTTTTTGCGCCTGCGTGTAAGTACGAAAGGTGATACGTACATGTATTGATTTGCCGGTATGCTTCCGGAATGATGGAACCATGGCCAATCACGTGACACTCAAACCTTTACAACAATCGTGATGAAATCAATTCGCTGTGCGGGTTTAGCCTTTAGCATGTGTGGTATATGCTATATATGTGAATTCATTTTTTTATCACGATTATCACCGAAGTTATAGAGGGTTTAAGTATCAAATTTTATTCGGCCTGACGGATTATGATTAAGGAATATGTGCTTAACTACGCTTCAGCACAGGGCTGTCACGGAAGGGAATTTTGGAGTTAAAGGACGGTTAAGGATACACGCACTGGTACCATGATTGAGACTCAGTATTGCCACTCAGCAACCCAGAAAGCAATATGTCTCAGCTTGCTCAACCCTGTTCGTATTGGGTCAACATGCCCCCCATCTAGTAGGTATATGGCAACATTCCCTAGACTCCCCGTTAATTAGATCCTAATGGGCATATGTGTACACCTACATGTTAAGCATGTAAGGCTCCGGAAGGGTGAGCATGCGCAATTCATTGAATATAAAACCAGTCGTGTGAAGAGCATCCGACTACCTAACAACTGGATGGACCATTCCGCAAAGAAATTAATATATCTTCGATATCCCCCACATATATATCTATGCGATGGACCATAAACACGTCAAGTTATCAAAAAGACCCCGTGTCTACACACGAGATGAATGGAAAGACAAGCGTCATGCATTTACAGAACTTTATCTGCATGAGAGCAATACACTGGCTAAAGCAATGGATCTCATGGCAAAAAAACACAATTTTTATGCAACGTGAGTCAGGCCCTTTATCGATATATTTGTGTAAAACAGAGATTATTGATTCCTAACGATAAAGTAGTGAAGCACAGTACAAGGACAAAATCAGAGATTGGGGGCTCGGAAAAAATAGAGTGTACAAATCAAAAACTGGGACTCGAAGGAGGTCTTCCAAGTTCAAACCTGGAATGAAGCCAATAGGGACGGATGAGCGTACCGGAAACTTGCGCAAAAGACACAAAGGAACCGGCCGTAATGATCCGAATACAGATTTGGGTGATTGCGAAAATATTCAGACAGGTACATATATGCATAATTACACAATGTTTTATGTAATAAAGTCAACATTAAGATCTCGTATTCTAATTGCCACTGGGATCTAGGCTTCCTGGTTGTTCCCGCCCATGTAGCACGGCCTACAGAACCTCCGATAGAATTCGAAGCGGCTTGGGAATTCAAACACAATAACGCGGTCACAAGCAGCGTCAATCTTCCTCGCCCCAATTTATATACAGGAAACCCCGACGCCGGCCCCGCGCAAAGTGTATCGTTCTCTGAATCAGCTGCGTCAAGTTCACCGTTAGGGCCTTTCAATGATAATACCATCCAAGAAGAACATCACATTGACATCAACGAATTCGAATATAATAACCATTATATACAAGGGGAGAAGCAAAAGCCCTCCGACCCTATTTTACTCATACCTCCTATCATTGACGAAGCAGTCAAACCATTGACCAAAAACAAGGATATCGACTTATCCGCAGATATAGAGTTGCATGGTGCATCCGAGGGCCATAAAGGGATAGACAGGCTTATACTACAAAAGAACACATCTATTTCAAGTGAGGACTGGTCATGTGGAGAAACACCTCTGAACAAGGCTGCGCGCGCGTATTGCAACTCTGAGGGCGTGATCCGTTTTTTACTTAAATTCAATACGGATGTTTCGTCACGGGGCTTGGATGGAGAAACAGCACTACATTGGGCAGCTGTACGCAATCATAAGAAAGTAGCTCGCCTACTACTAGATAAAGGCATTGATCTTTCACCAAACTCACACGGGGAGACTGCGCTGCATTTGGCAGCATGGTATGGCCACGAAGAGATAGTCCATCTGATACTCAGGAAGGATATCGACCCCTCGCAACAAGATAAAGATGGACTTACAGCACTAGGTTGTGCAGAGCGTAACAATCATGAAAGAATAGCTTGTTTACTGCGTAGGAGAGATATGCTGAAAACCTGGATGGGAGATCACGACGAACAATCTGGTCCATCCGGCCTACACGATGACCCTCCTACCTCAGATTCTAAGACTCTTACGACGTCTTACCCACCCCTCGACACAACAAGCAACTGTCCAGATAATATACCTCCTCTTTGGGGCCCTTATTATAACCCCAAAGAGCGTTCACAGCAAACTAAGCTACACATATTCCATCCGTAGCAACCGAGCAAGAAAAGTTACCATCAACTTGCATCACCGAATGACTATAAAGGCGGCATAGATAATGTATATCATATCTATTGATCGAGAGGAAGTGATTACCACACAAACTTCTTCCGTAAGCTATTCCCGGTGCGTTACCACTGATCTTATTGACCCATATAATGAGGTCTCGGATGCCTCATATGTAGGCATATCTTTGAGCTTCCATGAACCTCTAGATATAACTATAATATCAAGGAGTGGTCCTCGGGGCTCGAGCTCAGCCGGAATAGTGATGTTTCGATCATGGGTCATCACTCGTTATTCGCAGGACCCAAAAATGCTAGTACGAGCGAGCGGTAGAGGTTATTCATCTCTCACGTTCGTATAAACTTTAAATTGTTCTTATCAAATTTACGATGATTTCCAGGGCTTGTGTCGGTGGTCGCCAACTGACCTGGTTTGGTGGTTCTGAGCTCATGGACGGATCAAAACTCGCCAGATGATCGCGTTCACACAGCTTTTTTGTTATTGATTCGGTCATAATTATAGTGGGTAATTATACGGGCTCTATACTTTTGAACATCCATCTCTGATTTTTTTGCGAGGCAGTGAACGGGAGGGAGGGGGATACTGTGTGATGGTGTTAATTTCCAATATGGTGTATGTAAATACATACATATACGCATTTAGAGCTTCGTGGATATACTGTGTGCATACCTTTATAGATGGAATACGACTGGAACTAGTTTTGAGCGAAAAATGATTTGTAAATCAAAATCTTTCGTCCCACAAAAAGTGATCATGAGCTTCCTACTAAGGTCAACTTTCACGACTCCGACCCACCGAAGTCAAAGTTCCACTTGCTCTTTGATTAATGTACTCAAATCAACATTACTGTCCCGCCAAAGTTGGTGTTCTCGACTCTCCGACATCCCACCTGTGGTTTTCTACACTGGATTTATGACGTCTAATTAGATCTGTGATTTCCTCTTTTTATCATAGCTTGTCCACGTTACATCTTTATCACGTCCCCGGTCTCAAGAGGTTATACTATAGATACTCCACAAACATGGAGGAGCCCCACCAAGCGTTGAGCAGAGTTTCGAAGGCGGTAGCTTACGGATACATGTATACCGTGTGTATATGTAGCGAGCATGTACCTGTGCCGAGAACCTTATGATCTCATCTACATAATAAGACAACAATATTTTGGCCAGCACCTGGAGTAGATCCTTATAGACCAGACATGCACATACAAGAAGCCCGGCACAGGCACATTCTCGCCACAGGTGCACTAAGTCCAGTTATTCAAGCAACCTAGATATATATACGGAATCATAAAGACTTCTGGTTGATAGTACCCTATGATAGCTATCGATCCGGTTAGAGTACTTCAAGGTTCTAATTCCGGACGGAACTGCATGTACTGGCTAGTACATAGGGTGAAGAAAGCCACCGAGTGAGAATCCATGCACCAGGTTTTAAAGTTGAAACGACGTCATGAGGCACAAGCAAGCAAGTAACGATTATTTATTACATGAATTAAAAGGAAAATCCATTTATTGATTAAAAGTGCACTTCTATAAAGATTGAGTATGCATGTACCTCGCACTCAAACCGCATCCCAGCACTAACTACAATTAAGTAGCCTCTTCGGGTACGGTCTGCGTGCAAGTCCTGAAAGCCGGATTCAATCGGCCAGGGGGTTTTACTATACGCCATTCGTTTACCTCATCAACCGTGACTATAGCCCCGGAGGGCCGCGATTGGTGAGGAGATAATAGGCGGGATATGATATGGGAGAGGGAAGGTGGGCGGGCTTTAGAATATTTCCGAGATTTATCTGTTGAGCTCCAATGGTATTCATGTCATTAGTATTAGGGGGGTGAAGTCGGAGAGATGGGATTGAGCTTGATGCATTTGTTGCTCCAGAACAATTGTTGATACACAGCCAAATGACAAGAAATGCACCGTACCCCCCGCGGTCTATGCACCCAAACCCCCCCACTCCGTGCCCGCGCTCAAAACACGGAGCTCAGGGCAAAAAAATAAAAGGAAAAAAAACCCCCTAGAATAGAAAAGAAATCCCCCCCCCCAACCGCTGGCCTTCCCCCCTTCCCCCGAACTAAATTTACTTTTTGCTTTCATATATGCGACCGGAAAGAAGAAAAAAAACCAAACCAGTTGTAACCCTTTAAATTTTTGTTTCTTTTTTTTTTTAACGGTTGTGTGCTCGATTGTGTTTTTTTTTTTCAAGGTAAAAAAAAAGTTGAATTTATTCCTTGTTCTTGCCCTTGTCATCCTCCTTGGCCTTTCCTCCCTTCCTCTCTAGAATGGCGTCACGGTCCTTGTCGATCTTGAGCTTGGTGATCTTCACCTTGGAGGGGTGAATGCCGATGGGTACGGACTGGCCGTTTACCTTCTCGCGGTTGAGACGCTCGATGTGGATGACGTACTTGAGACGGTAGACGGAGACGACCTTTCCCTCGCTGCCCTTGTGGAATCCACGGGTGACCATAACCTCATCGTCCTTGCGGATGGGGATGGAGCGGACCTGTATGGGAGGTTAGATCTTTCTTTCTTAAGCTGTAGATGCGAGAGGGAGCTATCCGGGGGGAGGGGGGGGGGGGGGGTAGGTACGTTGTGCTGGGCGCGGAGCTCCTTGGAGAGAGGGGCCGACATGATGACACGGCGCACCGATGAAGGGGCGCTGAAGTGTGCCTTTCTCGACTTTCTGCGAGAGGACGCGAGGGCTAATTGTCGTCCAATGTTTTGTCAGTTCAGAGGTTCACTTTTTCAACAATTCCATATCTTTCTCGTTCCATCTTCCCCAAAAATCTTCAATCCCTCGATCGATTCCCTTCTCTTTCTCTCTCTCTCTCTCCCCTCCAACTTTTCCTCCGCTCAAAAAAAAAATCCCATTCCCTGTTTTTCATTTTCCCGGGGGGAAGGTGGAGGGGGAAAAAAAAAATACGAACCGGAGTTTTGCTTTGCCATTTCTGTCGATTTTTGGTCGTTTGGTGGTGGGGTTGGATTGTCGTGGAAATGTTGTCGTCGTCGTCAATTTTCGGCTGGGGGAAGGGGCGGAGGTGATTTTTCGCTAGGCCTGGGGTAGTGCGTAAAGTTGTGTGGGAAGGGGCAGTCATGGGGTTGGGCCCTAACCTCAGGGTAACTTTGCTGCACCCAACGTCAACAACATCGGATGGTAGGAGCTGGGGTGACACAAAGTTCATGGTCTAAGACATGAGACGAGAATTGGTTCAATAAGTGAAGAATCGAAGACCTAATTTTTATTCGTATACGCATGCTCAGTGTTTATGCACGGGAACGAAAACTGCATAAACGATTCGATTCTCTCAAAAGAACTATTAGGTGACTTTAGCGCTGTAGACGGTACAGCAGTCTCTCGCTTAAGGGTACGCCATAGAAGTTTAAGGATTAAGTGTTAAGAAGGTTTTAACGGGCAATCCTATCCTTATAGGACACCGACATTACCGAGAGGCTGCCGTACTCTGTAGTCGTAGAGGATCATGCGTGACTGACTGTCAGCTACGTATACAACAACTGTGGACTGGACTTATGGCGAGTAGGTGGCATGACAGCTTGCCCTCAATTACGTCGTATAAAGCTAGAAAGTCTCGTCAATTTAGATTTGCCTCAGCTATTATTAAAAGACGCATTGCTTTACAGTACCTACTTGCTACGACCCACGTGCACGCCTATTATATTATCCCTACTAGAAGCGAGAAGGATCAGTGTGCATCGGATCACAAAATCTCTTGAGGAAGCCAGCATCATATTACAGTGGATTCAAGCAAAATTCGCGCTTTCACTTGTTTCATTTATCCAGGTAAGAACACCCATAGTTGTAGTCTGGCGACTCTCTGTGACAACCGTTATGAAACTGCGACTATTCGTTCAACCCTAGCCCAGACCAGACAGGGTAACCACCATCAGATAACGCTAAGATCCTCAAAGCGGATCTGATATGTAGCGCAGAGACACGCCAAGGGCCAGGGCTCCCGTTGTGGCTCCCGTATGATGCTCACACACCCCAGCTTGTGTGTGTGTGTGTGTGTGTGTGTGCTCTGTGCACTGTCCCTGAGGCTCTTCCCAGACAAACGAGCGTGAGAGAGAGAGAGCACACTGTCCGCTCTCTGCCTGCTGTACCTACGAAACTGCATAATCATAATACCTTAATCTGACCTCTCCCCGTGAGACCGTGTTTGTTTTCCCCACAACGACTCACTCCCCCCCCCCCCCCCCCCAACACATCCCATCAATATAATCATCTTCATCATCGTTGAAAGCTCGTCCCAACTCCCACCGGGTTTGTTCCTTCAAGATTCATTGTTCTATCATGTCGCACGCGTACTGACGCGTCTGTTTTTTTCATCTACAGGCGGTTTTGACTGACTCGTTGTCTGCCTTAACCCAACCCAACCCCGTCCGTCCGTCCGTCCGTTCCTTGGAATGGCGTCCAATAATCCCGGCTACACATACCCGCGCCCGCAACAACAGCAGCAGCATCAGCAGCAGCCCCAACAGCAGCACCCCTCGATCCAGAACCACACCCACATCCAGCAGAGCTTCTCACAGCAGGGAAACTACGGCGTAAGTAGAGGTGGCGGAGATGTCGGCAGTGGTGGAGGAGGAGGAGGTGGTGGTGGTGAAGCTTCGGGAAGGACTGAATATGCGGCAGAGAGATGGCCCGACTACGGGGCTCCGCAGCAGCACCATGGACAGTACTCGCCTGGGCTCCAGCACGTCCAGGGTATGGCGTCGTTGGGGGTGCAGTGTCACGCCCGAATTCTCGTACAGCTGATGTAGCACCTTCGTCTATTAACTCTAGGACATCTACTGTTAGCCCAGTACCGGGCCGCGCAGTGGGCACTTTCAATGGCGGAGGCAGTAGTGGTGGAGGTGGAGGAGTGGGAATGGCAGTAGGAGGAGGAGGAGGGGGAGGAGGGGGAGGCTACGACCAATACACTGGCGCGCACTATCAATCGCAACCATCAGCCACCACCGCTGCTACCGCAAACCAGGGCAGCTCGCGGACCGTGACTGCGGGCGCTAGTTTTGGCGGCTACAACAACTACGGCACCCACTACACGCAGTCGCAGCCGCCCATAACCATCGCCGAGATGCAACAGCAGCAGCAGCAGCGCACGGCACCGCAGCAGCGAGTGGCGGCGCCAGAGTATATCGACTACTCCACTGCCGCTGCTGCTGCCCCCTCTACCCACGCGCACACCCACACGCACACCCACACCCCTGCAACAACCGCGTCGCAGAACTACACGCCATCGTACCAGACTGCAGACTCGATCCGCACGCAGCAGGCAACGTCCCTGTCCACGCCCACGCCCGTGTACCAGAACGCCGCCGCCGCCGCTACCACCACCGTCCCATCATCCTATGAGGGCACATACACACCCGTGGACCCGCAACCCCAGCGGCAGCAGCAGCAGCATCGTCCACGACAACCCCAGGCCCAGCCTGCCGCCCCTGCACAACAACCCGCGAAACAGAAACAGCAGCCTCGCGCCCCCCAATTCCAATCGGTGAACCAGCAGCAGCAGTCACGCAACCCCCAACTCCAGGCCGTGAAGTCGCCGCAATACCAACAACAGCCCGCGCCTGCCGCAACGATGCAGTACAGCAATGCCTTTTCCCAGTCGCAGCAGCAGCAGCAGCAGCAGCAGCAACAGCAACAGCAACAGCAGGAGCAACCAGCGATCCAGCGCACACCCACACCATCTTCAGTCGCAGCGCCATACCACCAGCCGGCGCCCGTGCACTCGCCCCAGATCCAACACACGCATGTCACGCCATCGCAGCTGCACTCCCCGCAGTTACAATCCCCACAGATCCACTCCCCGCAAATGCAAACACAGTCCCCGCGCCAGGCCCCCGCCCAACCCCAAGCCCAGATCCCGCAGCAGCAGCAACAATACCAAGCCCCCGCACCCCCCTCCGAACCCCCCGCCCAGCAAAAAGCCAAGCCAAAGCCCCGCACTAAGAAGCCGCAAGACCCGAGCCTCCGCGTCAAGGCCTGGGAACCGACAATGCCCATGCTCTACCGGCAGGCAATGCACCCGGCGCATAACTACATGCCCTCCGAGCCGCCGGCACAGGGGCTCGGCGGCGGCGGTGGTGGTGGTGGTGGTGCCAAGACGATCACGATTGATCCACAGCGGGAGCAGGAGCAGCGCCAGCTGATTGAGGCCCAGGCGAAGCGGATAGAGGCCGACATGCATGCGGATCTGCAGGCACGGAAGCAGGCGGAACAGAGGGTGCAGTATGAGCGGCAGCAAGCGGAGCACCAGCAGCGGGCTTATCAGGAAGCGCAGCAGCGGGCGCAACAGGGACAGCAAGCGCGCCAGCAGCAGCAGCAGCAGCAGCAGGAGCTACGCGCTCAACATCTGAAGGCAGAGCAGCAGCTGCAGGAGCAGGAGAATGCGCGGCAGCGGCAGGAGCAGGAGCAGGAGCATTTGCGCGCGATACAGGCGGCCCGCCAGCGGCGGCTTGAGCAGCTGGCGGAGCAGGAAGCCCAGCAGATGCAGGTGCGGATGGAGGCCCAGCGCCAGGCCGACCTACAACAAGCCCACCAGCAGCAGCAGCAGCAGGCCGAACAGCACGCCCAAGCACCCCCACAGCACGCCCAAGCACCCCCACAGCAAGCAAACCAAACCTACCCCGAAACCCAGAACTACCAAGCAGCCCCGGCACCAGAAGCGCGTCCAGCGGCACCGGCACCGGCGCTCAACAAGGAGCTGATGGAGGCGCAGATGAAGATCATGGTGGAGCGGATGCGGTACTACCAGTCGGCGGACCCCATCACGTTCCAGCAGGTGTGGGAGAACGTGCGCAAGAGCGGCGGCGGAAACAATGCAGGCGCAATTACTAACGGTAGTGCAAACGGCGCGATTATGGCTAGAGACGGGAGCGCGGGTAGTAGTAGTGGTAGTGGTAGTGGTGAGGACAGGGGACAGAATAACAGTAATGTAGATACCCAGCGGCAGCCAGCCCAGAATGCCAATGCCAGTGCCAGTGTCCCAGCAGCCCCAGCCCCAGCCCCAGCGCCGCCGCCTGCACCAGCCCCAGCAGCAGCGGTGGTGGCCGCCCAACAACCAGCGCCAGCGCCGCCAGCACCCGTAGTAGTAGCAGCGCCGCCAGCCCAAGCCCAAGCCCCACTGCGCAAGTCCGGCCCCGTAGACATCAAGACCGCGCGAGCAATCAGTAAATACCTTCACCAGCACTCTGGCCACAGCCCCCCGGAAGCCGCCATTCTCGAGCTCATTCTCAGCGTCACGAGCTTTATTGCGCTGTGCGACAGGCTGGAGGTCATGGGGTATAAGTTCCACCGCGGTAACTTCTCGAGGTATCTTTTGGTCGAGGTTGATGGTGGAGACGCTGAAGAAGAGGAAGAACAAGCGGAGCTGGGGGTGGAGGCGGGTGAGATTGATATGGGGGAGAGTAGGGTGCTGGGTGAGGTGGAGGATGATCAGGAACAGATTCTTAGAGAGCTTAATGAGACGCGGAGGTCGTCGCCTTCTCCTGTTGTTGTTGTGGAGGAGGTTGTGGATGTGGAGGAGATTGTGGCTAGTGTCACACCTGAGAGGGCTGTGGTGGGGGCGGCTGGTGCGGGCAGAAGTGCGGCTGAGGAGACGGGTATAAAAACGAAGCGGGGGAGAGGCAGGCCGAGGAAGTCGACGGGACAAGAACAACAACAACAACAACAAACGCAGACACAGACACAGGCGGAGAGCGCGATGATGGAGGCTGAGGCACCAAAGACGCCGTCTGCGGAGGCGGAGGCGGCGAATGGCAGCTCGCTTCCGACACCGACGAGTGTTGTTGTTGGGGGGTTTGGTTCTACTTCTACTTCTGCTGCTGCTCCACCACCATCATCTCTCTTTCACACCAACACCAACACCAACACCAACACCAACACCAACACTACATCCCACCACACCAACAACGCCAACAACAATAACAACAACACCAACAAGAACAAAAACAACAACTTCATGCCCCCCCTCTCCAGCAACACCACCTCCCACTCCTCCCCCTCCCCCTCCCCCGAAGCAGGCACGTCCCCCACCGCCGAGTACCTCGCAAAACAATACGTGCCCCGCCGCCCCACGCCACAGAGCGTCAAGGCCCGCGCCGCAGCAGCGCCCGCAACAGCCGGACGCCAGTTTGTCGCGCCATCGCAGATCTACCGCCCGCCGACGCCGCCGCCAAGGATGGTCGAGCAAGAAGACAGGGCAGATGTTGAGATGATTGACCCTGCCCCTGACCCTGCCCCTGCCCCGGCACAGGAAAAGGGAAAGGGAAAAGGAAAAGGAAGGCTCATCGTGAAGCTAAAGGTTAAGAAGCCACCCGCTCCCGCACACGTTCCGGTACCGGTCCCGGCTAGCGCGACGATCGATTTGACGGGAACTACGCCTGAGCCCCCTACACACAACCACAACCACATGCCCGCGTTTGGCGAGCTGCGCGAAGCAGACCTAGAGTGGGGGCAGCACACGCACGAGGCAAGCCCTGAAAAGCGCCCCGTTCTCATCCCCATCCCCATCCCACTCCCTCTCCCACACGCAACCCCAGTCCCACCCCCAGCCCCAGCACCAGCCAAGCAGCGCGAAACCGTGATCCAGCCGCTGAAGCGCGAAAAGGCGCTCGTCAAGCTCACATACGACTCCACCACCATCGCGCGCGACATCCTGCTCGTAATGGGACGGCACCCCGAGATGCGTGCGCTGAATGCGCATCTGGACGCGCTGCGGTCGGTCGCGGGGAATGAGGTGGATCTGGCGACGGTGCGCTGGGACCTGTTGGATCCTGGGCCGGAGTTTGTGATGTTTGGGGGAGATATGGCGATGGAGGTGGGGGATATGGCGGATGACGAAGATGATGGCGGAGGTGCTGTTGCGGCGAGAGTGGTGGTGCCGCCGGCGGTGGGGAAAGTTAAAGGTGCGATACAGCAGGTGGCGCCCGTGGCTGGAGCTGGAGCGGCAGGAAGGGGGAGGGGGAAGAAGAGGGGGAGTATGAGTGTGCTGGGCGCTTCGGTGGCTAGCTTCGGTGCTCAGGGCGGGTTCACGACTGCGTCGAATGGGAATAGTGGTGGTGGTGCGGGCTCGGGCAACAATACTACTGCCACGCCCGCCTCCGCCTCCGCCCCGGCCACAACACCGCGGACTCAGACTCAGACTCCCGCAGGGAACAACAACAACGGCGGCTCAACCGCGCGCACAGCCAGCACCCTCCGCACCGTCATGACACCCGACGCCGCGGCAGCAGCTGCCGCCTCCTCCCCCTCGCGCAACTTCTCCGTCGTCATCCAATCCCCACGCACCAGTGGCCCGCGCCCACCGCCCCCCACCACAACCACAACCAACGCCCTCAAGCGCAAATCCACCTCGCACTCACCAGCGCCCAAAAAGCCCGCGCGAATGCGGCGCACCAAGGCGCGCGACGACCCGCCGCCATCGGGGTTCAAGGTGTTCAAGTGCCGCTGGGAGCACTGCTTCGCGGAGCTGCACAACTTTGAGACGCTGCATGTGCACGTCGTGCGTAACCACGGGATCAAGGGCACGCATGGCGGGTTTACGTGCCGCTGGGCGGGGTGCTCGCGGCCTGCGCCTGCCGCCGCGAAGCGCCGTGGGGGAGGGACGGGGGAGGGCGGGACGGGGGCGAGGTATCCGTGGGATTTTGATACGCTGGAGCTGTGGACGGGACATATGGATTCTGCGCACCTGGACGCTGTTCGGAGCGAGCTGGGCATGGGGCCGGCGGTGGGGCTGTTTGGTGCGTCGTTGGCTTCTTCTTGTTTTTCTTCTTCTTGTTAGTGGGTGGATTGCTGACGGTAGAGACGAGTGCTAGACCGTGACGCAGCTGTCGCAAGCGACGTGGACTATCTTTCCGATAGCCGCGGACGGCAGGTTACGCCGATTGCGCGGCCCGCGCCGGAGGGGTATGTGTTTTTGCCGCCGCCGCAGGTTGCGAATCGGCATTTGGTGCGGGCGAGGAGGTTGGGGGCGGGCATGGAGGGGAATGAGATGGAGGGGCTGATTGATAGGGAGATGGAGGCGTCGTTGGGCGTGGTGTTGATTAGGAGGGCGAGGCCGGAGGGGGAGGTGAGGAGTGGTGCTGGGGGGAGTGCTGGTGCTGGGGGGAGTGGGAGTGGGGGGCAGGGGCAGCAGGCGGAGGCCCCGGATGCGGATGGGTGGGTGAGGCAGATGAGGTTTACTATCCACCGTCCGTAATTAGGGGACGCGAGGGTTTCTTCTGCTGGGGCTAAGGAGTCTGTTGGCGGATAGATGGCTGGGTAATGGGAGGAGTAGGAGGAAGGAGGAAGGGGGGGTGTAAAAAGATGGGTCTTTCTTGTTTTTTTGTTTTTGTTTTCCTTTTTCTTTTTCAATGTCTTTTGTTTAGAAATACACGAATGACGATGATGCGTTACTCAATCTTGGTTTTGTCTTGGTCTTGTCTTGGTCTTGGTCTTGGGCTTTATTTTTATCGTTATCTTTAGCTTTATCTATAGTCTAGTCTAGCCTAGTTGGTTTGTTCTGTACGCGGTGGTAGTGGTAGAGAGGGAGGGAGGGAGGCGGTAGAGAGAGAGAGAGAAGGGGGGAGGGGAGGGGAGGGTGGTATGTAATACCCATGAGCCTGGGCCGATATCTAAACATTATCTCTTTTTCTTGCTGTTGTTGTGGGTTGTCTTTACTCTCGGTCCAAACTTCTAGCTAGCTGTAGCTGTCGTGTATTTGTTATTTTATACCATTGGATTTTTTTTCTTCTTTTTCTTTTCTTCTTCTTTTGGTTTGATTTGTTTTCTGGTGGCCGGTGGCTGGTAGCTAGTACAGAACTGCGTGCTGCTGGCCTGTTTCTGGGGCGTGCATGGGGAAGAGTAGAAGTAGTGGGTGCTAGGGCGCCGGGGGCGCCGGGGGCGCCGGGGGAGGGGGAGGGGAGGGGGGGACGGGGGACGGGGGTGTAGAATTAGAACGCGGACATCAATCAATCAATAAGGGTATAATAACTCTGGAGGGCTCGGACCGAGTGATGGGTTGTGACTAGCCGCGTGTTTCGGCGCTATGGGGGGGGGGGGTAATGATCGGATGGAGGGTAATGATCGGATGGAGGGTAAAAATGGGGGGTGTGGGTGTGGGTGGGGGTGGGGGTAGGAGGGGTGCTTGGGATTCATGGTAGATTGCATGTGGTTGATGCTCGTCGGCTAGGTATATATAGTACATGTCAAGCACATATGTACCGGGTGTTGAGGGTAAGTGATCAGAATCTGATAAGTGAATGTTACGGTGAATAGGTGTATTTGTCATCACATTCTGATCACTTTTCGCTACACCCTAGTACATGTAGTTATGCGGGTGGATTGGCCGTGGTTTAAGGCTTTGGGGGGGGGGGGGGGGTGTTCTTATAAAACACGCTAATGTGCGATGTTACTTACATGTAGTAGATACTCGATGGCCAATATGTATGTGCATGGAGATTTATAACGGTTGCCAAGGCTTGAGATACGTGCGGGGTTTGGCTTCTTTCATTCTGTGCCGGTACCTTGGGCTTGGATATCATATCAGGTCTCGAGATTTAATTAAAGCAAAGGGAATTTAATTCTTGGTGTGGGATGTAGTTGATACATAAGAGAAAGAAGAAGAAAAAATATAGTCTGCGTGTGTAAAACATAGAAAAATGCATGTGTTTGGATACGAACTTAGAATCGCCCCCCCCCCCCCCCCCTCTCCTAAACACCACGAAAAGAAAGAAAAAAGAAAAAATGCCCTATCTCGCATTGACCTCGGGGATATGAATGTGTAAATAAGCCATTCTGAACAGTTTTTGAAATGAAATGACTATCACGACTATATCTGGCGCATTACCGGGGCGTCGATATCACTCTAGAGCAGCAACTGGACTACCTTTTCATAGCCTTTAGACGCTGCTAGATGTAGGGCCGTCCTTCCAATTTTGTCCTTTGCTGAGACATCGACACCGCTCTGGAGCAGCAGCTGTACTACCTTTTCATGGCCATTAGACGCCGCCATATGTAGGGCCGTCCTTCCAATTTTGTCCTTTGCTGAGACATCGACACCGCTCTGGAGCAGCAGCTGTACTACCTTTTCATGGCCATTATACGCCGCCATATGTAGGGCCGTCTCTTTATACCAGTCCGAGGTTACTGAGACATCGGCACCGCTCTGGAGCAGCAGCTGTACTACCTTTTCATGGCCATTAAACGCCGCCATATGTAGGGCCGTCTCTTCACTTCCGTTCTTTGCTGAGGCATCGAAACCGCTCTGGAGCAGCAGCTGTACTACCTTTTCATGGCCATTAGACGCCGCCATATGTAGGGCCGTACCTTCACTTCCGTCCTCTGCTGAGGCATCGACACCGCTCTGGAGCAGCAGCTGGACTACCTTTTCATGGCCATGATACGCCGCCATATGTAGGGCCGTCTCTTCACTTCCGTCCTTTGCTGAGGCATCGAAACCGCTCTGGAGCAGCAGCTGGACTACCTTTTCATGGCCCCCATCCGCTGCCCAATGCAACGCCGTGCGTTTTTTATCATCCCTTTCCCAAACACTGTGACCTTGCTTGAGAAGCAAAATAACTATCTCTTCACGGCCTTGATATGCTGCTTCGTGCAGGCTAAGGGGTTCGTTATCGTTTCCCAATCCATCCCCTAGGACGTCTTGCGAGGGCCAAGAGAGCGATGATCTGAGGTCAGGGAGAATTGCAGTTTAGAGATCGAAGTCCTATTTAATAATTAAGATAGATGAATGGGTGTGAAACTCACTCGTCACTTCCCAAGTCGGCATCAAGCTCAATAATCTTATTCCCCTCATCAGAACTGTTATGAATTTGAATTGGTTGCTCTTCTAGAGCCGGGATCAGCGGTGCAGGGGACGATGTGTTGAAGGATCTCTGGCTTTGTCTTTGCTGGCCAGAGAAGGTTTGTTTAACCGAATAGTCGTGTTGCGTCTTATTGTCAAGTGTCTTTCCGCAATCTAAAGCTCTACCTGTATTTGCTTGTTGATCGAGGACTTCGTTTCCCAGCCCGGCTTTGTTGATCTCATGGGTAATAAGAGAAATACAATCCATGTGAGGCCTTTCACTGTCAACACCCCCCTTGTTTACAATCTGTGGATCCTGAGATGAATTTGCAGTCGTCTCATAATCGACTGCCGGGGGCTCATCAACTGGACGAGGTGTAGAGTAGGAAACAAAAGGGGGTGTATCTGTGAGCGTATACATGTCAGATACTTATATCTAGGCATCCCATATTCTAGAGGTATTTACCAACTTGTTCCCTTCCCCAATATTGATCCAGATCCGGACCTAGACCCTCAGTATCTAGTACTCCTTTGTGTCTTTTGCGCAAAAAAGTAATTTTCTCTCCGCTTATCTCTTTACCTTTGTATATGAATGTTGTTTCCTTATCTTCCACGTATTTTCGCTTGCGCTCTTTCCGTAGAATCCCCAAAGCAGTAGTTTTGTCGATATTTTTTTCTAGACCCCAGGCTTTGATTTTTTTCTTGTATTGCGCTTCACTATAATTTCACTCGTATATCAGCCAATTGTCTTTCCTCTTTGCATTGCACTTATGATTTATCTTCGCATTTTAAAAACAAGGTCGAGATATCCCACTTACGTCGCATAAAAGCCGTGATCTGCTGCCATCAATTCCCTTACTGTCGCTAGGGTATAATCTTGAGAGTACAATTCCACAAATACTGGGCGCTTTTCCTCCCACTCCTCCTTTGTATAGACGCGGGGCCTCTGAGGGGTAGCCGCGAGCACTGGGTATTGGTACATTGGACGAGTCCGTTCTTATTTGATAGTGTGTATGTAGTAGGATAATATAGTACTAGTGATTTGAACTGAAGATATGAACTTTTGGTCTGTGGTTTCGACTTGGAATAATATATTGCTGTTGTGATGCCGATGGAAATAAAGTGCGCGAAGTGCTCTGTTAAATAATTCGGTTTGACACTTGAGTACTGCAGGACGAGGCTGAATACGTCGATTTAATGTTGCCAAGGATATTTGATCATTGGCTGGACGGAGGTTTCGTGCATAATATTGGTGTGGGTGTCACTCAGAAGGCGTGTGTGACGTGACCCGGACGGAAGTTTCATGCATAAGTAAAAATATCGCTTGAGGTTTCCGATTTTAAGACATAGCTACATGTATGTACATGTATCTAGGGAAAATCTGAATGGGCATGAAATCAGAAAACGAGCAATTGTGCAAGGAATACTCATAGAAATTCCTCACTTAGTGAGGTGAATTAACGGTACTCTACTACTCCTCTTGGAGAGCATGGATGCTGGCGCATGATCATAATATCTACTAGGTACTCTAGCACAACTTCCACCGAATTGATGGAGAATAGCAGTCAACACAAGCTGGAGTATATATCATATACCATCCCAGTGGGAGGACTGGGTACGAGCCTAACCATATACAAATACGTATGTTATACCGGCCTAGGTGTAAGTCGTGCTAGTAGAGTGTTGGGAAGGGCTATATAATATGTACATATGTATGTACGTAGTATAAGTAAAGCTACATGTAGATACCGACCTCTCCAACGACAGGAGCCAGGCTTTATCGGTACGAGCTATAGCGCTAGTATTCTGCTATGGTATAATTAATCGACATATGCAGAAGTACGGCGCTCGACAAAGATCGAAGAATACAAGATCGATTCGTACGTATGGAGCTAGTATGCATCTATGTATCTGTTAAAATGTCTTCCATGACACTATGGGAAGTACTCTAAACATACGGTAGTTTACCAAGACTCCTACGACTCGCGATTTTATTTGTAGAGAACGGCTCCATTTACCAAGCGCAGACACCTGGCACGGAATTACAGTGGTACTCATACGGCCGGGCTATTATATATCCGAATCCGGCGGCCCGAGCAGCTAGCTGGCCAACAGCTATTGGCTAGCCGAAAGTATCTCGCATATATATTCTTGGCGTCCTAATCCACAATAAATATGCGGCTTCGTGGATGTCACACTGTTACCGTAGGATCTCGAGTTATTTGGGGGGTTGCCAAGAAAATAGCGCTCTTCTGCAGGATCTAAACTAAATGTGGTTTTAGCAGGTGGCCTTGGCAACCCCCCGAGATTTTACGGTACTCCACTCGGGTACAGTTAACATACTTACGTAGCCAAAACGAAACTATAAGTGTAGTTTTTGGGTGTTCTGAGTACAAACCTCTAATCCATTGGCTAGACAATAGTTTCGTGCATCAAGGGAGGTGGGGGTGATCCCGGAAAAGACAGGAGTTTCCCGCATGAGAGGCTACAATAACTCCTTGCTATTGGCCGAACAAAAGTCGCTTGCATAAATCGTCAACGGCTCGCGACCAGGAACTCATACAGGTGCTCCACGAAATCGCAGCTTAGAACATTCGAAACCCTCCGGAACCATGGAGGCGGGAAAGTAGCTTTACTAGAAGGTGATTCTGGTGTTAATAATATTGGACAGACGAAAGTTCTTTGCATATATTACTATACAGTTCATCTCATGCACGGAACTTTCGTTCAAGGAAATGATTGCCGCCGATATACCAGTGCCAGCTGCAGGTTGAATCTTGCCTCCTCACTCACTCACATACTCCTCGCTCGACGTACTGAAGATACACATATATATATCTCGTTCATTTCTCTTCATGAGCCGGTCTCAACTTTATCAACCCAATCCATATCCAACTTAACATTTCAAATTTTGCCTCACTCCGGGAGAAATCCCTTCTTAAATATATGATATATATATCGGCACCTTGACTCCTCTTCCTCTATTCTCAACATAAACTACCACCACTTCCTATCATTTATAAAGTCGTCATCCTTGAGAACCCTATTATCTCTAAATATTTACTTGCCTAGAACTGTCAAAAAGAAATGGGCAGTATTTTATCAGATTCAGGCCTTTACTATCCAGAGACTGAAACGTCCGAAAGTAGCGCAGAGGTAAGAGATATCCACCTACATGGAGTCTTTGAATATGTCTCTATACCAGTCATGATCAATCGATCTTAACTAACATAATAACAACGCAGATGTCAGAACTTTTGCCGAACTCATGGACCGATTTCCTTAGCAACGATAGCAACGAGGCGCCTATCGACGAAGTGACCCCTAATACATTCGATGAGGTGGATGACATCGATATTCTGTTACACTATCCACTGATACAATCAAGTACCGGTTATTCAATTGATTATCGACCCTTTGGCTACTCATCTCATTCCTCATCAGCTCTATTTCAAAATATCAGTACACATTCACTTGCGAACTCGCCCCATAATTCTATCCAAGAATTACTCCATGCCTCTATCCAGAATTCACCCCATACCCATGCTTCGATCCAGGACTCACCCTATACCTCTATTCAGGGCTCACCCCGTACCTCTATCCAGGACTCGCCCCGTACCTCTATTCAGAACTCGCCCTCTGTGGCCGAGAATTCTACACCCGGTGCATCACCCCCTCCGCCAGTCCCTGCTCTATCCAACGACTCCCATCTCAGCCTCAAGTACCATTGCAATATTCGCGGCTGTCGAAACCGTTCGGGCTTCACGAGCCTGAAATCACGTCTAGTACATGCTCGCAAGGTCCACAAAACCCGATTTTTCTGCAGTTGCCCGGAATGTCCATGGGTACACACGTACAGCAGTTTCTCAACTAAGGAGACTTTGGATGAACATTGGCGGGTGTATCATCCAAACGTGAACCATTTCAGATGCTCAGAGTGTTCATATACGACCGATAATGTGACAAACATCCAGTTGAAACATCTTAACGTGCATTTTAAAGAGGAGGGCGATATATCGGAAGCAATGGTGAGGATTCGGCAGGAGAAGGGGGCAAGACGTGGACGACGTAGGGGACAGGTTGAGAGCGATTAAATACCCCACCTTCTATTTGGGCTTGTGATTTTCTTTATCGGCCTGTTTTACCCTATCGCTCTGTGTTTTCACTACCATCATTACCGGTTCCTTATGTTTCTTAGCGTCTCTATATATTGGGTCATTCCTCTTCCCTTTGTAATAATTTAATATTCTAAACCATGAAGTTTTTTTTGTAACGTCACAATGTTTATCTTCACAGGTTATCACTCATGGGTGTAAACAATAAATCTAAACCAGTTAGCGTCGGCCCCCTCTACTTGCCGAGAAATAGGGCGTTATCCAAACAGCAACGGTTTCGCCCAGTACAGCTCTAAGTTGATAAACATCGCAAGATCTCATTTCAAATAGAATAGAGTTCTTCCTATATAAATCTGGTTGATATGATCATGAGTGTTGCTCTGCGGGACTGCCTCGATGCGACTCGGTTTTCGAGGCTTCCCTTGAGACCACAGTACCTTTTTCCGGTAAGTAGAGTATAGGCTACTGACTACATTTAATTAAGTATAAGGATCGAACACCCGAAATAATTGCGTTGATCTAGACGGAGGTTTAAGTCCTCATCATCATCTTCTTCATTTCGCGCTGAAGCATCGCCGTAAGGTCCATCTGAACTAAAACGTTTCATAGCATGGCCCATAGGGTTTTTTTCTGCTCGTAACACAGAAGAGACGGCAATCAGTGGACACATGGTTGGCCGCTAGCCAGCGCATGACATACAGATAGGTCACTTGAGAATCGAGCTCCCACTGAGATAATTGCCACGAAAAAGAAGATTTACTCAATATATAACATTTTACACAGCTGTCTCAGTAGATCTATTGAAAAACTCGGTCAATGATGGCCTGCTCGAGTAGAGGGGGAGAAGAATCTTTCAGCGATCAGTACACATTTGTCTCCCAAACGTCCCCATCCTACAGTACATGTATTTATCATTAATGCCATAATTTAAGCCGTACCTTAACAGTAAGTTTGATTGCGCGGCGTGACTTATTCATATTCTTCTTACTTTCTCATCCTGCAACGGGTAGTCAGAGCATGGATGGATGGCCATGGGTGTAGGTAATCTGATGGTTACAATTAATGAACTAAACAAACCAAAAAAAAGAGCTGATGGTTACGGGAGTTTCTAATGCCAAAAAGGCTTGGTTTTTTGTCCTGGCGGGCGCGCGTATGCGCACATAACAAGGCCTGTTCGGCTACAACGACCGTGGTTTTTGAGTTGGTGGTTCTGTTGCCTGAAGTTCTTGCCTACCAACACCGCCAAAACTACAAAAGTGCCGAAATTAGCCTAGTGAGTTCGGTTTATCCAATAGGTAAACCCGAACTGTATCATTCCCGCGTCGATAAGCTTTTCTAAGTGAAAGAAGCTTAGAACCATTCGAATTTCAATTTTGCTTAGCACGAATTATTACATACATCCACGGCCGGCTTGCATAAATCGGGCTTTCCGGCACTCGATCTACGCACAAATAGGAGCGGCCCTTTCCGTTTGATCGAGGGCGGGAGTTGTAACTTGTCACATTAACTGAAGTGGGAGGTTCGGAAGACATGCGGGGCATCTACCTACATGAGGTAACTCTACTCTAAGTACGTAACAACCTGGTCCTCATCTATGGGCTTATCTTTATCTGTAGATACATGTATACACCCTGCATTGAGATGTGGGTGAAAACACCCCACCGCTTGGATGAACATAAAATGCAACCTTTCCCCCGAATCCATTGGACTCTGCACACAGGAAAATACCCTTCAAAAGTCCCGGGTCGTGAGATTGATCAAGAAGCCAACAATGCTATACTCACTTACTCTTTCATTGCCGCTCTTGCTGCTCCCATTGGGCGTGCAGGCAGCAACAGAGACCGTCCATGGTGCCGTCATTTTCTCTCGTCATGGTGACCGTTCAGCAAAGGTCTTTCCACCAACAAAACTTACAGCACTCGGCAAGAACCAGCTATACGACTCTGGAGAGTTCTATCGTTCGCGATACATTGGCAATTCCTCGACTGTGATACCGGGTATCAGCTACCGAGAATTCAACAGTGCACAGCTCTACGCAGAGGCGCCGGATCAGGTGAGTCAACCGGCAATCATGAGCTCGCACTCGAGTCTTTTCCACACGGGTGTACTGTGCTAACAAGACATTGGTGGCCAGAACCTCCTGGTAACTTCTGGCCAGGCATTCCTCCAGGGCCTTTACCCTCCCATCACTGGCTCATCCGCAGCTGTCACCACCGAAACTCTGGCAAACGGCTCCGTTATCTCCCTACCACTCGCTGGTTATCAGTACACAACTATCCATACTGTCTCTGAAAGCGATCCATCCACTATTTGGCTCAAGGGTGATGACGGATGCCCTGACTTTACAGCAAAAAGCGAGGAGTTCTATCTTTCTGAACAATATCTTCATCTTCAAGACACCACAAAAAGCTTTTATGAATCTTTCTCCGATATCCTGGAGGGAGTTTTCTCGTCAAGACAATTGAGTTACCACAACGCATATGCTATCTATGACTACATCAACGTCGGCTCAATCCACAATACCACAATTGCAGATGCCGTGTCCTCCGAGCAACTCTTTCAATTGCGTACTCTAGCCGACTCCCACGAGCTAGGGCTGAACGGAAACACCTCAAGCACCTCTACCGTCGCACTTATCTCCGGGCGCACTCTCGCAAACAAGATTATAACACAGCTATCCACAGTTGTTGATTCCAAGGGCGAGGATAATAAGCTCTCCTTACTCGTTGGGTCTTACGACACATTTCTCTCTTTCTTTGCACTCTCAGGCTTGTCCGCTGCCTATGAGAACTTCACTGGCCTCCCAGACTATGCTTCGACACTTGCGTTTGAGCTTCTCTCCTACCAAGACAACGCCGCCTTCCCGAGAAAGACTGAAGATCTCTACGTACGCTTCCTTTTCCGCAACGGCACCAACAGCGATATCAAAGAATATCCTCTCTTTGGAAACACCGATGTGGTGGTCTCATGGAACGATTTTAACGAGAAAATGGCAAGCATCGCCGTCGATTCGGTATCAGAATGGTGCACGCTGTGCAGTTCAGACGAGTCAATCTGCTCCATTGACTCCGATAAGTCTGTCGATACCGCGGATACCACGGACACCAAGTCTGGTGGAATTTCAAAGGCTGTTGCGGGTGTTATTGGTGCACTAGTCGCATTGGCCGTTGTGGGGCTTGTTCTTGCAGTTGCAATGATTGGATGCGGCCTGAGGTTCGTATCGAGAAAGAACAACGCGGATGCGGTGGTGTCTGGCGGGGTTCAGAAATCTGCGGTAGACGATTTCGATTCGGAGCGCAGCGTGAAGGCGGTCTTTCCGAACAAGGTTTAGACTTACACTTCACTAGTAGTGATAAGGATAAATGACGTCCCCCCACAGGCCCCACCTTCCAATTTTGGTTTTCAACAGGGGTCGTTTTTGCTTTCTTTTTGGAATTTTCATTCTATATAGATATTACTTTGAAATTATTGTCTGAGATTTGGGGGTTTTTATTTCACAACTTAGCTGGGATTTGATATTCTGTAGGGAAATTGATTTTATCTCAAAGCCTATTGGGCATTCACAAAACGAACCTAAAGTACGGTCTGTATGCTGCACGTTTTCTGCTGTGTCAAAGTAGAAAAAGCTTAATTGCTGCTGAGATCGATGGTTCGGGTGCTAGATTTCTCCTCGGGAATAAACTGAGCGGAGAAGAAACGTTCCGTCTTACCCTTGCCATCTAGTTGATCTTCGGTAGATAAGCTGTTATCAATAGCAATTGCCGATAAAGGATGCCGTTATCATTAAAGCAGTCGGCATTTGCCCTGGACTAACCAGGTTAATAAAAACCATTTTTGACGGAAAATCTGGATTGTTGGTGGGAAATGCAAGGATTACTAGCCTTTAAATTTCAAAATTGTAGGGAGCAAGCAATCCTGTTTCTGGATCCAGCTCGAGGTTAGGGTTTGTGTCTGTATGGAAACGAGAACCAAGGTGCATTTGAATAGTATCAGTTTTGATCTGTTCAACTGGTAAACATTACGCCGGAAGATCTCGACAATGAGACATTGTAATTGCCTTCATCCAAGCACAGCTTCATTAGAGGGCTACATAATTCCCCACGCGTTGGGAGCATGGGTAGTTGCAAAAGAATGAACTTAAACGTCCACAAAATAACATTTGAAAGACTCAAACCATAGTTTTACCCGGTTTGATAGTGACGGCGAAAACGCTGAGCGCCGTGTGAGAATAGTTCTACAACGAGTGCCGTAAAGTCGACGATTCGGCGTGTGGAGTAGAATCGAGGTTTTATACATGGCAGATCGAATCCTGGTCTGTGCTGTGATACCCCCAAATGGCCACAATTTTTAGGAGAAATTGTTCTGATTACTGGTGGAATATGCCGAAGAGACTGTACTGCTAGAAATATGCTGTTTCGAGTTGTCGTAGACATCAGCTGCAGGTGGGGTACACTGCTCGCACGTGCCATATGGCACCAGAAGCAGACAATCCCGGGAATATTGGCCAAGTGAAATGCACAAACCATGACCTCCACGTTGAATATATAGATGTACAGATACTTCTTGTATGCAGTCTGAAGTGGCCCCTACACGTACTTAGTAGACGGAGTTGGGGATCGAAGAGCCTAGGTCTGGAGCTGGAAGTATATAAGGGTAACTGAATTCTAATGGGCACGAGTTACCCGGGAATCTAGCGGGGTGGGGGGTTGTCCTTTTGGTTTGTCGTGTGCAGTTAACTCCATCGTGCGAGGGAGGGCATGTACCTGTAGTGAGTTTCAATGTAGCACGCTATGTGGGAAATTCATACATGTATGTACATGTATGGCATGCGCACTAGCATGTATGTAGCTAACCGAGTGCTTTCTGGTGATTCGATGTGGTGTCCAGGTTATCAACACTACATAGAATCCATCATCCTCACCACGACATCATCTGAGCAGCCGGTCCCTTATCGATTTCACACTTTTATCCACACCTACGAGAAGCAATGGCCTCTGGGAGCCACAATGAAAAGCTGCACTACCAGCGTAGAAGGTATACTGTTGCCGAGCTTCTGGTGATGGGCAAAACACTACCATTTGTTTGTTGTCCCGTGGCCAATTTCAAACCAGTGGCCTGGACAGAGAATATTCTCATCACAGTGGTACGAAGCTCCGTTGTTCTCGCTAGAATTCACCTTATCTGTTTTCCAACGTCCATTCATGTTATAAGCTTAACTGATCCGTCTCGGTTTTCTTTTCAGGCCCCAACCAGCAATTCTAATGAAAAACACAAGGCTAGGATGATCGCTACAAAGCTTGGTACCCATCGTCCCAGTAACCTCATTAACAGCCGCCAGGAGCAAGAAGCCACCGAACGCCTTGTCCCCAAAAGAAAAGCTTCTCTGCGTGGAACAATCGCGAAACAACAGGCGCTTGCTACAATCCCCGAGGTCCCGACGCCAAAGTCAATCATAGCTACCGAGGCTCCGATGCAGCCGGTTTCTTTGGATTATAGGCTCTCGGGTGGCTACGGGAAGAATATCGAGATTGAAAAGGGTCAGGCAAATAATGTTGGGTTGACGACCAGCATGCATGCATTTGTTCCCGGCGGGACACTCAAGACCCCTCCTATGACTGCCCTTAACGCGGGTGACCTGAGGGACTGGGAGATGGGAGGAAATACACTCGATCACAGAATGAACACTCTTAGTCTTGCTGATGGACTTGGGCTACAAAGGGCGAGCTCCAATGCGGAAATTCTTCCAAGAGCGTCGAATCTTAGCTTCTCCACCAAGCAGAAATTGCCTGCAGAGAACGGGAGGGAGAATGTCAGAACTGTATCGATGACAACAGCAGCGGCAAACCAGACTGTCAAGCATAAGAATAATCTTTCCAACGGAACTTTTCTCCCTACTCCAAGAAACCTCATGAAGTATATCTCTCTCAAACTCATCTAATGAGATTTCACTAACACAAGTAACAGTGAGAGGTCTAGCGGTGACGAGCAACGTGCTTGGATCGATGTGAATGCCCGCCAATCAACCTCTTGAATAAAATTCCAATTAACTGACACGTTATTCTATTCTATAGTACATGCTGGCCAGGCCCATCATGTCCGCCAGCCGATCAGCCCCACAGATCAAGGAACCTCTTGGTGCTAGTATCGATGATTTCGTCGATCCTGACCGTTTTAAACCACTAGACGATTTCTACCTTGATGGGATTAATTGATTGAGTTGATTGCATGCAGTATGTTGATGGGATGCATGGTCGATGGTCATTAATGCCGCTAGTTAATAAATTCAGCCTTTCTTGTCAATCCCCACGGTTAGTTCTGCTTTTCAAAACCTTTGGGGAAAAGGTTGTCTCGAAATATGAGATTAGATCAAAGGTTTCTTAGTACAAGATGGTAGGCTGAAGGTTTAGGTTTAGCATAGGTTTTTACTGATATCAATGTTTGAGAAGTTGTTTTAGTTGGGTAGTTAGATGGAAAAATGGCACCAAAATAATTAAGCTGATGGTAACGCACAGGGGTCAAAAGCCCGTATTGGTGTATACAAATTCGCCCAAACCCTTTTGAGCGAGCTAAGTACAATACATACAGCCACTCAGCAAAAGTGTTCGTGATTTAGTTTTAATGGCAGTGCGTAGTGTGACGCACCCGTAATGTTGACGTTATCGACGTTGAGATTCAAAACAAGGAAAATATATAATATAGTTCGTGACTGTATATAAAAGAAGGTAGGTAATTAGTCTTATTCTTCATTGATTCCGGGCGCTACTGGTCACTGAGAAGTTGTTTCTTGGGATTATTTAATGATTTGCCATGGTTACATATAGAGAAATGGCTCGCTCCGAAATCGGAATCACGAACACTTTTGCAGAGTGGCTGCACGTAGAACTTATATACTAAGTGTTACACATGTTTGTTGCGTATTATCTCGGCTTAAACAAAGCGAAACATTGTAAAAATAAAATACAATATATTATCAAGCCTAAATCCCTGCTCCAGAAGAAATCCCTTCCCCAGAAGAAATCCATGCCAATGATATCTCAAAGTTACAAGTTACCATGATTATCGAATCAACGTTTCACCACATCTGGACATCTGAAGATCTTTGAATACTTCTTTGATGGCCAGTGATAGTGAAAAGTTTGCGTATACATGAAAACTAGCTAGGGATGGCCACCTGGCGACCGCGAATTGTACTTTGATTATGGATATCAAGTCTTCTCTAAAATAATGAGAAGCCTTCGATGGGACTTCGCTTCACCCCCACTCCTCCTCTCCACTCCCCTAGTTAGACCTTTTTTGGTTGCACCGTAGGGTTCGAATATGAATATCTACATAACTTCTTTCGCGACCACCACCCCACCATCCCCCATCCCCCATCCCCCATCTCCCCCAGTGAGTGCTTTTTTTTTTTTGCGTACTTGCATTCCGCATGGTTTATTGATGGGGCGAGTTGGTTCATAAGGGGTAAACACTCTCGACCAATCAAATGCTCAAGCGTTTAGAAAGGCAATATATTGATAGATAATAGATTTTATAAACCCGTGCTTATCTAGCAGAGTCAGTGATAAGACTAAATATCCCCATTAAGCTGAGTTATAGCTTGAGTCAAAGGCTGGGAAGGGCATAGCTAGGGACTAAGACGGCGGTATATACGTACTGGCCAATTATTCAGCGGGTGAGTCGGGCCAGAATGATCCTCGTTCAGTGTGGTCCATGAGGACGCTCGAGGCGAGGTTTGACGGTGTCCTCGAGGTTCCTCGTCCTCGTTGACCCTTGCCCTTGGCTGTCCTTGAGGTTGATCACTGCTGTCCTTAAGGTACCTCGAGGTACCTCAAGGACGATTCCCGGAGAGCAGAAAGCGGTCTTTATTTCAATCAAAAAGCATATTCCATCCTAATTAGTTGACCTCATCTTAATCCAACACGCTATAAGTGTATAATATTCCAAGAATTGTCCTTGAAGGTGCTTGAGGCGGGGATAGATAGTGTCCTCGAAACTCCTTGTCCTTTTATACCATTGTCCTTGAATTTCATCAAAGACATGTCCTCGAGGCGAGGACACAAGGACGCTGGTCCTAGTGGACCGCACTATCCTCGTTGTGTCGTTCAAGATTTTCGCGAGAACATACCGAGTGAGAATCAGAACCGAACGGTGATCTTCCAGACATGATAATGCTATTTCGAGTTAGTTAGGTAGAAATAGTATAGCTATGATATGGAAGAAGAAAAGGAAGGATTTTAAAGCTCACTCTTCTTTTATCCAACTCCCGATAACACTTTCGCCTCCCCAGCCCGAGCTCATCCACACGGAACCTCGCATCGATGATTTCTTATCATTGTACTTGAGAAAATTTTTCCGTGGATGAAATGGGTCTAACTCAGAGCTAGGTGGTAAAAGCTGCAACCAACTCAGATTGTATAGTGGGTCAGGTAGCTCTATTGCCAAAACTGCGTGTACAGGCACCGGAAAATATAGTTGCCGATCTAGAAAGAGACATGTTTTAGAGACAATGTAATTAGGGAATCGCCTCCGCCGTCTCCACTTACTTCTTGAAACTGTTGGTTGAAACTCATGACTACCTAACGAAGAGGGTAGTATGCTACGTTCATGTTTGAATGTCGCAGATACACGTCCCCGGGCCTTCGCTAGCCCTTGTGTACCTCCTAGCTGTAAATTATGGAAAATTTCGGATATGCATTTATTCCATGCCCCTGGGATACATGGGTGGAACGAGATGGTTCTGGATGTCTGTATCTGCCTCAGGCCAACTTGAATATATGTCTGTTTCTGGCTCAGGTCAATAACCTCAAAACTCATAGGAGGCCGTGCGCCAGGGAGATTCCACAAACTGAACTCGATAATTCTTAGGTGTGAAAGCCTTTCGCAAAATCCGTATGGTGTATAAATAACTACAGAGAAATGCTCTTTCTCAGAATCAATACATATAATGTCCATGCTAATCGGTTCGGATGTGGTAATAGGATCGTTTGAGAGCATTTGTTCCTCAAAAAATATGATTTCCGAACTGATTTTTTCATCCAATCCAGCGATATCAACCGAACCCGAATCGAAAAGTTCATCGTTTATAGCTGCGGCTATCTCGTTCGTAGATGCAGCTATCTCGTTCGTAGCCGCAGCTATATCGTTTGCGGCTGCAGCTATCTCGTTTATAGCTGCAGATATCTCGTGTATACCTGTAGCTACATGTATATCGTTTATAGCTACAGTTATCTCGTTGACGTCCGGGCCGTCAACTTCAGCCGAGACATCATGCATAGTAAAATCATTCTGTAAAGTTGGGGTAGAGTAGCTTATGCTAGGCGGCGTAACTGAGTATCCCGTATTAAAATGGATACCTGGGATTGCTGAATGCTATAGCAAGATGGGAAAGTTACCTGATAGCTCCGGATCAGTTGCGACTACTGGTCGGGCCAATCCCAGACGCCTACACGAGCGCTCTAATCTTTCTTCCGAGACGGGTATTCCATGGAACTTGAAGGCCGTCTTTTTCCCACCACTCTGTGCTCGTTTGTCCTGTATTCGTGCCATATTCTTGACTGCATTCTTGTCGAGATATCTGCCGAGTTTCCACTTTTTGATCTTATTTTTGTATTGGGTTTCGCTAATCAATTGCATGTTAGTTGAGGTTGTTATAGGCGTTATAGACGTTACACCAAAAATTCTATCGTTTACTCTTACTTTGCGTTAAACAGGTGATTCTCAGCCATAATCTTGCGGATCTCATTGAGAGTAAGTTTTCCATAGGTATTATCAATGTTGAGATAGTATTTTGTGAAAATCTCCTTAACTTTCTCCCACTCTGCTGGTGTTGGCACATTGGGTTTATCCCATTTAGGGCGTGTCGGGGCTGGGATCGGTTGCACCATTTCTTATTTGTCTGGTGTTAGATGCTAGCTGGAAGGAAAGAGCGAATCAATTGTGCTATACTGGTATGATATAATAATACCAGCTACTCCATGGGAATCATCCCGCTTTATAAGGAGTGCTTATGACCTTGCAACTAGATATCTGGGGCATAATGACAGGGTTTCTTGCACACTCCACTTAATTGCTTTGTCGTGCGTAACACTGATTCTCACGAATCTATTGGCGGATAGAAAGACTTTTGCAGATGTTGTCGCACACTCTGCGGGCCGCAGCTAGGGTGGGGGGCCCCGCTTGGCGCACAGAAGTATTGTGCAGCGGGGTATGTTTAGGGCTAATCCAATCAAGGCTCCCTATTGGTGTAACAAAAGTGTTGTGCAGGGCGAGTCCAAATTTGGAATAGCTACTCGTTGTGGAGTAGAGTAATCCTGGTACTGTCGTCCAGGGGTATTGACGGACAGGGGTCTTTTGAAGGCAAAACTGGGCTTGGCTGTCTCCCAGTGCCTGTCCTGTGAAGGATAGTAGCTAAGTAGTAGGTACAGACACTGGGTGTTGACGGGCAAGCCAAAAGGGAGCCCACCCGTCATCATGACTCATGAGATAAGTGCTACATACATGTAGGTACATGTAGTCTCGTGCCCAGACCTGTTTTGAACTTGTGTCTCCACGAAGTGCGACAAGATGGCTCCAGTTTACTTAAGATCCATGATACCCTACGTACTTACCATCCTAAGCTTCCTCCCAAGCTGGGTAACGTCGATCCCTGGATAGAGTCCTTCTACACATCAGTGAACTGAAAAACGCGGTTCAGTCAGAGCAGGCCCCGGCATGCCATATCAGTTACAGCTGCAGCTGCAGAGCTACACCCCGTATGCCCAGGGTGGTAAAAACAAACCCCATCACAGCTAAACAGCCACAATACCGATGGGAGGAGTTTTATCTCACCTCTCAGCCACCAGAGCGGCAAACCGAACAACTCCCAAGCACGATAGAAGCGGATCAGGACCACATACACGTTCAGCCCGTTCGTTCCCCCGTGACTTTAGCTTGGAGAGGGATATATCGTGAAGACGACTGCCCGCTGAGTTACCTGTGCGGTAGAGATTCTGCGGCTGCGCTATTGTTGCTGTTGGGAGGAGAGGGAGGTCGGGGTATTTGGGCGGATGGAGGAGTCGTTGTTGCCCCGCGAGCTGAGATGCACTATGATGGCCCACGCTGGTTATACTGGCTGTTAGATCTTACTACGCTCGTCATTGGATCTTGCTACGTTACGTCTGCCGCTGGACCTTAATACGTCGGTCATTAGATCGTGCTACGCTGACTATTAGATGTTACTGCTACACCATCGCTCTTTTATCTACTACGCTATCAACCTTACTTCCAAGGACGTACACCTTGCACGGTGCCGCCCAAAGAATGTTAACTGCAGCTAGTGATACAACGATATCTTGCAGCCAACAAGAGCTCAGTCCTTTCCAAACTTGAGGTCAATTACGCTTCTTTATTTGCGTGGCTTTAGTTTGGTAGTATATGCGAACGTTATTTATTACTGATATTATATATATAGTAATGGAGTTTTAGTTTCGGGGGCTAGATATAGTGTGTGTACGTTGAATAGAGGCTGGGCTAATAGTCTAAGGTGTAGATATAGTTAAATTCCCTATAATCAGACCCCGGAATGGCATCATTTAACTAAGGCTTATACTGCACAACTAGAAGAAAACCAGCCTAAAGCCATGAGGGGTGTTCTTATCCCTTCATTAAACCATCAGGCCGAATTCAAACAATAGGATCCCTAACGCAATTTAGAAATCGTGGTGTGTAGAACGCAGAATTTGGGTGTGAAACATATAATCTATCACACATTACCTAAGCACCAGATTCGTGGTGGATTCTGTCGTTGCTGTCCCTATCCTATAGGCATTCTAGATATCACGATTTCCCCCATGACGTTAGGATCCTATTATTATTTGAATTCGGCCTGACGGTTTAATTAAGGGATAACATGAATACGGCCGTCTGCGCGCCCTTACTTTACTAGGGAATTAAGGGGGCCCCTCTATATATGCTACACGAGCACGAGACAAGACAAGGCTCAAGCTCAACGCAAAACGGTCTTGTCTTGTGCCCATCATAACCTGGAAGCCTCGGCACCTGAGAAAAGTCTCGAGAGATCGATATAAGCTAAAACCAATCAAGAAGTTGCCCCTTCTGCATACGTTAGTAACGTTCAAAAGTAGGGTGGGGGGGCAGAAATCCTTGCAGTGGTGGATAGAAGTTGGGGACGAAGTGCACACCGGGTTTTCAGAAGCCTGAGTATGCATGGAGGAGGCCTGAACATTAGGAAGCAAGAATTGCTTTGGATCATATGACATCACTCGGAGGGCTCGAGCCTTGGAAGAAATAAAAATTTTTTTTTGTTTAATTCATTAATCTTGGAAGAAAGAGGAAAACACTCTTGAGACACCTCGTATCGTTAGGGCTCCTGCCTATCGATAGATGGGGAGGTTATTCTTGTAGGGTATCGTATCGTATAGGCTGATTGGGTTTTAGGGACGTTGGTAGTTTTTGTTGGACAGTGGGGGCTAGGGATGGTTTTGATACAGACAACGTTCTGTATATGGCGAACGTCCCGTGTCCACACAGCGTAAAATACCATCATCCCTCTGGGACGAAGATCTATCTGTGGAAATGCACTCATAAATATCCAACTAGCCGTGACAATGATAATGCTCCGCTATTTATTCACATTATTTACTACGACCATCACACCCGCGCGCAGAGACCACCACAATGCACAAAAGCCAGCCAGCTCCATTCGCATCCGCGCGCGCGCTATAGCCACCACTACACATGTATCTATCTACAATAACCCCCCCTCCCCCCACAACCCACACTCACAACACACTACCACCTCCCCGCCCTCCCCTGATCCCCCTCACTATACCCATCCCCACCGCCACTCCTCCGCTCCCTCTCCACACTCTCATCAAACTCCTTCTGCGCCTGCGCCTTCGCCAGCTCCCGGTCCTCCGCCGTGCTACTAAACGAGAACGAGTCCGTCTTCGGCTCGCTACCTGCCGCCGGGGCCCCAAACCCCTTCATCGGCGCCCTCTGCGGCCACGGCGACGTCTGCTGCGGTTGCGTCTCTTCCACCTGCTGCTGCTGCTGCGGCTGCGGCCGCTGCCCCTTCCGTAGCCGCTCCCACGTGCTCTCGCCAGTGCTCGAATGGGCATTCCTCCACCCGCCCCTCACCGGCGCCTCCGCCGCCCCCTCCTTCTCATCCGCAAGCAAAAACGGGTCGTCCCCGCGCTCGCCCTGGCGCTCCCCCTGACTTTCTACCCGCGCCGCAGCAACAGCCTCACTCGGCCTCCCAAACGGGAACGCCGTGCGCTCCGCATTCACCACATCCTCATCGCTCCTCCGCTTGTACTCGGCCACCTCCATCCCGCCCAGACTCTGCTCATCCCTCTCCCTCTCCCCCTCCCCCCCGCGCTGCGCCCCCGCCTCCTGCGCACCAAACGCGCGCGCCCGCACTTCCCGCTCAAGCGCACTCAGCTTGCGTGCCCTTGCGGCCACAACACGCCCCATCTCCGGATCGTCCTTCTGCTCCTTGCGCATGCGATTCAGCGCCTGCACGCTAGCCGTGGTCATGCCATAGAGCATGCCCAAGCTGCCAAACACGCCGACACGCAGCGTGACAGCGACGTATCGGGGGTTGACATTGAAGATGCGAGCAATGGCGGTGGGGATGCGGCCGGGCTTTCGGGAGCGGAGAGCGAAGCCCAGAAGGGCGCCGAGGGAGGTGCCGATGACGTCGCCGTAGGACTGGTAGGCGTAGAAGATGCCGTCGTAGTAGGCGAGGCCGGCGAGCTCGGTGGGGGTCAGCGGGAGGGAGAGGAGGCGGGAGGTGGCGGTGGCTTGGAGGGTGGTGTAGCGGGTGCGGTCGGCGGGGGTGTAGCCGAGGAGGAAGGAGAGCGGGGCGAGGGGCGGTGGAGGGGGGTAGGTTTTGGTGGGGGTGTCGGGGTCGGTGTCGGTGTCGGTGGGGAAGGTGTCGGCTGTGTCGAGGGGCATTGTGGCTGTGGTTGTGGTTGTGTCTGGGGATGTCACTGGCACTGGTGGTGAATGGATGCAGCTGTGAGACAGACTCCCCCTCCGACAGATGTCATGCACAGAGACGTCATGTCTCATTACCCGGCCTGGGCTACCCTCAACCACAACCTCTCCACCACCGCGTAACCCTGAGCACACCACTCCTCTCCGTCCCCCGTCACCCCACACACAAACCCCCCAATCACACAATCTCACTCCCACCCAACAACCACACCGAGTGACACCCCATGACGCAGCCGTGACAGCGCACAGACCACCGCCTGCCCCCAGCCCCCGATCCCTGCCGCGTCGTCACCCCAGCACAGTGCAACAAGCATACCCGCACCACCACTACAACCACAGGCACACCTCCCCTCCCCTCTCCACCTCTCCATCACCACCCCACCTCTATCCCCGCCAAACATGTCGTCCGCAGGTATACACCCCCCCTCCCCCCCCCCAAAGATGCCAAAATCCTAACCCGCACAGACACGCTCCGCATCCTCCTCGCCACCGACACCCACGTCGGCTACCACGAGCGCGACCCCATCCGCGGCGACGACAGCTGGAAGACCTTCTCCGAGATCATGACGCTCGCCAAGACACGCGACGTGGACATGGTGCTGCTGAGCGGCGACCTGTTCCACGAGAACAAGCCGTCGCGAAAGGCAATGTACCAGGTGATGAAGAGCCTTCGCGAGAACTGCTACGGCGAGAAGCCGTGCGAGATCGAGATCCTCAGCGACACCAGCTCAGAGTTCCAGAGCGCTGGCGGGCACGTGAACTATGAGGACCCCGATATCAATGTCGCTATTCCGGTGTTTTCGATTCATGGGAACCATGATGATCCGAGTGGGGTTTGTGGTCGTCTGTTGGCTTTTTGGGTTGCGGGTGGGGCGCTAATGGGGTGTGTGTGAGGTAGGAGGGGCGGTTGTGTGCGCTGGATATACTGTCGGTGGCCGGGCTGATGAACTACTTTGGCCGCACGCCAGAGAACGACAACATCACCGTCACGCCCGTGCTGCTGCAGAAGGGCTCCACAAAGCTCGCACTCTACGGGCTCTCTAACGTCCGTGACGAACGCCTCTTCCGCACCTTCCGCGACGGAAAAGTAAAGTTTCTACGTCCCGACGTGCAGCAGAACGAATGGTTCAACCTGATGTGTGTTCATCAGAACCAGTACGCTCTCTCTCCTCTCTTGCAAACTATCTACAGCTACTAACATAACACCCCCCCCCCCCCTCCCAGCCACGGCCACACAGAAACCAACTACCTCCCCGAAAACTTCCTCCAAGACTTCCTCGACCTCGTCATCTGGGGCCACGAGCACGAATGCCTCATCAACCCGCGCCTCAACCCAGAGATGAACTTCCACGTGATCCAGCCCGGCTCCTCCATCGCCACCTCTCTCTGCCCCGGCGAAGCCGTCACCAAGCACGTCGGCATTCTCTCCATCACGGGCCGCGACTTCCACCTCGAGCCCATCCGCCTCAAGACCGTGCGTCCCTTCGTCATGCGCGAGCTCGTCCTTGCCGACGAACCCGCGCTCAAGCACCTCGCCAAGAAAAACACAAACCGCACCGCGGTCACCGCATACCTGTGCGACCTCGTCGAGACGCTCATCGCCGCGGCCCTCAAGGAGTGGGTCGACGCGCAAGAAGACGACACCCTCACCGCCGCCGACGCGCCGCTGCCGCTCGTGCGCCTACGTGTCGAGTACTCCGCGCCGGATGGCGGCCGCTTCGAGACCGAGAACCCGCAGCGCTTCTCGAACCGCTTTGTGGGCAAGGTGGCGAACGTCAACGACGTGATCCTGTTCTACCGGCGCAAGACGGCCACGCGCCGCGCGGGCACAAAGGGCGCGGTGTTGGACGCGCCGCTCAACAGCTCTACGCTGCTGGAGGACTACGGCGGCAGCATCGATAACGTCAAGGTCGAGAACCTGGTCTCCGAGTTCCTGGGAGCGGCCACGCTCGAGATCCTGCCCAGCAATGGCCTTGGCGACGCTATTGGCCGGTTCGTTGACAAGGACGATAGGCATGCGATGGAGACGTTCGTCGAAGACTCGCTCAAGAGCTATCTGGTGAAGCTGCGCGAGTACGACGACCTCAACGAGGAGAAGATTCAGGAGGTTGTGGACGCGCAGCGCAGCTATCTCGAGGAGGTGTTTGCGAAGGGGCTTGTGAAGCCGAGGTGGCGGCCGGGGACATTCAAGCCGATGCCGCCCGGGTGGGACGAGCACATCGGCGGGCCGTGGGAGGATCAGCCGGCGGCGAGGATACAGCAGGCGGAGAGGAGCGACGATGAGGATGTCGATGACGATGATGATGATGTGCCGGCGCCGCCGCAGCCGCCGAAGAGGGGGGCGACAAGGGGGAGGGGCGCGAGGGGGCGTGGCGCGGCCGCGGCGAGTACGAGGAAGGCGCCGGCTGCTAAGGCACCTGCGAGGGTGACGGCCGCGAAGGGGAGGGGCCGCGCAAAGAAGGCGGTCAGCGAGGAGGAAGAAGAGGACGATGAAGACGATGTCATGATCCTCGACGACGACGACGAGGAGGAAGAAGAAGCACCCCCCGCAAAACCTACGTAAGAAACCCCCCATCCACCCACCTCACTCCTTCTATACAGAACTAACCCCCGCACAGCCGCGCCCCCCGTAAAGCCCCCGCCCCCAAGAAGGCCCCCGCGCCTAGGAAAGCCGCCACACCAGCGCCAGCGCCAGCACCGGCGCCGAGAATAACCACACGCCGCCCCGCCGCCGCGCGGCAGACACGGCTCAACTTCTCGCAGTCGGCGTCGACATCGGCGTCGGGGGTGGCGGCGTCGACGCAGGACAGTATGGCGAGCAATGCGCTGTTCCATCGTGCGATTGTGCGCATCCCGAGTAGCGATGATGAGGACATTGAGGATGATGAGGATGCGGATGAGTTTGTGCCGATGGCGACGCAGAGAGGGGGTAGGAGGCGGTAGACTCACCCGGGGGGGGGGGGGGGGTTTATGGGGGTAATGCATATTTCTGTTTTTAGCTCGAATTGACTCTTCTTTTTTTTTGCTGGCATTTGTGGTTTGGTTAGGGCTGGTAAGTGCTGGTTCTTGCTGGAGATTAAAGGTGGGCCGTATATAATATACAGAGACGGTGGTTAACCTATGAGTCGGTCTGGGTTTGTTTTGTGGCTCTCTATCTTTTCGTGGGCTGTGTTCTACATTAGCCATATTATCACAGACTGAATCTATAGCTATAGCACCTCACTAAATACAGCGGTAAGTTGTTACCAAGTAAGGGTCAAGTATATTTGTTTGTGGTTGTTATCCGTAGAACGAAATCCTCAAGGGATATCCATCCCCAAGCAGGTTCAGTGTTGTAATAACCCCCCAGAGGTTATCTGTCATTGGGTCTGGCAGTAGGAGGTTCCACCTGTCTTTTTTCTCTTTTTTTTTGGGGGGGGGGGGTGGTGGTGTATATACAGTACATGTAGTAGTTGGGTCTGAGTAGAGGAGCCAAGCTTGCGAGAGGATAGGTCATGTGCTTTATGGAGAGCAGTGTGTGTGAATCAGAGATGAACTTGACGATATGGTTTGCTAATCTACTAGAATCTAACCATGTATAAGTTGAGTTGAACAGGTGTCGATTTGACAAGTTCGAACAGATCACCGCTACGTATATACTTAGAGGCAATTGGATTAATTAGGTGTAGCCTCGTTCAAAGATCGCTTTCATACCTATATTTCGTGCAGACACAAGCCCAAAATACAATATGTCTACTAGGCACGAGACTATTCTAGCCCTTGTTTTGCCCATCCCTACGAGCAGCTTTGCTCACACGAGGGCTCTTACCCCTACCAGGGTTATCTAGAGTATATGTTCTAGGCGCTCTAATCTACTGGGGTACGCCCGCCAGAGCCGTAACTTCATAATGTTTTTGAACCTGCCTACCACCAAAATTTGGAGCCTCATGCGGGATCTTGTGGGTGTGCATGCCTAGTTGTAAGTTACACTGGACAGGCGGCGTCTTGCCTTACTGCGAGTCGCAAATGGAGCTATTACCAACTTGGATGATTTCCTGCGCAACACTTTTGTTACAACCAATGGGGGCCTTGGTTAGTTTGGCCCCTAACCCTACTGCGCTGCACAACACTTTTGTTGCGCCAATAGGATATCTTTGTGATTTACACAACCCTGCTGCGGTCAACGTCTACTATGTACTAGAATACACTTTTTCTTAATTCGTTGCGGTCTGATTGGTCGACACCGACATGGGTGTTTAGTAAGCATGACACATCAAAGTACTGAGCACTCGAGAGGAGGAGGACGGGGGCCGAAGGCCTCTCATAATTCTAGAGGGAGAATTAAACAGAGGAGGTGGAATGGGGGGGCCGAAGGCCCCCATCGAAGGCCTTCAATAATTATTTGATACCCATAATCCAATAACTCGCGGTCGCGAGTTGGCACACCCCTAGTATGTATGTACAGGGTATTCACGGTATGTGTGAAGAACCCCCTTTTAGGAAATTTTATTATTGACCAGTCTGCGAGGGCCTGCCATTGGTCGAACTTTAAGAAAGGGGCAACTTGGCAGCCAAGCAAGTATTTGAGGGGTGTGTGCCCCAGCTTTTGCAACTCAACCTCTACCACCGCAATTTGATTCTTTTTCACTCCCGATCCTTTGGAACTCATCCAAAAACCCCTTTGAAAAATTCACAGTACTACTCACATCAAGCAGGGAGCCAGCTCTATCCTATAGTTATTTTTTTGTATTTTTAAGTTAAACATTTAAAGCTTTTAAATAAAGATATGTGAAAGTTCTTCAAACATACTAATTGTGTGGCTAAGCCCATTGTAATGCGTTATAACTCTGAGGGTTATTGGTCAGTTTTGGCTGCCACACGTGGCACCCATAGGATTTCGGACCAATCAATCGATGTTCTTGGTATTTAATGTGCACACCCTGTACTCTAGCCCGCACTGTGCGTCAATACCTGCACAACTCTTTTGACACGCCAATAGGATTAATATGATCATGCAACCAGATCTTACACATGACAAGACTCAAGTGAGTTGTATGTACGTATGTACAAGAAACCCGTCATAAGTTCTCAGATAAATGTGATAAGAAACCTTTATAAGATGGGATAAATCCCATGGAGCAACCCATCATTACAATATTTCATACCAGCATGGAGTACAATTGATTCGAACCAGCTTTATTCCTTCATCAAAGCTTTTCCAGCAACACCACCTAACCCCAGACGAACAAGAAATGGCCCTACCAATCCTAGCCCCAACACGTCCCGGGTGGGATAAACCTAACGTACCAACACCAGCACAATGGGAGGACGTTAAGGAGATTTTAATAAGATATTACCTCGATACCGATCTTACTCTTTTGACATCCGCAAGATCATGGCTGAGGAGCATCAGTTTCACGCAAAGTAAGAGTAGCCTTTGGTGTAAAGTTTAAAAATCCTCAACTGACATGCAATTGGTTTAGCGAAACCCGATATGGAAATATGATCAGAAAGTGGGAACTCAGGAGAAACCTCGACAAGAATACAGTCGAGAATATGTTATGAATATAGGATAGGTGAGAATGGTGTAGTGGGAAGAAGATAGCTTTTAAGTTTGGTGGAATACCCGCCTCGGAAGATAAATTGGAACGCTCGCGTAAACGTCTCGGATTACTCCAGCCCGTTGTAACTAGCCCGGAGTCCTCAGGTAACTTTTATCTTCCTATAGTTGCAGGGATTATAAGCACGAGTTCTACTATACGATACTCAGTTACGCCGCCTTCCATAAGCTACTCTACCCCAGATTTACAGAGAGATACTACTATGAATGGTGTCTCGAACGAACATGATGTTCTGGATGTCAACGAGATAGCTGTAGCTACAAGCGAGGAATCCCCCGACCCAGAACCTGTTGATACATTCGAATTGGATGAGATGGAGATCAAATTTATTGAAAAAATGGGCCCAATCTCCAATCCTGTGAGCAATCGTGCCGAAGTTGAAATTGAAATCACGCGTACTACTTCGGGTTCGTTCTCAGCAGTTTTTCATACACCATACGGGTTTTGCGAAAGGCTCTCAGGCATAAACACTATCAGACTTACTTTGGAGGGACGTGGCACGGAACAGGCAGCGGTCACCAGAAGGAAAAGAAAAAGCAACATCGGTCCTGAGTCCATCTCATTTAGTCTTTCATAGTTCGGGGATGACCGCATATCCGAAATTTATGACTACTTAGCAATATTCAGGGATCTGGACAACCGCACGATTGTAAGGAGTGTGCATGGGCACGAGACTTGGACGAGTCAACGGTATGGCCTGGGATAGGTAATTATTACGACGACCGTCTTTACTCATTGTGAGATCCGAATATCGAATCCGTGGGATGATTATCCGTCCATTATTCGTAAATGTAAGCGGAGGCGGTGGGGGGCGATTCGATCCCTAATCACATTATCTCTAAAAATATATGTATTCTCTTTCTAGATAGGTCACAGAGCTTTACTTCTCCAGGGTTTACAGAGGAACATTTCACAACGGGGGAGTATTTGATAATAAAGGAACTTTTGGCAACAAAGGAACTTTTAGCAAAATACATAGATGGGTATATCCAGAAACCTCACGAGAATAGATGGCTACTTAGCCCTGAGCGAGACTCTAGCCCTAAGCGAGACTCGTTTTCTCCAAACAACTTTCTCGGGGGCAACAAGAAGAAACCGTCGAGCCCTAACCCCCCAAGGTCTACGGAGGAACCTTTGACCACAGAGGAACCTTTGGGAACAGAGGAGATACTAGAATACAGCCATGGGCGAGACTCATTTTATCCAAACAACTTTCTCGGGGGCAACAAGAAACCGTCGATGCGAGGCTCTGTGTGGATTAGCTCGGGATGGGAAGGCGAAAGTATTATCGGGAGTTCGATAAAAGACGAGTGAGTTGAAAACTATTCATTTTATTCTTCCATGCCAATCTATAGAATTTCTCCCTAACTCACTTGGAACAGCATTGTTATGTCCGGAAGGTCACCATTCGGTTCTGAATCTCATTCGGTATGTGCTCGCGAAAATGATAAAAAACACAACGCGGGCCCTCTATAGACCTAAGTCGCCCACTTAATATAAAAACAAGTCTTTCCCGGTACGTATACATACCGCTGCCAAACCCCTAGATAAGCTTGCATCTATATATTCGGACCCTTTACTCAAGCTGACGCCAGCTTAATGGGTGATATTCAGTCTTCCCACTAACCTTTTTTTAGATGCATGATCTATTCGGTACGGAGAAATTTATACCGGGGGGTTACAGGTCACTCTGGAGTTCTGGTTTTTTTTTTGACAATGCAGATATATGTATATATATTGTTAAAGGCCCCCCCCCCCCCCCCCGGGGGGGGGGGGGAATCGAGTTTGAGACCATCAAACAGAAAATAGGGGTGCTCATGATAGACAGAAATCTGCTCACCGGGATACATATCAGAATGGGGGGAACGTTACATGGCAAGAGATTTGAGGGTGGAACGAGAGAGACAATCAAAACTGTAACGGAGTTATTTTTTTCTCTTTTCTTTTGTTGAGATGGCGGCGAATGGAGGGGCCTTCTGGGGAACAATCTTTTATTGGTGTAGGCTGGGGCGGAGACCACCAGCAAGTGTCATAGCCTCCAGGGGCCATATACATGAGTAAATAATTATCAACCAATCAATCTATCTATACATCTTTCGCTACTAGTACTGCGGATACAGAGTTTTGATTTGGAATGTCTTTAACAACCAAGGAACCTCACCACCGACTCCAAAAAACTAAAGTCTATTTTGTTTCGCTAGCAGCTTGATTGGTTGCTTTCAGCCCAGGGGCTATGACAATTGACTTAGGGTAAGATTAAGTAGGGTATCGAATGTACATCTCTACCATGGTACAAAATGCATCAGTAAATGCATCATAAATGCATCAGTGAAAGTCGTCAGTCAACTTATCAGGCCTTGTTCCTAAAACGTGTGGATAATGCATCCACTAATGCATCCTTAATGCATCACAGTCTCCTTTTGCCAAGAGGTCGGGAAATACTTATATCAGGAAAACAGAAATACAAACAGTGCCGGAGTCCCCCTGAATCACGGGTTGAAATGCATCAGTAAAGGCATCGGTAAAGGCATCGGTAAAGAGATTAGTAAATGCATCATACCGAAGAACACTCCTGCCCAGATGCAAAACAAACGAATGTGGAGGGATTGAACCTGAATCCTTTCGATTATCTAGCTTAGACTTGGAGCTTACCACCTGTACCATTATATCTTTTCAATATATAGCACTTACTAGTACAAGCAATAGTGTATAAGCTGACTCAATAGGTATATGTAGCCGAACTAGAGATCCAAAAATATCTAAGTCAATAATCAGTAGAGACAAGAAGTACCAAGAACAGTACTAGTACTAGTAGTATTCGCGGTCCGACGATTTTCCCTACTACACCTTTACCTACTGTCAACGATTTTACCTACACCTTTCCCTACTAAGTACATACTGTCGATGATTTTACCAGCACCTTTCCCTACTAAGTACATACTGTCGACGATTTTCCCTGCACCATTACTTAGTACCTACACCTTTCCCTACTGATTGACAATGTTCCCCAGGAAAGTTGTAGGGAAAGGTGTAGGTAAAATCGTCGACAGTACTTCAAAGTAGGGAAAGGTGCTGGTAAAATCGTCGACAGTATGTACTTAGTAGGGAAAGGTGTAGATAAAATTGTCGACAGTAGGTAAAGGTGTAGGTAAAATCGTCAGCAAATGTGTAGCCTGATGCATTTATTGAGGCCTCGACAAACTTATGCATCAACTGATGCATTTGCAAGCCGCTTTCGTATGGGAAATGCATCAATTGATGCATTTCCTGTCGTGGTAGAGCATGTCAGACCTTCAAATTTGGTAAATTAATTAAGCGTTGATTTAATAATCACAGTGACTTGTATCGTGGAGGTATCGATATATAAAGTCGACTCGGGGTTCTTCTGGAGCAGGAATTTAGGCCTCATGATTGATTCTTTTGCTTTGTCTACAACGAGAGAATATAATATGCATTAAAAATTTCGTTAAAATAGTGCAATGTTTAGGATGTAAATCTGTTATGTACTGGATTAACGATTTTTCAAACGCTTGGGCATATGATGGTCGAGAGCGAGGAACCCTAACCCTACATTGCATGCCGAACTCATTAATAGGATGGCATTGGAGGTGGAATTAACTGGAGGTGGCATCAACTGAGGTGGCATCAGCTGCGGCGATTGGGGGCGGTATTGGGGTTGGTACCTTATTATTAACTGAAGGAACTAGATCTCTACAAAGGAGGTGGACATTTGCGGGAGCTGGCAATGATATAGTTAACAGCAGGAGCTGGCTCATCTACAAGATTCTCACCATGCAGTTATCTATTCACAAATCTGATAGGTGTCGATACGACAAGTCCGAACAGATCACCCATTATGGTTCGATAGGCTCATAGTTAGGGGCGCCAAGTCAAACGAGTGAGACACCATGACTCACACCACCTCACCTCGACCCCATCGAAAGCCGCCAAGACCCCACGAATCCGGAGTCGATTGATTGATTGACTGATGGACCGCGAAGCCCATTTACATGGCGTAGGCAAATCAACACCTATGTTTATTTCGCTGTCCTTAAGGGATGATGGATATGATTAACCCCCTCACCACCAGCACTACGCCCATCTCCCTCACTGTCACTTATATCTCACCACTTCGTACAGTCACTACTCACGATGCAAGCCACCACATACAACGATGAGGGTCAACTTACTGCCTGCGACTTCGTCCTCCTTGTACCTATCGACACACCTACTCCTACCAACACGCCTAGCGAGGCCCTAATGCCTGCTAACCCACCTAGCGAGATCTTAAGTCCCCCGAATAGCCCACTCCATGATATCCTCGTACGCCCCCTTAATGAGCAATTCGAATATGGCATCCATACACCCGCCAATAACCAAGTAACCGGCCTCGCAACACCCGCCGACGAGCACTATTTGAATGACCCCACTATGTCCCTCGAGTATGAGGACCAGTCTATCGCCGTCCAAACCTCCTCACACGACGTGCCTGTTGATGCTACAGCCCTTGCCGGCAGCGGCGAGTCCATGGATTTAAGTATGTCCCCCGAAAATCAATTTGTGGGTATATCCATCACCGCGGAAGAGATATCCATGGAGAAGGCATTGTTACCCTCTGATACCGGATGCATTGAGTGCAGTCAACCCCCCTCCTCCTCTACTGACTACAAGTCTGCCGGAGGTTACTTCAGGTGGGCTGTCGACCGGCACAGGGAGTATACCGCTGCCCTGGCCTCCCGAGACCAGGCCGTTAAACCCCCACCCCCCGTTGAGGGCCGGTCTATCGCCGTCCAAACCTCCTCACATGACGTGCCTATTGATGCTACAGCCCTTGCCAACAACGGCGAGTCTATGGATTTAAGTATGTCCCCCGAAAATCAATTTATGGGTACATCCATCCCCACGGAAGAGGCTCCCTTGGAGAAGGCATTGTTACCCTCTGATACCGGATGCATTGGGTGCAGTCAACCCCCCCCTCCTCCACTGACTACAGGTTCGCCGGTCTCTACTTCAAGTGGGCTGTCGACCGGCGCAGGGAGTACACCGCTGCCATGGCCTCCCAAGACCAAGCCGTTAAACGCCCATCCCTCGCTGTTGGAGAGCCTGTCAACCCCTCAACCGCCAAAGACGAAGAGCCTATTGGCCCCCTTACCCCCGCTGATGGTGAGCCCACCCAACCCCATGCCAGCTGACGATAAACCCGTTGGTTTCGTCAGTCAATACATCAAATATATTGCTCTTCACAACAAGCTCACCGAACTCATAGCCGCCTGCAGTCAAGAAATCCCTGCCTACACGCTCACCGAAGGCCAGCCGGACGACCTCATGTCCGTTGACGATCAACCCATAGAGGCCGTGCCCATCCCCATCCACAGCCCTACGATGGACCTCTACCCCCACCTTGACGAGCTTATGGTAGCCACCGCGAGAGCTAGAGCCGGTGAGGCCCACTACCCGCGAGAAGTGCCGCGAGAAGAGAGTTACAGATACCGGTTTGTTAGAAACGTGATTGCGACTGTCGTGCGCCCACAGAGCAGAATTGTGCATGGGGTCGACGAGCTGATGTATAATACGGCCATGGAACGGCTCGAGGCTGATATACTGCCAGGTGTCGAGCGTGTGTATCAGGACGTGCCCAACTATGTACACCAGGTACCGCGCTCAGGTCCATTGGAGGCAGACCCTTGGTATGTGAATCAGGCGCCGTTAAACACCGAGCATGTGAATCAGCCACCGATAAGTCCCGAGTATATAGATGAGCCGGCGCCGTTAATCATGATTAACGAGTATGTGGATTGTGATGGCACGAAGAGATTGGGGGTCGACGAGAACACTAGTGATGTGAGGGAGACTGATGGGCTGCAGGAAACTGATGGGGTGGTAGACGTATCGAACCAAAAAAGGTTACTAGAGACATCTGAGATCGAAAGTCAAAGGCGCCGAATTAATGATGCAATACAACTCATGATCATGTTTGGAAAACGTAAGCCTGAGGGTGAGGAGCCACCGCCGCTTGGAGAGGAAACGCCTCAACCACTTGACGTGGGGGTGGAAGATCGCCAATTGCAAATGTTTGAACGCCCGAACCCCGGGATAGGACTATTTGCGAATCTGGAACTACAGGAACAATATGAAGTATTCCAGGTGTCGAAAGTACAGGAGGGAGCACTCCAGGTTCCCGAGGTTCAGCTTTGCCACACAGATCGGACACAGAGTTATGAGAGTTGCGAACTGCGGGTGCATGTGACTACCCCCCGGACGCTTGGAAGACAATTGCAATTAGATAAGGCTTTTCAATTGGCTCGAGGAAACATAGATAGATCCCCTGGACTTGAGGCAGAATTTGGGGACCTAGAAGTAAACAGGTATGAGCTCCATGAGCCACAAGCGTTAAGGGAACTACACGAAGTACCTGAAGCACGAAAGGAAGAGTTTCAAGCACCTGAAGCAGATGATGAAGCTGCGGTTCCACTTACCAACCCGGAGGTGCAGAGGGACGGAAGCGAGGAGTTTCCAGATTGGGACCCTGAATTACTGATAAGTTTTGGGAGCGAGGAGCCGGTACTGGCGCAAGAGGAGATATTCAAGATTCCTAAAGTATGGGAAGAAAGGTCCCAAGTATCTGTATTAGCAGAGGAGACGCTTCTAGTGCCTGGAGTAGATCTAGAAGGGGAGGTGCTTAATGAGAGCCAGGAGTGGGAACAAGCGTTGGAAGAGATGTCCGAGGGGCTCGAAGTACTAGATGAAGGGTGGAAAAAGATACTAGAGGTGTCCGAAGAAATAGATGAAAAGTTGAAAGAGATATCCGATGCACTAGATGAAGAGTTGAAAGAGATATCCGAAGCACTAGATAAAAAGTTGAAGGAGATATCCAAAGTAGATGAGGTTTTGGAAGAGATATCCGAGGGACCTGAAACACTAGATGAAGGGTTGAAGCCCCCAACGCCTGATCTTCAACATGACGATTCGGAAGCACAGAAGACATACGAGGGTCAGAATCAGGAGATGCACAGCACAACGCACCAAATACCTCAATCCCAAGCTTGCAACTTGGAAACACCGAGATATGAGAGCCAGAGACCGCATTCCCAAGTATCAGAGGCAGAAGAGGGAGAGCATCCAACATCCGTTATTGAATCTGAAGGCCAGGATGTACAAAGGTATGATTAACAAATCTTCAAAGTGCAAGATGAAAGGACGGGTGTTTAAAGCGGAGAACATATAGGTACGAGAACCAGGAGCCACATATGCCAAAGGAAATGTCCCAGGCGCTTAAAACACAAGAGCAGATGAACCCAGTGCTTGGAGCACGAAAAGAGCCCCAACTACCTGAAAATAATGAATGGCACCCAGCAGTTAAGAAGCACTGCTTACAAAGGGAGGATGGCATCACGTCTCCGGGTCCCGAAGTAGTCCAGGTTTGGCACAATGAAATACAGAGATACGAGAGCCATGATCCGCAGTCATCGGAAAGGTCTCAAACGCCCGAAACACAAGAGGAACATCCTTCGCCATTTCCAGGGATTCCGAATTGGTTTCCGGACAGACCGAGGCTTAGCCAGGAGCCACTTCAAGTTTGGTATCATCAATCACAAAACTCAGATAACCAGCAGTCGCAAACGTCGAGGGAAACATCACGATCTCGGGCTTCTCAAGGACTAGAGCAAGGACTTCAATTGCCTGAGGATGAGCTCGATGGCCCTGGAGTACAATTAAGGTATGAGTGCCTGTTGTCTAAAGCGCAAGAGAAAAATCTCCAAATAATTAAATTATAAAATATATAGGAACGAAACTCAGTTGTCAAGGGTAGTATCCCCGATTCTTAAAGAACAAGAGCAAGCTCGCCAGATATCCGAAGCACGAGAGGAAGAGTCGCAATCACCTAGGACTCGAGACCGGCACCGTCGATCGGAGGGTCTAGTAGAGGGGGAAGCAAGCAATATATCTGAAGAGCGAGAAGAACCAGAGACTAACATACCTGGGATTCAAGAGTGGTATACTCCGATAGAGGCGGAGCATAGGATGTCCGGAGCGCAAGAAGCGCCAGAGACCAACATACCCAGGATTGTAGAGTGGTACCGTCTAATAGAGGCGGAAGCGCGCGGGAGGTCCGAAGAACGTAAGGTGTCGGAAGCACAAGAGGAAGTGCGCCGGGCGGCTGAAGCACTAGAGGAAGCACGCCAGGTGCTTAAAGCACGAGAGGAAGCGTGCTGGGGGTTTGAAGCACGGGAAGAGTCACAATTACCTGGTACTCAAGAATTGCACCCCGAATCACGTAGGGAGGATAACCAGGAGTTGGAGGTGTCGAGAGAAACCTCTCAGACACCTGAAGCACAAGAAGGGGAACTCCCAGTGTTTAGAATGCATGGGGCGCGCGGGGTGTCAGAACCACAAGAGTCACATAGCTAAATACTAAAACCACAGGATGATAGCAGCGGGCACAGTTCATCAAACTAGGAAACAACACCGATAGATACCGATCCGCACATTCTGGCTTAGAAAGAGACTGTTTTAGAGGACTATCTGGAGACAAAAAACTGATTTTTATCTTTGGAATTGGAAGACTAGTATTAGATGCAAAGGAGGCGTAAGATGATGGTCATCTTCGCCCACTGTATTTTAGCTTAGTAGACTGTTGATATAATTCAACTAATTGAGAGGTTTTATTATTTTGAAGTTCTAAAATGACACTTTCGGTATACGTACTCTGAAATAACACATGACGCAAGATGACACGGTTTGCAAGAGGTATTTACTCAACCTCATGCACAGACAATTGGGTAATACAGGTCGATTCCCAGCTCCACTACCCGCCCCTTCCTCCTCTAGAGAAACGAAACATTAAAATAGCGTTTGTAATTTATTCACGGCCACTACAAAAAAAGAACAAAAGTTTCTACAAAAGTACAAAAAGTACTGCAGCGACTTGCGCTACTACCCCCACCCCTGGTTTGAACCCAGGACCTTGTGTGTGTATCCTGGGTAAACACTCAGTGTCTAACCCGACGAGCAGTCTACCACTAGACCACTCGCCCATGCCGGATGTTGCACTGGAAATGATACTTGATCAATTGGCTTGGCATTGTGCCAAGATAAGGAAGAACCCTAACCCTTCGATGTTAATTCTCTCATAAAGAAGTATTCATTTGGACCATGTTGAACTGTGTTATCTTGCATCATGTGCTATTTTAGAGCACGTCAATCGAAAGCTGTATCATTTTACACCCTTTCCGTATTATTTTTCCCTGGCGGAGGTAGGGCAAAGTCTACATGTACTTGACTGTGGCAACGGGTAAAAAAATAAGCCTCCAATCACGATTTACTAGCGAAAAAGGCATATATAAGCGTTTTTTGGTGATTTTAGCATTATTTTAGTATGAGGCTCTATTTTTTCTAAGACTCTCTCCAGAATAAGGCACATACATGTATATGCCTTTAGCTATACATATACATTATATACAGATAATTCTTAAATAAGTCTTTATACCAAATCTGTCTTTTTCATCAATCAAGACTCTCTGGTAGATAAGACTTATTTAAGGCTTATTTAAGGCTAATAAATTCAAATTTTATCGATTATCTTAGCTATATAATAGTTCTAATATCAAAATCTTAATTCTCCCATAGCCTAATGGGTAGATTGAGAGCTTGGGGTATCCCTTGGACGCGTGAGACATTTGGAGAATCTCTCTCATGCATTAGCGGGAATTGGCAGTCATGTGATCTAGAATTTGGCTGAGAAAACGTCCGGGTAAGCAGTTTGCTGCATTTATCGGTCTTCGGAATACTCAGAGATGCCAAAAACTTCGCAAGTTGCTGCTTTATTATAGTAAATCGTTTCCTAGGTAGGGCACGCTAATGCATGAGAGAGATTCTCCAAATGTCTCACGCGTCCAAGGGATAGTATACCTGCAATGCTTTGGGTTCAATCCCTTCCCTTTTCGTTTTGTCTTAAACTTAGAATAAGTCTTAAGATTGAATCAGCCTAAAATCGATCAAGGCTTACATAATCCTTAAATCAAATAAGTCTTAAATTAAATAAGTCTTAAATAAGTCTGAAAAATCAATAATGTTTAATCGCTGGAGTTCGCTGTTAGAGACTTAAAATTAGAATAAGGAATATACTACCAAAACGGTGATATTTGCCTTATTTGAGCCTACCCTAACCACTATTTTTTTACTGCTTCCCGCAGTCAAGTAGTTGCTGAGCCCGTGTCTTGGCGCATGGAATATCACTCGCTTCGTTTTGAGACGATTTTTGTTTTTGTTTAATTCATTAATTGCATTTTTGAGACGATTATTAGGTTGTTGTTGTTTTTTTTTTTTTTTTTAAATCTATTAATTGCATACGATTATTGGTTGGATACAAATACTTGTACCTACATATGCAAGAGCCATATGTGATTAGTGAAACCACATATCCACGCCCCAGTAGTGATTGTGCTCCGGGAATTGAATACTCGCATCTAATCCGACGAATGGCACAACTATGTATTTGTCCGACTAAATAACCGCAAAACCTAAACTCCAAGCCCATAGCAAAATAAATTTTCAAACTCCCCGCCCTAATTTCGCGCCCTCCTAAATCTATAGCTGCGGCATTAGTCAGGGCACCCTAGTAGACGTTATACTACCAACAGTACTTAAGTATTTGGTTTACGTTTATGCCAAATAAAGTAGATATGGGGGAATAAGATCGTTGATAGATATTAATTCATGATTTTTGATATGTTTAACGTTAGTTGCAGCACCGAAATGCTGTGGAGAATATCATGCATATGCATCAGAAACAGATTGAGGTGTTGACACTTTCCGCTCCCGTCCTTTTTCATTGTCGGCCGCAAACCTTCGTTTCAAAGTCGCCAGTTTTTGTGCCGTTAACCCACAGCTGTTCTTTACCGACTCGCTATCAACCAACAAACCAGCCACTACTTCGTGTCCTTTTCTTGGCTCGGCGTCGTCTATCACTTCACCAGATCCACTTGTTGTCAATACTGAAATATAGACTTTTGGGCTCTTCTGGAGCAGCAATTGGACCATTCCTTCATGACCTCTGATTGCTGCAAGGTGCAGTGCTGTGTATCCATGACCTTCCTCCGCCAAAAGGTGTGGCCCCGGACATCTCTCGACTAGCAAGCGAACGATGGTTTCATGACCCCACGATACAGCGAGATGCAACGCTGTATACCCTCTCATGTTGCGGATGGCGAGGACACTACTCGGAATTTTTTCAAGCAGTAACCGAGTGATCTGCTCATGGCCCTTAAGCACTGAAATGTGTAACACAGTCTGCCATCCGGCGGTAATCATGGCTGAAAAATCGATTTTATGTTCGCGTTGTAGCAGTAAATGGACTATTTGGTCGTGGCCTTCCTGTACAGCCCAGTGTAGCGCGGTGTATCCGTTTCCATCCTTCATGGAGAACTCGCTTTCCGTTACACTCTCCAGCAGCAGACAGACCATTTCTCCATAACCCTTCATTGCTGCGATATGCAAAGGTGTCATTCCATTGGCATTCTGCACGAATAAACCAGGAGTCTGTTGTATTAACAAACTAGCGATCCCGGTGTGGCCATTCCTCGCTGCGAGATGTAGTAAATTCCCGCCTTGCCAGTCCGTGGATTCAGCCTCCGTCTTATGAAGTAGGAAACGGACAACTTCTTCATAGCCTCCCTGTACAGCCCAGCCTAGCGCAGTGTATTCGTTTATATCCTTTGCCGAGGGGTCAATGCCATAACCGTTATCAAGAAGAAGCTTAACAGTGGTGGCGTGGCCTTCGGAGGCTACTAAATGGAGAGCTGTTTGTCGGTGGGAGTTAACTTTCGAATGGTCTGTGTTTGGATCCTTTGAAAGTAGTACACGGACCACAGAATTATGGCCCTTTAGCGCAGCAAGGTGCAATGCCGTAAAATTCTCAATGTCCTGCGCTAACCCAATACCCGGAACACTCTCAAGAAGCAAACTGACAATTTTTTTCATGCCCACATACAGCGGCGAGGTGCAGCACAGTCTGTTTTCTATGGTTCTGTGCAGAAAGATCGATTTCGGGATGCATTTCGAGCAGTGAACGGATTATACTCTCATGGCCATTCCGCGCAGCCCAATGAAGCGCAGTACACCCTCCTTCGTCTTCAGATAAAACGTCTACACCTTGGTCAAGCATTTGTCTGAAATTTTCAAAATCCCCTTCTGACGCTGCTTCCCTCAAATCTGATAGACATTTGCAGGAGCCGCCCGTAACCTTCTTGAGGACCTACTCAGAGTCCTCATTTCTTAGGTCGTCAGACAAGAATCTAAGACAGCGAGGACACGATACTGCAGGAGTAGCGCCGTGTTGTAGCAGTAATTTGACAGTGGAAAGGTGACCTTTAGACGCAGCTCCATGTAACGGGGATAGTTGGCCAACTTCCGATTTACCGGATGGTGGGATACCTTTCTTGAGGGGTATCTCTACCACCCTCTCGTGCCCCGCAGCTGCCGCGTTCGCTAGTGCCATATCCATCGGACAATCGTCTGATCTTTCGGGACAGAGATCGCCCAACCTATTGAACAGCCACTCTAATATTTCTACATGACCACCAGATGCGGCGAAATATAGGACGTATGTCTCGCTATTTTTCGGTTTGTTGTCTTCCCTTGGAGTGGAAAGTGGTGGCGCTGTGTTGAAATCGTCTTGAACAGAGCAAGGAAATCCATTCTTGAGAGAACTCTGCGTGTCCTCTATTTTTTTTCCTTGATCAAAATGATGAGATCTTTTGCAACCAGCAAATTTGTCTAGTAGAAGCTGAACTATCTCTTTGTGCCCATTGGCAATCGCTAGAGTGAAAGTTGTCTCTCTATAGCTATCTATTGCTATGATACCAACTCTAGTTTCTAGAAGTACTTGGACAACTTTAAGATGGCCTATTGAACAGGCAAAGTGCAGAGGAAGATAGTTTCTAGGGTATGTCGGCTGATCTGATGAAGAATCAAGTGCCTGCACGTAAGAAGAGAATGTGCCTGTTCTTTTCAAAAACCTCAAAAGTGGATTTTTCGTCAGCGAATTGTCATATTCTACCAAATGAAACATGAAATTCTCAGCAGCGTATCCTAGGAAAGGGTATGCTGCAACCCGTGCTTCGAATTCAGATTGGCAAATCAAGGCTCCTCTCGAGAAAGCTTTGGATAAGAGGTGGGAGGCACAAGCTATGGTCAGTGCCGAATCTGTAGCAGGGCGTACTATTGATATTTTTACGAGGTATTCTTGAGCAGTGGAATGCACAAACTGAACTTTCGAGGTTTTCTCGTCTATGGTCACCAGACCAGAGCAAAGGTTGAGTATTGTTTCTCGATCCGGTAGGTCCAGCACATTGAGCTCAAAGCCGAGTTGAACACCCGCAATATCTTGAAGCTTCTCAGAGGTGATATTACCGTGTTCCAACTCATATACCCCCTGCTTAATACTTATTGCATGCTGGAGTTCTTTGAATGTAAGTGTTCGGTTTACCCCCGCGAGCCATGTGAAAATCCCTAATACCAGCATTCTTTACTCAAGTGACTGCATGCAAAGATTTACCACGATCCTATCGTATATAAGGATGAGCGGGGGTCGATCTGAAGATGTGCTCTTGAAAGCTTTGAGCTCGTGGAGGATTTGGTTTATACTGGGCTGTTGACACAAATGCTGTATGTGAAAGTCAACCAGCAAGAACCTTGAAAATATTAGCAAAGGCTTGGGGAGTAATAAGGACATCATGACCGAGGTACTTACATTCCCTTTGCACATTCTCCGATATCAGAGACAATCCTTTCTCTATACAATTCTTTGCCATATAAGCGGTTGGCCAATAAACTGTCACTAACCCTATGCTCGGCATAGATCTTGATGTCCTCTTCTCTCGCCCTTAATTCGATTTTAGTCGCGAAGTCTAGAGTATTCTGTATATCCCCTGATATGTTTTCCCTACTTGTTAAAAACACATTGGGTGCTCCAGCCATCCTACACAATAACGTCAAAAGTAATTTTCTCTGCTCTCGATCTCCCTTTCCACGCTCACCCAGCGCATCGCAAATTATAAACGTGTTTGTAAAGAAGGAAGAAGCAGAAAGGAAAAGATTGTAAAGACTATCGTATTTAAGAGGGTTGTATGTCTCATGTAATTTACCGGCTCTATCTGGGAGAACTGGCAGTTGAGAAAGTAGCTGTCTCACAATACTGGCAAGAACGCTGGTTGTATCATGAGTGGACTGCTCTTCATGATCGAAATAAATATATGCTACTCCGCAGTTGGATATTGATGCTATATCTAGGAGGTGGTCTACTATTATTGAGCTTTGATGCCGAGGGAATCATGTTAGGTGTTGTTCTATTTATGGTTAAAATCCCGAGTAAATACCTTAGAAATGTTTTTCCAGAACCAGCTATAATAACCATTATCAGTACTAACACCAACTCAAATTCATAAAACAGTACACGTACCAATTCCGTAACCCCAAAGTAGTTGAGAATTTCTATCATTCTTCGCCTTCACCCAATTCAGGAAATCAGGTGACGTCAGGATCCATGCACCAATGTCGCCGTGCCTTTTTCCCCTGGTAGCGGTATGTTTCTTGCTGTATATCTCCGGGTATATCCAGTCTAGTATCTGTTGCCGCCTATTTTCTGGGATAGGGTAGGACACATCAGCTAAAAGGCTCTTCAAGTTTAATGTATATATATATATTTGTTCCTGTCAATTTCGGCAGGATATTTCTCTAAATCTAAGGCTGGGGATTCCTGTGAAGCTAACTCCGGCTGGGAACTAGAGGCCTCAATTTTCATCCCAAGTTCCTGTATCTCAGCTCTTCTCTGGAAAAACGATTCTATTACTTCGCTGCGATAATCTCTGGCTTTTACTTTAGGCTCCTGCGAGGCCTCTTTGGCAGACTTCTCCAACACCCTGGGATTGAGAAAAGTCAGAAACTTCAGCTGAAAAATCAAAGCAATTAAACATATACGACTTGTACTCACGAATGAACGCCCAACAGTAGTTCCTTCCACCCCTCAACACACTTCCTCACATTTCTCCAGTCTACTCTTCGTGTTCTTTTCTTGAGCTTACTAACAAGCGCCTGCAGATCGACCATGCATTTATCCACTTGAACAGCCAACCTTCCGAGGCCTTTCTTAAACTCCGGGTTAGCACTAGCGAAGCCCTCAATCGCTATTACGGCGCCATGGCAGACGCGGAACTCTTCTGTTGTTATTTGTACTATTTTAGATAATGAAGATGAGCCTATGTAGAGATGGCTGAGGTAGAAGTAGCATAAAGGTGTCGCTTCTAATGTGAGCTGAAGAAGCGCTGACGTTGTGAACAGGGGAGCTGGTACTGGGGTAGGTGGATTCGCTATGGGTATGAACTCTCTAGAGAGAGGTGTGCTATTTTTCGGCCGGTGCTAATAAAGTTTAATTTTCGCGCTAAAATAAGGTTCAAAAACACTACTGGGAATTTAGTAAGTTTATATGGATTCCACAATTGATATCTGTTTGGCGGCTGTTTTGTGCTTATGCAGCTCGAGACTAATTGGAAATGGATAGCCCTAATGTAACCTAGTAGATAAAAGTTGAAGTTCTGAGTACATTTCGGCGTTGCTAGGTCAAGCGTTGCATCACTTTCCGGCACCCCCGGGTACATGTATCTATATCTCACTTTTCCTCCTCGCATGGTAGGTAAGCTCAACAAACAGTCCGCAGGAGGTCTAGCTAGGATAATATCTATATTTACTAATTATAAGTTGCAATCGATAGGCTGGCCGATTGCATATTGGGGCCTAATCGATCGAGTAGAGGGCATTAACGGGCTTGAGTGATACAGATCTGTTCAGCAGGAGCCTATATGTTGGAAAAGTCTAATTCACGCAACCTTCATGATCAGGCAGCTGAAATTGGGTCGGTAGAAACAAAAAACATCTCTATCCTACCTACCCCGCTCTTCGTAGAATCATATAGTCTTCATTTGGCGGTAACACAAACATACTTTGTACAAGTAGTTTCCGGCCTTCGGCCGGTACTATATGTATATCAATCAGTCCAATATACAGGCAAACCGCTTTTCGGCTTATTTCTCTATTTACCTGTCAGTCGGGGCTCTCAGGCCGCTGCGCGGCCCTCGACCCCTCCTGGCAGGCAAAGTCCATCACTATATCTAGATCTGCTCTGGTCAATATGTGCATTTTCTGATATCCCCGATATATCAACGGATAGGTCAGACAATTTCTCCAGTTAAAACTACAGGTATATCCCTTTAACAGCCACCAAGCCGCTAAAATCGAACTACTAATCGATTCCCAGAACCAGTAGAAACCTTATTAACACTCTAACAACACTCAGCACAATATCCTATGTTAATATCCAACACAACATGTTTCAAGTGAAACAAAAACATCCCTCACTGAACCAATCAGAAGACTATAAAAGCACATTGCATATGCAGGTTATAATTATATACTTATTAGATATAATTATATACTTATTAGATATAATTATATACTTATTAGATATAATTATATACTTATTAGATATATATTCGAGTCAAAGTCTATTTGTGCCTCTAAATACACGTAGTCTGCTCACGACATCGTACGAACAACCCAATAGATGGAGAACTGCATGTACCAAGCCATTGACGCCTACAATGTTATAACGTTAGTGCATGAATTGCCTACTGAAATTAAGTTTCCATTAATTGGCCGTGCGCGCGTCGAAACGGAGTTTTTGTGGTGAAATTTGTATGTTAACCGAATAACTGTTGCTAATATGAAATCCTAACTCAAATTCATGAGATTTAGATGGACCAAGTGATATTACATGATCAATACCTAAAATCATGATCCCAATATCGTTCCAGGGAAGTGTTCGTCAAAACCACAGAACATACATGCAATGTACTACGAACAACATTTCAAAGTTTATCAATCATTGTCTCGGAGGCCTTCCCTCACCTCTCATCACCATCCTTTATTTCCGCCAAAAAAAAAAAATTACCAAACTCCAACCCAACGTCTATATCTATCCTTTCAGGTGTTTCAGTAGTTAAAGGGAGGAAAGAAAATGGAGGGGGGAAACGAACGAGGGGAGAACCCCACGAATTTAAGTCTTTTTCTTTAATAACGCCCTCCTTTTTCTAGCACTCATGTACTCCTTTTTTTCAGATTTCTCAATTGGGGCCGTCGAGGTCGTATCACTACCCGCGATCTTCTGCGCCTCTGTCACCGCATCCCATACACCTTCTCCCATAAAACCTTTCACCTGTTCCAATAGACTCTCAGGATCTTGCGGCTCCACTCCAAGCACAGGCGAGAAGTTGTTGCTAAAACTCATTATGTTATCGATTTCTCTACTCTCATCATTGTCATCGGTCGCGAAGAGACTTCGCGCAAACTTGACTGATTTCTTAGATGTCGAGGGGATATCAAATGTGGAGAGGCCATGCGGCGAGGATTCACTCTGCCGATTAGCTTTTGGAGATGATTCGGGTGTAGCAAAGGCGTGGAACGGGGTAAACGTTGTTCCAGACTCTTCACTGCCGAATGAGATCTTAAATGGTGATAACTGGCGGCTCGGTGGTGTCTTTGGCGGCGACTCTTCCCTCTCCCTTGGTCCTGGCTCGACTGACCATTGAATAGCTTCTAACTCTGGTGTTTTGCTGATAATCCCCCCCTCTACTTCGTACGATTGATCTGCCCATTGAAGGCTGGAAGTCTTCGGTAGGGTTTCTCCTTTATTCTCTTCGTCGCGCGATTTAGCCAAGCCTTCGGACCCTGGGGTCTTTAATAACTCATCGGGCTCAACAGTCCATTGAACATTCTCCATTCCTGGAGTCTTGAATGGACTTTTCCCTCCGATTTTGTAAGAGTCTACGAAGTGATTCGCGGTTATCAGTGTCTCAGATCGAGTTTCGTCGTCGAAAAAACGAATTGGCCTCAACAAGTCTCCCCCAGGAGTGATAGAAGTTGATGGGTAGTCTCCTAGTGGAGCAGGCGGCTCTTGGATGGCCTCAGCGAAGCCACTCTGGGGGGCGAGAACAGCGTCCTGTGTGTTTTGCCAGGACTTGTGTTGATTCACTAGCTGTGTTCCCAGCGCAGGGTGGGTGGTGCAAAATTCTGTTGGGCATTCTTTATAGGTGTCCTTTGATACAAGTTTTGGCATTGGCTCAGGAGAGCACGGTACATCAATCGTGGCGGTATGGGATATGATAGGTGATTGAGCTTTTTCAAGTCGTGAGATTGGTGTAAGTGATGCGGGGACTTTTGCTGGAAGTTCAACTGGCCTCGCAGTAAAAGGGTCATAGCGTGACACTACTGGCATTTCACCACCATTCATTGAGCTATCGGGGGCAATGTTCTCGACTCTTCTATTTGTATTCCTACATAAATCAGTATCATGAAACCTGTCGAAGCACAAATCCCAACATACCTGTACACAACTGGGCTTTCTGCCACCGGCGATAGAAGGTTCGCAATGGAAATTCTCTTATGATCCGCGCTAAACTTTTGCGAAGCAGCTACATGGCGATTAACCCAGTTTTGAAAAACCTCCTCTCTTGTAGGGTCTTTGCTTGAAGTTGATGATTTCGCTTCTGCGACTTGTTCCTGCCCCGGCTCTGGTATAGCCAAAGTGATAGAAGGCTCTTCACTTGTGACCTCTACATTCCCACAAGGATTATTTGGTTCTGTTACAGCTGCAACTCTCGTATCCGCCAGTCCAGGATCTATTTCTTTGTTCATGATCTCAACCATTTCCGGTCCGTCTTCGGGTCCCGGTACATAAGTAATAGCATCTGCATCCTCCACCTGTTGAAGCACTCCTGGTTCTGTGAACCTCTTTATATCCATGCTCCCTGAAACTTCCTGCTCTTCCGTATGGGTATCCGCTGATCTTTTCCCTTTCTTCTTAGAACCCCCCCTTTGCCTCCTTTTCGCTTTCGGCCGTTCAGGCGCCATGCCGAACGGTGGTACCGCTCCAAAATCATTCTTGGGTCTTGTATTTTTCATATCTATATCACCCGACTGTACTTCAGGTGGGGGCACCACTTCTATAGTATCTAAAATCTGCTCTTGCTCTTGATCTAATGACTGAGCCTCCAGTGTTTTGAAGCTATTTCGTGTGGATCTATGTTTTGCAATTGAGCGAGTCTCTTGAGATGATTCAATTGATTTAGTTCTAGACCGGGTGTTTGTTGGTTTGGGGGCGGTTCGGGGTTCCTGGGGCGGTTCTAATTCAGACTCAGAGGCCCTAGTTAAGCTGCACGTAGACCTGGATCTCGAAGCTAAATCTTGGGTTCGTATCGGTACTTCTAGTATAGGTTCTGTGGTAGGCTTTCGTCCAGGCCTGAGCCTTGGGGCTGTGTCTCCGACCTGCGTTGGCGTATCTGGTGTGATTTCTTCCAGAGAGTTTTCCCTAGGCCTAAGTCGCGGCGTTGAGTCTCGGACTTCTAAAGACCATTTTCTTGTCTTCCGCACAGAAATAGACTTCGAAGTTGAGCAAGCTGACTCCAAAGGCGGGGATGATTTCTTTGCGCTCGAAGACTTTCGATGATTGGAAAAATCTTCAATTGAAATCTGTTGAGGTTTAGGTTTAGATCTATAGAAGGTTCCCGGGGAGAATACTGATGCTACTTCAATAGGAGCCTTTGGCTTCTTTTTGACTGGTGTCCTAAATTCTAGTAAATCTTTATCGGACGGTGAATGAGATCGAGATTGCGATCGATCCGGTACATTTGTTGCTTCAGGCGGCCTTGTACGCAATGGGGTCGGAGTTGAGGGGCCTGATCTGTCCCAAGTAGTATTTGTCCCTCTACTCCACATATGCATCGCGTTTCTCCCAACTTGCGAGGGACCTGGTTCTATCTCCCTCTCTTCCTGCCTGCCCTTTAATCTCTTACTCATGTCTTCCTCCAAAGTCCCTTCTTCTAGTTCTATTGCTTTTCTTTTGGTCTGTTTCTTCCCCTTTGCCCATGGATTCTTAACTACTGGACCCCGTAGTCCTGCAGAATGTAGATAAAGCGGCTCTCCCCGCAAGTAGCTCTCGGCGTGTTTCAACATGCGGCCCCGTTTCGCGGTGGTTTCGGTATCTGAGTCTGAGGAGGATGAGTCTCGTGAGATGATGTCCGAGGGAAGATTATCAGAAATAGGATCGAGAGGGAGTGGCGGAAATAGGGGAGGCGGGGGATGTCCGGATGACATGATGTACTGTGATGATTGATGGATGATTGATTGCGTCGTTACTATGGAGACGGGACTGTACGCGTGGGAAGACGGGAGCTTATCTGATCGCCGTAGGCTGATTATCTGATTGTAATTTACGCGTCTCAATCACGTGTTCATACATATATTACACATAGTTAATTATGTCTTCGATCGCGAGGATCAATAGATACAGTTTTCCTCTAGCGGTTGTTGATGAAACTCAGAGTGGAAAGTCAGACTCCAGAATGTTTTACCTGTGACCTTGCGGCAACCACCCAGCTAAAGCACTGAATTTCGTACTCTCCAAATTTTTACGTTCTCGTCCATCGAGCTTTATGGTGCTTTCAGCATGTCTTCCGCCTTGTCGCTGAACAGTAACTACATCTTAACCACCCTACATCCCTTGCACATAGTCATTGCTCCAGAATTCACCCTTTATTTGCAACTCACACAAGCGGTCTTCTCTCCCACTAGCTTGGGGAATCCGGACCTATTAAGGCTTTGGCCAATACCAACAACCACCCATTCTTCCTTCGGATCTTATTAACAAGAGTCTTTATACAGCTGGCTCTAAATCAATAGGGACATACGCCCCCAAAATATATCCTATGTTGAAGTTCTACATAAAACATATCTATGGATACCTATCTTAAATTATTATAATTTGCAAGTTCTTGCGAACTATATCTGCATTTTGGTTCAATTCCATCCTAAAGATATTTTTAAGCACCTCTACATCAGCTAGCCTCAAAAGGGAAGTTTATGAACTCCTTTGGGGAATTTTACAAGCGTTTACTCCTGATAAGAAGAGTTCGAAAACGTTCCGGTCATATGTGGCGCCATGGTGGCTATATCTCCACTGAGGACATACTTCGATCTTGTGCCCATTGGATCCTCGCCGAATGCTTGTGTGTATATCGTTGAATACAGTAATCATTCTAAGATAGAACAGGAATTACTGCAGAGAAGAGCACGAGAGGCCTAACATGACCTTACAAACTCAGTGCCTTAATTTAGTCGAAAAGCATGGGGCTAGTGAGGAATTAGATATATTTTAATCACCGCCGTTCAATTTCAATGACGTTGCTCGCTAGACTTACATATAGTCAAACGATGCAGCGTCAGGACCCTGTTCCCGGCGACCTCTAGGACGCGACAGAAACGAAAGCAAATAATGATCATACCCCTCAATGCCACCAAGCTATAGGCTTTTGCTCATTTCTTGAATGGAATCTGGGCGGCCTCAATAACATCATCATAAGCGGCGCTCTCTTGGTTCGATATTCAAGACTTCGACTAGAAGTCTTCATAAAGAGGGCTATTCTCCGGTAAAATGAACCCAATAAGTGTGTCTTGCCCTAGGTCGACAAAGGCCGTTTCCACCAGCTACGCCAACCCTGGAGAACAATAAAGGCTTGTGTAATGCACTGCTGATATATTGAGAATTGATGCAAAAGGATCTATGGAAGAGAATAAATCCAAAGTTGCAATTCCCTTTATATCCCAATCTTCTAAAAACTTGACAAGAGACGCTAAATATACATCGGATTCATATCCCTCAGAATTTTTTATCTACGAGCGGCGGACCTGACATTGAGTGTCTTAGCCATGCCAAGTATCAACTATATTACCGAGTTCAAAAACAGAAAGCTAGGCAAAATTGATAAGGCGGTAGAATATCCTCCAATGATTTAGAGATCGTTCGCCTAGCTTCCAGAAGATACCTCGTCGAAGTGTCCCCTTTGGATAGAATGCTGGGCCCATAAGAATTTTGATTTAGTCGAATTAATTCCACCAGCTCGTAGTTACCAACTGCAGAACAAACCAGTAATTTAGCTTAAAACCCTACAAGGTTTAGTCCCTTTTCGTCTCATGGATAATGGCCTAGATGTTTAAGATCCACCAAATAGGAATAGACCCATGGTCACGAAGAACCCCCTATTGCTGGTTTGTTTTAGAGGTAGGTGGGCATAACTAGATCGACTAGCCCCCAGTGCTATTCCAGCGATTCAATCAGTGGTTGATCTCAGTATTAGATCCACCGATAAAAATACCAATAATCGTATCTAGTTTGTGAGTGCAAACTGTGTGACAGATAAGTTTTATGGTCTCTTTTTACAACCTAGGAGGAATATTAACTCCCCCCAAGTAGGTTAGTTGTCGCTAATTGACAGCAGCACAAAACGCTAATATAGAGGAACCTTTTCATTTTTCAGAGGGTTTAATTCCAAGCAATATAATAACGCTATAGCTAGCATTATCTAGGTTGTTGAGTATGAGAGCTAAATCGATATAACAGATGCATACATATAATGAATGAGGTCTCTTCTGAAATGAAGAGTACTGGATGCCTAAAAATGTGGTTTCAGTATCGATTGGGAAGCTCGACTTAGCGTTGCAGATTCATGTAAGTATAATAATTTGTTTTCCCTGATGTAGATCCAACTCAACAGTGACAGAGAAGTGCGCTCCATGATGCACAATGTATCTATATGAATGCTCGAGACAAGAATTCTGGAACCTAAAAATACGAGCTACAAATATGGACAATCAATTTGGTATGCGTACGTGCCCATGAGCATGCGCTTTATTACCACCAAAATCCTTTTCTGTACATATATCTCTCTGAGGATCTCACATGTTCTTATTCCACTCAATTCTATCGGGAAACCTGGACTAGTTATATTAGAATTCCCTTATATTCACATTGTAGTTAGAACGTACAATTTCAAAACACACCTGGCCAACTGAGTATTCTAGAACTAGTGTGGTCGACGAGCCGGCTCGAGACGAGCAAGAGGAAAAGCTCGAATCGGCTCGTGATAACAGCTGCTCGTCTCGATTCGACTTGTAAGTGCTCGAGTGCAGCTCGAGCCACTCGAGCTTTTCAGTGGTCTCAGATGTTTGTCCTTAGGTCATTCTAGGTGATATCGATCTCTTGATCATTGGAACGGGTGTTTCCAGGGTTAGGGCTTCCTACTGACACATTTCGTAAAATCAATTACCAAGGATATTTTCCGCGTTTTTAGTATGGTTAAAATAACACCTCAAAAGCTCGAGCTTTTCAAGTCGAGCAGTGGAGGGAGCTCGAGCCAACTCGACTCGTGAGGGTGGCTGCTCGTGGCTAGTCGAGTTAACTTGTTTTATCGACCACGTACACTATCCAGAACACACGTGCACATTTGCACCTATAGCCGGATCAGATGTATTCCCATCTGCTAGACATGCCAAGTGACGGATCCTAATTTTAGTACCTACAGAGTAGCAGCCCGGCTACCTTGTGCAACATACATACATATATACTCCATTAATTAATGGATTTCGGGCTGGTGAATAAAGGTTCCATGATCAAGGTTACGATTGAATGGTGGTTTGTTCTGCCGCGGCTGCGAGTGGTTTCTGTCTCGATACATGTGGTTTCAATCCATTCATTTTTTGAGTACACCAATGCTGCTGACTCTAGATGATCTGGAGAATAAAACAGAGATCTGATACGGAATAAAATGCCGCACTCATATCAACAACACCACCATATATGAAATCAATCTAGGCCCAAGAACTTGGCGGGAGTCGTTGCGGGCCGGCCGGATACGTACATAAATGTGGTACGTATGTACGTAGGCATATCGATCAGCATGCAGACAGTCCTCCTTCCAGATCAGGATTCGACACTCTAACTACATCACTAGATGAGCCTTTCAATCCATGTGTGAGAATAAAATCGAGCTGGGGCTTCGTCCCCGATAGCATCCTTCCCTGGCCAGTTAACTAAGCCATTGCAGGATGTCGGCATCCAGGTATGTGTATGGGGAGTACCAGCTGCTTATTCAAAGCACAAGCTTCGACTGACCGCTAGGTTACCATCACAAAGTATATGGAGTGGGTCATCTACTTGTTTATTATTTCCCATGTACGTCCCGTGTCGATCTCCATCCCTTGCACTCACCAGGATGCCGAGGGCGACAAAAACGACAATATAGCGGATCTATCCATAGAGCGGGAGTACAAAGCGAAGACTCAAGCTGGCAACTAAAAAGTACTAGTAGGATCCTAGGTAGGAATAGCTCCTCGCTATTACAGGTCTCCAGCCAGTGATTTGAAGGGAAACAGTACGTATACTAGGGTGGGTGTACTCCCGCTCACCCTCTACATATGAGTAGATCCGCACATATTTCCCGATTATATATACGGCTATCTTATTAGAATGCATCAATAGAATGTAAACGTATTGATTTTCACCATGGTCTACTAAGGCGTTTAGTGAAAACAGGCGACTTTTCACGACCTTTTACTGAACGCCATAGTAGAAAGAAAGCCAATTGTTAATACCACCGCAATTAACACACTGCCGAAAATTCATGTTTCCAATCCGTGCCACTGTGGTGTGGACCCTTATGGTTAAGCTTATACCTAGACTTGAATTATAAATGGTAGTCACCGGCCTTTTGATGGTTATTGGGCAGTACAAACAACTACATGTAGTACTTTTGTCATGACGCTTTTTGGGTTATGTTTACGCTCATAAGGGGATCTAGGGCGTCTACAATATAGAGTAATCCGAGACGGAGATATCTATACCATACAAGGAGCCCCTTCTATGCAGGTATATAGGTCAAAACTGGATAATACATGCACTAGTTAGTATTCATCATCGTACGTCATTCGTACCGCCAGCTAATGAAGATTCGATTCTCGTTGATTCCGAGACGAATTTTCCGGAAACCATGCCATCAAAGAAGCAACATATAGGTGTCTTGAGAAACAATCTTTATATAGGCGTACTTTAACCATAGTAAGCATAGGTCGTGAGTACAGCGACGTCGATGTTGAGCCGTATTCTTGAGTCTTCAGGCTTATAATAATCAACGAGTTGTTAATTCGTTAACTATATACATGTACCGGACCTTCTATTTCAAGCCATGCATGTGTATGGTTTCACTAGGGTATGGTCTACTCCCTAGGAACGAAGATCAGTCCCCCAATTTGGCGTGGCTTTCCACCACCAAATGGGTCTGGGATCGAAAAGATAAATTTTAGGTCCTAATTACATGTAATTACAGTATATATACATGTATTCTTACATAGTTTTCAAAAGTCTGCAGCTCACTTATTCTTTAGGAAATACCACTTGTGTACTAGAGTATTGATCACACAGAGGCTTATGTCAACTCTGGCACGGTTACATGGCCCGGCCCTCGCACGAGGTTCACCATATCGGCGTCACGGCAACTCGAAGATCAACATACATAAAATTTTGACCCAATGACCAACTTCCCACAGCCTATGTTAAGCATTGTCTGATATGTCAATAGGGTTGTAAATACAAGTATCTGAGCAGCATCTGCTAGCTAGACGCTCCATTTTAGGACAACTAAGGTTGAAAATATATAATTTCCACGACGTCGATAAAGGTTGCTGAAAAATTTTGCAAGATAATCTCGCATTTTAAATCTCTATATACTCTTTAAAGACGGCTAATAATCGAAACCATCCTTCCGAGCCGGAGACGGTCCACATCTGAAGGGTGACCACTTACCCCGAACTTACATCTAGACAAGTAACACCACATGTCAGACCAATCACTAGATGTATGTACTTCAAAATGCCGCAAACTGAAACAGGATAAAGGAAAGTTTAAACACCAGGATATCAATTGAGTTTTGAGTCTATTTCTCTACAATTCCGGCTATTGGTGGTACTAAGATCGTGTGTGAACTACAAGGCACATCTAAGTGCAATTTCAAGTGTTACGTACATCGAGTAGTATGTACATGTACTTGTATGTATACAGATTTAACCCAATCCAAATAATATAACTCTGCTAGATCCCCAAGACTAGGGAATTAACTGGCTTAGTTGCACAGGTCTATTTACATCTACGAGCATATAATTCAAGAAGTACTGGATCATAATGAAATGCTACCAAGATACCCCATTTAGTGGCAAATGTTTGGCAGGCTACATTAATACATTTTACCTAAAGCCATTGCAGAATTCTATTAATAAGACGTAAATCATTTAAACACTTAACTATACCATTATAATAGTCTATAGATGACCAATTACAAATTTCAGAGACACGTTCGAGGATCTCGGCATGAAATTATCCAAAAGAAACCTCATGCTCAGAATAGTGATAGAAAGCTTAAGAATAACGTGTTTCACGATCACCGGGAAAGCAACCGAACCTCACAAAATGAGGTTGTGGGCACCAAAACACAATATGTGAAGGCAGGCACATATAAGAGGGTTCAGTGTGTCCTTTCCGAATCCTGGAGTTACTTTATAATGAATATAAACCAAAATTTGGTAAAGTCGATAAAGCTTACACTCCCTAACCCAGTCAACGACCTCTCTGAAACAATACTCTCGCTAGATAGAGGTAAATCATGTCAAAAATATTTGGGAGACATCTAAATAATACCTCTGGCTACTTAGTTCTGTAATTGTATATAAATTCGACTTTCTTCAGCAACTTTGGATCATCCCGTTGTCACCCTTGATTGCTTTCCCGGTGACGATCGCTTTCCCGGTGAAACACGTTATTTGGAAGTAATGTAAATGAATATTATGACAAGCTACCAGGACTTTCCGATTAGCAGTTAAGAAGGACTTGAAGGCAATGATGCGAGATTCCCATATACATTGTTGCTGTCAACTCGTACGTACTATTGATCCCACGCAAGTGCTAGTACTGCCCCAAATGCATACATTAAGATTTTATCTTAGATTAGGTACATATATGAATGGGTCATTTTGAAGATTCGGGGAGCAGTTTCCCTGCATTCTCTGGTTTATCAACTCTAGCTACCAAGAACGTCATGAGATGTAGTTAAAAACTACTACGCATGTCTGGGCAGGTTTCAGATGCGACAGAGAGATCTCCACAAACCCCTCCCCCCCCTTTTCTTTTTTTGTGATTACATGTAGTGATGATTGAATTGAGATTATCATCTCTGAGACATCATGTCGTATAGTGACTTTACACTAAACCCCTAGTACCACGCATGGTGTGCGAGTGATGAACCATAAAGAGTTCAAGAATCATACTATATAAAGGCCACCATTACCATCTTCCAATGTAAAAATACAACATCCTCAATTTTCTCAATAAAAGCTACCTAAAATGCCTTTTGTTATCGAAACTTTCTATCCGAAAGCCTCCTCTGATGAAGACAATGCGCAACACCAAGCTGTGGGTGCCATGGTTTCTCGGACCTCAGGCTGAGAACTTTGCCTGGTTCAAGCCATGTATCAACTCGGTCATCGACGAACAGAGACGCGCTAGAGCCTTATACTATCCTACCGATGGGTACGTCCCCCATTTTGTTCCACGGACGAAACAATATTAACTACTTTGGCCGTTTCCAGAAATTCACTACTTCTGCCGTGGGAGACTCACCGACATACTTAGTTCAAGTAGCAAGGCTCGAAAACTATGTCGATAAGCTTTCTGGGCTTCTCAATAAGCATTCGATTCCCTTCTGGTCAGCTCGCTACAGCGCTCATATGACATGCGACACTAGCATGCCAGCTATCCTAGGTTATTTAATGACAATGCTCTTTAATCCAAACAATATTGCTCTCGAGGCAAGCCCAAACACTACTTTACTCGAGATGATGGTCGGTGAAAAGCTATGTTCAATACTTAAATATAATTTCAACCCAAATAATACCAGTAACCCCAATAGCGCAGATAACCTCCCAACAGCATGGGGACATATCACCTGTGACGGTACTGTGGCTAATCTAGAGTCTATTTGGTGAGTCCATGTCTACCATTTCTCCCCCGTGCATTTACATGGACATCTAAGAAGGGCTATTGAACTGACACTAACAATACGAGATAACTTCATATAGGGTTAGTAAGATGAAACTTTACCTATAAGCCTAGTATATATAAATGATCACTAAACTATGTATTAATTCTTCCAGCTCGAAACATCAAATTCTATCCCCTTTCTCTCAAGAAAGCCATGAAGAAAGAACTTTCAATCATCAGCAAAACCTTCAAAGTTGAGACCTGCGAAGGTGGCGACCCAAAGTTATTCAGTCAACTTTCTACCTGGGAATTACTTAACCTTAAAGTCTCAATTATAGCTACTCCAGATACCCCTGATAGACTACAAAAGGAGCATGGTATCTCGTCGAAGTTTTTACAGGACTCGTTCGGAAAATATAGCATTCAAACAATTGGAAATGACGCCCTCGAAAAGGAGTTTGAAATTAATAAACCGGTACAATATATGGTATCTGCCACTAAGCATTATTCGTGGCCAAAGGCTGCTGGTGGGTTTAAATATCTGACCCTTACACCTTAGTTAACAAACCTGCTAACCCACATCTTCATCACATTAGCCATCACGGGTATTGGCTCTGAAAACGTCATCAATGTTCCCGTAGACAAAGGTGCGCGTCTTGACGCAGATAAACTAGATGCATTTTGAAAGAATGTCTCTAAAGAAAACAAGCTGTTTTTGCAGTGGTAGCAATCATTGGCACGACGGAGGAGGGTGCCGTTGATCCACTCGCTAAGGTTCTCAAGCTCCGCAAAAAATACCAACGCCTCGGCATGTCATTCATCGTTCATGCTGATGCTGCTTGGGGAGGCTACTTTGCATCTACTCTTCCGCCAAAACGGGCAAAGGGTCAGCCCGATAATTCTCCAGACGAGGGTGACTATGCAGCAATTCCTCTACGAAAAGAGACAACAAAACAGCTGCTTCATTTGCACCTCGCAAATTCAATAACTATCGATCCGCACAAGACCGGATATGTTCCATATCCAGCTGGTACATTATACTACCGTGACAACAGGATGAAATATTTAGTAACATGGACAACCTTCTACTGAGAGCATTGGTGTCTACGGTGTTGAGGGAAGGTTAGTTTATCCTTTTGTTTGATTGACTTCGTAAACTGACGTCTAGATGGAACAAACAGCAAGCCCGCCGCCGCCGCCGCCGCAGGTGCAACCTTTCTATCACATAAGGTAATCGGCTTGAACCAACATGGATATGGTGGGTTACTCGGCGAAACCGTTTTTACTTGTAGCAGGGTATGTATGCAAACTTCAAAGCTATCCACTTATAACAGCACTAACGTCATCTTTTTATTCACAGCTGTCCGCGCATTGGGCTCCGATGGAAAATAAGAAATTCATCGTCGTCCCTTTAAATACGCCCCCATCAGAGGAGACCGAAGGGCCGGTTAGAGCTGATGCTCTTGACAAAGAGAAGCAAGAAATCCGGGACCGTATCCTCAAAAGGACGAACTGGGAGGTATCTCAAGATACCTAGAGCAACGCAACTGCTTGGATCTCTGGAATCTGATTTAATCGTAAATACATTTGCGTGCAATTTCCGTCTTGAAGACGGGACTTTGAATGACAATGTGGAGGAAGCAAATAATCTCAACCGGCGTATCGTCAATAGGCTGTCAGTCACATCACCTGACAAACTACCTGCCGAAGTTTCCCTTTTCCTTACATCTACGGAGTTCTTACAGCACGAATATGGTGCCTGTGCGGACCACTTCAAGCAACGACTCGGTCTTAAGGGCGAAACAAACCTATTTGTTCTTAGAAACGTGACGATATTACCATTCCCGACAGAGAGGAACTTCATTGCGAAGCTAACTTCAATCTTTGAAAAAGTTGCCTCAGAGGAGGTCGATGTATGTCTATAGCCAGTCTTGAATACCCCCAAAAAACGATTTTGCCACTAACTTGGTCTCTTTTTAATTACATGTAGGCTTGCCGGTTCCGCGTTTCAAATTTCAATCGATGCTACAAACCACAGCTTCACCATGCAGGGCACCACAAAGCTGTACCTTGCTTATAAGCCCTTATTCTATGAGGCGGATAGCCGTACACAGCTTGTCCTTGAGGCCGAGGTTCCAGATGATGCAATGAGTGCATATGTGGAAGCAAGAGAATCCAATCCAAAGCTCCATTTGTTTTGAAGACTCCAGCAGTCAAACTTCCAGATATTTTTGCAGCGGGGACCTTCAAAGCGGATATCAACTTTAGTGGTGGGTATGTATTCTAAATAGGGAATTGCCTTTAATCCTCTAGAAATGTTACGGACTTTCTCCGACCCAGAACGAATCTTCTCAAGAATGTCCAAGCCACCAAAGCCCGCATTTTGAAGCGGCGTGATCTCCGCGCCAGGTTCCGCGACTCCAGTTACCCCCAGAACTACATGCCATTTTACGTTTATGGTACACCCGAGGAAACCCATATCGACCATATGCTCCTCTGTGCGCCCAATATCCAACTCTCGGCTGATAAGGTCACCTTTGATCCCCCGCTCCCTGGTTTGAAGGAAGAACTTGAAAAAGGCGCGATCTTATATGTGAATGAAGTATCTGAGGTCTCCATGCAACCATTTGTTATGCTTCCGAGTGCTACTGGGTTGAGTGAGTCCAACTTCTTCTTCCGCCAGGGGGCAAGCTTCAATGTGACTATCTACAAAGACACGCATGAGGCCGAATCTATGGGTCCGGGACTATCAGCAGTCAATACCGATTTAGAGTTAATTTCGGCAAAAATGACCCTCACTAACAATGTCTATGTCGACAAGGATTGGGTTAACTCTGACCCTCTTGCAATCAAAGAGGTGAATGAGGGCCTCGAGGCGTGGAAGGCCAAGATTGATAAAGAGCTCCCGTGAGTACCAGGGACAGATTGCCGTTGCATGGTAGTCTGGCCTCACCAATCTTTGATTGCGAGTGATCAAGCATGATTGGTGCATTTCAAGTTGTTTTTATTTATGTATTTTTTCCTTTTAGCTAAAACGAACACAAACGATCTCATACCCAGATACTTTAATACGGTAATTATATTCCAGAGTCGTAGTTAGAGTCAGTATGGGGGTGATAGTGATGGGGCCCGGCCGGGTGGTATGGTCTAGATCTATAGGGCAGCTCCTTGAGGCCTGGGACTCGTAGAGCGATGTATACATGAGCTCACGATAATAAAATGTAGTGCAATGGCCTGTGGCACAGCGTACTTTCCTAGCTAGAAAGTGTGCTGATCGCAAAGGTAACCCGAATTAAGTGGAGGCGCTTCCACAACAGATAACAGAGAGAAGTCAACCCAGTGAACGGCCTAAACTCGTGAATAACCTAAAATCCTAAAATAAAAGGCATAGTCCAGTTTGACACAGAGTGATAAGGCATACTCTTAATGAGCCAGAATTGAGCTCGCGCGCTCGCGAGTCGAGCCTAAATCTCGAGCTGACTTGGCCCACGGATCGACAACACTGTCTGAACATTGTCATTGACAGCGAGACCAATTGATTATCTGTTTAGTGTTTTGATCTGAACACAGTGAATAAGGTTCTTAGCCTTTACATTCATCACGCTGTCGTAGGTTGAGACAGTGATCATCCGATCTCTGCAGCTAAGACACTACATAGACCATGCCTTACCATGGCCATTTTATACTGCATTAACTAATTAGATGGAGATTTTCGATCGGGTAGGTTGGATGGAGATCAGAAGCTATGTAATCACAGAACATACCAAGCATTATGCTAAATTTGATGATTTCCAGCTGAAGTCTAAAAGCACGTGCATCATCCCTTGTACTCTATTCGATGCGTATCTTAAAAGGCCTACGATCCTTGTCTTTCCATGATTTGATCCACTCCAGAGCACTACCAATACCACGTTTTACCCAGGCTGATTGAGATTCAATCATGAACGATCACTCATACACGATACTAAAGTAGTCAAGCCGAGGCACCGCATTGTACCGCATTGCGTTACGATCGCAACTGAGGGTAGAGATCTCAAGATACACGTATCTGTAAGGACAGCTACAGAGTTTCATAGTAAATGTAGGTACTTGGGTACAAATAGGTGAGCTACGATGCGCCCGTAAAAAGAAAACACTTCAGTCTTCTGGGGTGCAAAAGAAAGTATGTAGCCACTATCCCCCGTTAAGCTGCATACAAAGTGAAACCTCCGATGCCCACGGCCCGTGACCGATGGCCATGCAAGTGAGCTTTCGCGACTGTACGTACGACATGTACTCGTTTACCACGAAAAGAACCAGAAAATGCAAGTGACGGAAACAGGGATAATTTGTATGAGAGATCACCGCCACTCCATACAAATAATCCTTGCCCTGAGCAACTGCATTTTCTGGTTCTTTTCGTGGTAAACAAGTAGAGCGACTATGAACGTACATGGATAGGCACATACATCACTCAAATCACATGAGCCTCCATTTTGTTTTTCTGCAATTTATCGCATCTACGGCATCGACAAGTCGGTAGAGTTTTCTTGCTGCCACATTTTTTCGGTCCTAAATCGATTTCCCCTCCAGAATCTGACACCCCCGGATTTGCAGTTTCGTTTTGGGGAGTGAACGATATTATTTCCCCGCAAAATCGCACTTGGGACCAGCCGGCACCTGAGAAGCATCGCGCCAGCGCCAGGGGCATGAGATAGCTGAATTTCCCAACTTGGAGTCTGTATACGAGACTAGGATCGCTGTGAGGTTTTACCGTAGTGATGATGCCTGGTACACTTACCACCTGCCGGAGGCCTTCGAGGTTCATATGTATTTTTAAAAAGCTAGAGCCCTCGATGTGAACGTTTACTCTGGACACCCAAGACAAGTTCATAAATCCCGCATTCCGGAGTTGGCCACATTACAGGTATGATTTACCCAACAATCGAGCTGAAATTGATGAATTGGATTTCTTTGCATAGCTGGCTGGTGACCTTAATCCGTGGCCCGCGGAGCCGGCACCGAACGTCTTCCAATTGCGCTGGCACGCCTTTGATGATTGGCTCGCTGGAGTAGCTGCATCCTGTGAAAGTTAGTACGTTAGCAAAAGACTATTCCTCGTGTTCGTGTCCACATATAACCTTTTCAAACCATTTTATTTTGCATCAAAGCGGCTATAGATTTCTTGAACTACCGGAGTATTACGCGAGTTAGAATTTCAAACCATTGCAGGCCAGGGATAATGTCGATGATCGGGGGTGGAGTCGAGGGCCAATGAAATAACAAAAACTTAAAGAGTGTCGGTAGCGGATAACCGCATAAGCAGTTTATACAGGAAAGGGGCATCTTGTCTACATACTTGCTTGATCATTGAATACCGCAGTATTTGTGTAATCTTGTGTAATTATAAGTGGTCGGCTTTAGTCCCCGTTGGACTTGGTATAATTACTGGTATCACAACCAGTCACAATATTCATTTGTAGAGGGAGTGTGGTTGATTACTAGCTCAACTCCGTCCGAAGAAAATCTCATGAATCCCCGAGGAGCATTAGAGAACTTATAACACATGCTCTGGGGATGTTATAATCAGTGTGGTCGAGGTTTGCCGGCAGTGGTTGATAGACCCTAACCCTGGCGCCATCAGTACAAAGCAATATTCCTAAGAGTAGCAACTCTCCGCCGGGATGTTCCGGTAAGATAAAGTTTTCTTGGCAACGATCTGGCTGCATCATGTCAAGAGCCGCTCCTCTGCCGTTGGTGTGCTCTAGGCTTTATCACATCATGTGTAAATTCCCCAGGGTTCTTTCGGGTATCTTAGCTCTCGGAGCTTTGGTAGCTACGATTACCCTTATCTTCTCAAGTCTCCCAATAATTCTCGGGCAATTGTGTTATCCACTCGGCACATCAGGATCAGTTGTTCATCACAGTCCCCATACCCACCGGCAAACTCGCCCAGTTTACCCGCTACGTTCAACAAGCGGGCTAGACATTGTGCTTTCACCATCCGGATAAACCTCAAGCCAGGCCTCCACATGTAGGTACTACGACTACATATCTGTATCCAATGATATGAAACTTAAATGTGATATAACTAAACAGAATAATAATAGGCTCTGCACTGTAAACTTCCGGCCGATTATCCTTAACCCCTGGTTCAAGGATCTAGGAGATCTACTGATCAACGTCTACCAGGTAGACATTACGGAGAAACTGCAAAGAATGTTTCATGTTTCTGGTTCACCTTCTATGGCTAAATACAGTACTGTAGTCGGATACCGCCTAGTTAAAGTATGGGAAAGATTTCTGGTGGACAGATAGTTCCCCACTACTGAGCCGAACGATAAATGGGGAAGCGGCGGGTGCAGTAAACCGAGATTAATATAAATGGTATTTTCACCCCAAATTCAATTTGCAAATTCTGAAGGGTCCAACAGGATCCCTTGGTTCGGCAGTATGTCCCGCTTAGCACAAGTCGACTTGCTTGGCTTTGAAGAACTTTTTTCTTCTTCGGAAATCTCACGATATACACATACGAGATGTTCAGAGCCCGGCCATTACATGTATGCAACTGATGTAGTTTCCCCAATGATGCTGCGAATATTTTTAATGTATAAGTCGGATTGTTTCAAACCACTCGATGTGGGACATCAAGACAGAAAATCTTGAATCGAAAGGAATTACTCAAGATGACGGAGATTAAGATGGCCATGATAGAAGTATTCCGATGTCAAACAAGCTAGGACTTGGCGCCATCTTTTCTTTTGATAAGGATGTTTTGTTTTTATCCATAATCCTATCAAACCCTTGATTGATTGGTTTTGGGATCCCACGTTAGGTATTGTGTGTAGGAGGTTGAGTTGTACATATTGAAATGTGGCCGTGCTAGATCGAGTGCTCACTATCTTGCTGTATCTTGGAACGGTACAGGCACTGGGGTTGCTTAGTTTGGGTAGGTACTCGAGGACGTGTTAGTGTAACTTAGCTAGTTAGCTGGTCTTATGAGGGCCAATAGCGATGTAAGTAGGGGGGAGCTGGGGAGGGAGTGGATTTTTCCCCTTCTTCTCGATCCTGGTTGAGCGCAGTTGGCATCATCTGCGTTGCTTTGTCCGCTTCAACACACACCTTGCACACACTACTGGATAAGAAGAGTACATACATGTATGTTCCTACTTGGTAGACACTGCGTCTCTTTCTGCTCTACCCCGAGATCACATCACAAGGTCCCTCCTGTTCCTGCCTACACCTGCTCATAGTCGCCCCCAGCCGCTCTTCCAGTCTTCACGGCTAGCCAGGACCCCTTCCTTCAAAGACCTCCTCTTCCCCCTTCATCACCCCCCCCTTCCTCTTTCCTCTTTCTTCTCCTTCTCTTCTTTCGTACTCCTGTTTTTGGTGCTGCTTCACCAGCTCCGGTTATCTCATCAAGCGATAACGTCATCACCCCCATACTTCTCCCATCGGACACCTGGCTTCCAGCAGGCTTCAATGACTCCCCATGCCAGTCCCGTTCCATGACCCATTACCTTTGAAGGATTCCCGCCCTCCATTCCACCCTCCTGTCCGCTCAAAGACTCTGCCGATCTTTGGACCATCGACAAACAGTGAAGGTGGCGTTGAAGATCTAAGAGGGTTTAACGGAACACTCCCTACATCACCGTCTCCATCTACACCACAACCACAACCACACCAACATACCTCATCATTACATCCACCCGCATCTACAGTATCCTTTCAAACACTTTCGAACTCAGTTACTCCAAATATTCTGCCCAACAACGACAATGGTTCACGAGCCGGTGAACCCCTTGTTGACGATGATACCCCCCGACCACAATTCCGCCACTGGAGGCCTCATTCTACATCTTCGTTCCCTCCGGTACATAAATTTACACTTGCCGGTATCCTACATTCTAGCATTCCCAGCCACCACCCCAACGGGGTGGCTACACAAACGACTCAAATAACGATGAGCCAAAAGCAATACTTCCACCATATATAAGTCCCGCGGACAGTCCAGACCGTCCATCTACCCCTCTCCCTGGTGCCAGTGGCCTGAGGGCTGTTCTGAGAGCTAACTCAACCGTTGATAACACAATTAATTGGGATGAGAAACTCAGAACTTCGAGCCCTGAAAACTATTTGAAAGCCACATCTCCTATCAAGGAGGGCCAGGTCTCTATAGATTCCGAACTACATATCAGTTGTGAAGATGACGTCGCAAAAGGGCCCATCGAACGATCCTCCTCTATTTCTGCCGTCATGGCCACTGAAAGCAATTCTCGTAGTAGGAAAGCAACACAAAGACTTGGATTGTTCAGAGAAAACGAGCAGGCCATTGAAGAACGAGGGAGAGAAAAACAGCGTCGAGAGGAAAAGGAGCGAGAGAAGGAAAAGGAACGACAGGAGAAACAGCGAGCCAAGGAGGTCGAAAGAGAGGAAAGAAAGAAAGCGGCGGCAGTAGCCGAGGGAAATGAGCAAAATCCTTGTGTTGCTTTGGTTTCAGAAACTGAAGAAAATGAAAGCAAATTACCGCAAGATTCTCTCTCTAATTCTCTCTCAGTTACACATACGAAAGACGATAGATATTTTCCATCATCTTGTGATGAGCTCTCCGTTCTTAAAGCTGTCCCTGGTGATACGCCTTCTTCGGCATCTCATTTTGTGTCTCGCGCCCCAGAAGATGTTACCTCAGTGGCTTCCATCTATATCAATAGATCGGAACTTGAACCACCGCCCCAATCAAACCAAAGGATCATTCCCAATATTCATAACCCAACAAATCTCGCCGTTAGCGCTTCCGAATTCCCAACCTCAAACTTGGTTGAAGGTCAATTAGGCTGTCACGAGCTGTCGGTTGATGTTTCCAGAAAACAAACAGCAAATGATCGGGTTGACCAGGTGGAGGATGAAGATGAGGATGAAGAGTCCGATAAAGATGAGATATCCTCAGCACTTTACTTTCCACATCCGACGCCATCAGTTCTTCCAGACCCTACCACAGCCCAAAATAAATCAGCCTCGGCAATAGGCCTGCATAGTCAACCGATGCGGAAAGATCCGTCTACTACCGATGTTACACGAGATGACATCCTTCCACCTCCTGGTAAAACAGGGCCAGAATTTGATTTGTCTATTCAGTCTGGAGATGACGAGTTTCACTATCACGCAGAGCGACGAAATCGTGTAAATCCTGACGATGATTACAGTAGTTATCACTCTAATAATGAGGGTTATTCATCCGCAGCATCCGGGTTTTCGGAGCTTTCAGATAGTAATGATGATTCGTCGGGAAACGAAAATGGTCAAGATGGATCCGAAATAGACACAACTCCAACTGCTACTCCCATCGCCCGGAACCCGAAGCCGGATCGTTCCCACGGTCAGTCTGCGAATAAATCACATTCCAACGCGTTAGCCCAGACAACCCCCCAGGTACCGCTCGGTGCTGTGGAACTCAAACCTTACAATCATCAGGTCGGAGGTCATACTGCATTATTCAGGTTTTCTCGGAGGGCTGTTTGTAAGAGCCTGAGCAACAAAGAAAACGAGTTTTATGAGGCTGTGGAGAAGAGACATCCAGAGTTATTGGGATTTTTGCCAAAGTAAGCTACCATTTCTATCTAAAAAATTCAACTTGTCTCATTTTCATACGTACTGATTTATTGGGGAATCTAAGGTATATTGGGGTATTGAATGTCACCTTCCGGAAAGCACCTAAGAAGAAAAAGAAGAAGGAGATTGAGAATATCTCTGGAGAAGCGTCCACTGGGGCCGAGGCAGCCACCGTCCCCCCCGTTTCTAGTGACACTACTAAGACAAAAACTGCACCGGCGGATTCCGAGTTTTCTAAAGAACCCAACTTCGTGTCAGCATCAGAAAGCGGGCAAGGAAATCCCTTGTTTCCTTTACCACAAGTAGTTTTTGAGAATAACAGGCATATCATTCCTGAGAACTTGTTCAGACTTTCTACCAGTGCTTCCTCCCACTCTTCCAAATCATCTGTAAATAGCGAGAAAGATTCTGGTATTGGGAATGGAGTAGTGCATGGTAGCCTCGGCTCTGAGAATGGTAGGACGGAGATCAATGGGACACATACAGGAGAAGATACTAGTCCAAAAATCACTCCTAAAAGCCCTAGTTGGGGAGCCACCTCTGTAAATCGCAAATTACAGGAGCAAGTGTTAAGAGAGGTGTTTGGACCCCCGCCAGTACATCACCATCGTCCACATTCCCGGTCACGTTCCCGATCCCATCACACTAATCATCACCATCGACATCAGCATGATGAAAAATGTGCTGCAGGCGAATCTTCGAGCTGTAGCAGAGGCTTCAGAAGAAGCAGCACCGACCTTTCTCACTCTTACGGCAATACACCTGAAGATCGACGCATCAAATTTCTTCGCGATGATGGTGACAGAAAGTACTCTTCTAGCGCCAATGCTAAAGAAGTTTCGACAAGTGGGGCTACCGAGAATAGTGGCTTATTGGAGCGACCAGCAACTGCCTCCCCCGATATTTCTGCTTTTAGCGTTGATCGCGGACTGAAAACTAAGCTGGCTAGAAGGCAGTCAAGCGGAAGTATGCGCAGACGGACAAAGAAAAGGCCATCTTTGAGTCCTCATAACTTTGGCGCGGAGGATGATGGTTACGGAGGCGATCGGGAAGATGAGGTTTTCAAAATGGATGAGGACGATATCATTCCAGGGAAAAAATCATGGGCAGAGAAATGCATGTCACGAAGGTCTTCTCCAACTACTGAGGTCCAAGCTGCTTCAGCCCAAGAACTGCCAACAACCTCCCTTCCTCCCCCTGCAATCTCCCTAAGTCACACGCCAGATAGCCCGTCACCGCCATCGCTAACGTCGCCACCACCGCCACCACCTACGGAGCATCCGACAGAGCGACCGGCGGATCAGCCGGCAGATCAGCCGACAGAACGCGTTGAGCACTTTCTTCTCCTCGAAGATCTCACGGCAGGTATGAAACGGCCGTGTGTTCTTGATCTTAAGATGGGAACTCGTCAATATGGGATCGAAGCCAATGAAAAGAAGCGCCAATCTCAGGCCAATAAATGTGCACTCACTACCTCCCGAGACCTTGGAGTGAGGCTTTGCGGGATGCAAGTCTGGAATGCCAAAAGTAGTACTTACACCTTCGAAGATAAGTACTTTGGGCGAGATCTCAAGGCTGGACGTGAATTTCAAAGTGCGCTTACCCGATTTTTGCATGACGGGAAGGCTGAGCAATCTGTCCTGAGACATATCCCAACAATTTTGGAAAAGCTCCACGCTTTGGAGGTTATGATCAAACGCTTGCCTGGGTATAGATTTTATGCAAGTAGCTTACTCATGCTGTATGATGGGATGGATCATGATCGACAGATCGACCTGAAAATTGTGGATTTTGCAAACTGTGTGACAGCGGAAGATCCTTTATCACCTTTTGCGACTTGCCCACCAAAGGATCGTACCGGTATCGACAGAGGCTATCTCAGAGGGTTGAGGACTTTGCAGAGATATATCCAAAGTATTTGGAGGGATGCAAGAGGTGAAGAATGGGTTGAAAGAGGAGAGGAGGGGCATGGCGGAGGACACCAGCGAGACGAAATAAGCTCAGGTTGGGATATGATGGAAGATCTAGGGGAGGTATCTACATGAGTATGATTATGAGGGCGGGTTTCAATGAAGGTGTTGGAGGTTTTTTTCTTTTTCTCTCTTCTTTTTCTCTCTTCTTTTTCTCTCTTCTTTTTCTCTCTTCTTTTTCTCTCTTCTTTTTTCCCATTGATTTTCTTTTTCTTTTTCATTGGTGCATTGCGGGTTTCTTTTCAACTTGGCGAAGTTGAAAGATTGGAAAGAATCGGTGCTACGGATTGATTTTTTGTTTTATTGCATAACAGCCATTGTGGGGCCCTGCATCCACGTTTTGTGTTCTTTTTGAAATTTGTAGAGGGGAAGCTGGCGAGAGAGCACAGGGGCATTATTTATACATATCTGCTTATGTTCTTTGCTACCCTCATCCATGCATGTTTATGTATCATGGTTGTGATTTTTTCCCCCATCCGGTTTTGGTTTGGATGGTTTTGTTTGTACTTGCCTGGCTACTGCTTATTATAATCATCGAGTCTTTTTTGACATGTTTTGTGTTCTAGTATTTTGTGTGAGATTAAAAAAAAAAGCGTTTTTTGGTATCTTTGATGTCATCTGGGGTAGGGTTAGGTTTATCCTGGCTACGAGTGATGTGTAATGATCCATGTTCAGAACAATGCGCAGTTGTGTGGAGCGATACCTGTGTTACACTCGCGCCGCACATTGGAACTACCTACATATACTGATATTCCTCATAGACCTTTGGTGAGGTGCCACAGATGAGTATCATCATCATGTTCATGTCGTGATGTGTTTTTCTCAACCCCCCAGGGCCAGGAGGAGAAGTAACCTTTGGTCAGACTACATCAACAGATTGCCACTTTGTCAGGTATAAATAAATATCTAGGTTCGCCCCATGAGTTATTTAGAGTATATACATGTAGATATGTATGTCTTAGGTCAGCAGAGATAGGCAGATGGCCATTTCATACCCTACAGGCTTTAACCTACTAACGCACCAGGCGCTGTGTACAGTACAGTGGGATTTTGATTACCAGATCAAGGTCGCCACAAACATGTAGAGCACTATAAATGTAGCTCGCGGGTTGTACAAATACCACCTAGTATACCGGCCAGATGAGCTTTGAAATCAAGTATAACTACGGTACGACAGTACTACATGTAGTCATGGTGGATCTTGTGTACGTTTTTGAGTTTCCTGTTGCTCGCCCCGGCCCCTTAAGTTCAAACCAAGCTTTATCTCTTGTCAGGGCTCGTGCACCCGGCCCTAGCTGCGGTTACCCGAAGTGCCCAGATAAGGCTGGATCTCCGATACATATACGGCTGCGAGAACCCGCTCTTACATGTACTTGGGGTAGAGGTCTGTGGGGGCTTATCTCTGCGCTGGGGCTTTGTGGGGCTTTGGGGTTTTAGAGGTACTCTAGATGTTGAGTGTTGGGTGTTGGGGGTGCGGCGGCGTGCGCGTGAGACATACAGAAAGGTCACGGACTGTACTGATAAGAAAGATCAAGAGGACGTAGAGTAGATAATAATAACTAATCTTGTTCTCAACAACTCCCCCACCCCCCTAAAAGCTGCTTACTATAATTTTAAAATATATAGTGCTCTAGAGTGCATGTACATGATGCATGTCAGACGCAACCTAATTAACTCACGTCATGGAGGGGATCACTTGGCGGAAATAAGCTTTCGCTCGCTATATCCCGGTGCAATTTATTGTATAGGAGGAGTGGACAAGTGTCGTTTAAAGGTACTGGGATGTTACCCTGGAGTACAGTTATGTATATGCCTAGGTGGAGCCTCTCCGTTTCTAAACTTCGTATCATCCCGCCGCACGCCACTCCACTCCGCAGAGCTAGCATCGTTCTATATCACCAGTGACAGCAGATATATAGATGTTTATTACTGCAGCCCAAGGGGGCCAAACATACCCGCACCCAGCTTCGATCAAGTGATGTTTGCTGCTGTTTTTAATTATGGGAAGCATCTCACATATTCATACCGCCTATATGTACTCTATATAAGACGATTCATATATACTACTACCACGTACCAACCCGTATATGCGGCTGGGAAGACGAAACTATTGTTACCATTTTCGTGTGGCTTGTTGTTTGTTCGGTGATAGGTGATATATAGTTGAGACTGCGCGCGTTCCCGGGCCGATTTTTGGCACCAGTGCCGGTGCTTTTAGCTCGTCCGGACATCATGCGTACATGTGTATAGTCCACATCCTCAAAAGTTTAGCTTCCTTCAGTTCCTCTCGGGGTCTTGAGTGTTACTCGGCTTTTTAATATGGTTGGCATGATGATTGAGTATTGGGGAATGGATTTGTCAACCACCGGTCAATGATAGCTCCTGGCACATATAATTGTAATTTTGGTGTAGTTAGGGCTGGAATAAGTATTTATTTACTAACCCAGATCATCCGGTATTCTCTATTTGCAATTTGCAGATAATATACGGTTTGTAGATTGTGTTTTCTGACGTAGCTGCAATCGAACACTCAAAGCCCCCTCTCTATCTGGACGGGGTGCACAGGTGGTTTGTAGGTACATGTAGTAAATACTGACACCGGCGCATCCTCAGCATATATGTACTCTAAACCCACAATACCGCCGCCTTTTCGCTCTGTGAACGGTACGTACATTGCCGGTAACTACATGTATATTCTCCCAAGCCCGCCGTTTTTCTATGTACCGCATACATATATCTTAACAACCCGGCTATCTACATAGTATATAATTCTACTTCAGTTGCATACTTTATAGCTTATGACTAGTGCGCACATCCATCCCAATACCGGCCGGCCCGAATACCATATATAAGTGGCTGATCGCCCGTCAGCACGGATGCTGTCGGATACGGAGCGTTTCGCTAAAATCCGGCACCGGTATAGCAAAACAGTCCATGAGGGTAGTGGAAGTAGTAGCAATTGGGTTACTATATTTACGTTGTCCTCATATTCATAGAATCCGTAGTTGTAGCTTGTAGATAGGTAGGCAACCTGTAGATGTACAGTAGAGTACTGTAACCCATTTTAATATCTCGCCTTGGCGGCGACGACAACCCCGGTCAATGATCGTATCTCAAATCGATAAGCAACCCTGTCCTGTCCTGCCTGCAGCATGCAAGCCGACCTCCGGCCAGCAAGTACAGTCGCAAAGGAGGTACTATATGTGGGGAAGAGTGGGGGAATTCGAACGGAGAAGGGAAGGTGGTTAGTAACGCGCTTTACATATATAATATACCCAGCGGTGACTCACGGCCGCCTGGGTACTACTAGGGTACTTATATCTCTGAGCCCGCGCCCCGCGCAGCTCAGTACCAGTTTACCTACCTAAACGTTGGAGATTACAGTGAATTGCAGCCAGAAAAATGCCAGTCTACTACCAATCCCTCTCCCCAGAGCTGACCGCATGGCTCATGGAGCAGAGCGTCTTCTTCATCGCCAGCGCGCCCTTACTTGGCAAACACGTACCCCCTCCCCTCCCCCCACTCTCCACCTGCCCCATTGAACCTTCCCCCCCTCTCCCCCTCCTCCGACACACAGCTAACACCCTCACCCCTACAGATCAACCTCTCCCCAAAGGGCCTCCCCGCCTCCTCCTTCGCCGTGCTCGGCCCCAACAGGGTCGCCTACATCGACGCCCCCGGCTCCGGCAACGAGACCATCTCGCACGTGTACGAGAACGGCCGCGCCACAGTCATGTTTGCGTCGTTTGCGCGCAGCCCAAGGATTCTGAGACTGTTCTGTAGGGGGAGGGTGGTGGAGAAGGAGGAGGAGGAGTTTGGGAAGCTGTTGGAGGAGATGGGGATGCAGGTGGGGGAGGGGAAAGGTTTGGAGGCAGCGAGGGCGGTGGTGGTGATGGACGTGTGGAAGGTGAGTGTTTGTCTGGGTGTGTGGGGTGTGCGGGGTGTGCGGGCGGGTGGCCGAGCGGAGAGGCGGAGAGGTGGCCGGATGAGATGGGTTAATGCGGAGGGCGGAGAATGGAGAGGATGCTAACGCACCCATCACCAACAGGTCCAAACCAGCTGCGGCTTCGGAGTGCCCATCGCCAGCACCACCGCCTCGCCCGACGGCGAAGTCAAGGCCGTCTTCACCGAGCGCGACACACTGGCAAACTGGGGGCGGAAGATGGTGTCGCAGGGCAAGATGGACGACTATGAGGTAGAGTGGAACTCTGACTCGCTGGACGGGCTGCCGGGATTGCGGTCAGCGAGGCGGCACGGCGGGGAGCGCTGGCTGTGGGTCGGGGATGCGAAGGCACGGGTGAAGAGGGTATTTGGGGAGTGGGATGCGCTGCTGGTGGGCGTGGCGGTGGGCGCGGTGGTGGGCGCGGTGGGGATGAGGGCGGTGGCGGTGGCGGCGGCGGGGAGGTAGTGGGTGGTGAGGAGGGAGAGAAGGAGGTGGAGGGGTGTAGGACACGAAGGTGTGGAGGGGATGGGGTAAGTGTAAAGTACATGTAGGAGGTAGGGCTGCGGGTGGGTAAAGTACATGTATGTATGTAGATCATGGATATACCAAGACACAGAAGAGGCCCGGTCATGAAAGACACGGGGAGAGTCGGGGTTAGCAATTGCAAATAAGCCCTCATCTCAGATATCCCCAATACCTCAGTTCTCAGTCCATGTGTTGCTATATTCACCAATTATCACCCGACGCCCATTCGCCTCGGCCACCACTGACCCGAAAACCCGACACACGCTACCAGCAACACCCAAGGAGACCACAGCTACACAGACAAGAGATAGCCCGAGAAGGCGAGCGGACTTAGACCAGACTCTGCTTAACTACGGTGTTTCTAGTGAAGAGTTTTCTCCGGCCTAAGTGTCGGCAGGGCGGCGGCTGGCTGAGTTCTTGAAAGACCCTTGTAAGTAATTGTTGATGTGAGAGCTGTAGGTACCGGTACCGGCACATGGGGGTGGGGGAGAAAAACGTGGGAAACGCAGATTCCGGGGAAGAACAGATCGTACATGCCGCTAGCTAGGAAACTTTATTTAGGCTTGTTGGGGGTATCTTGACGACATGCAGTGAATTGTGAGGGCGGTCGTGAACGACAATTGCAATATATATGTATTGCTTCGGTGCAGCTGACAGACCAAGAGATATATATATTTTGTGAAAACCGCAATCGTAGCTTTTGTTAGCCTGACTCTATAGACACTTGGCACAAGGCGGTCTACATACGTACCGGTATTGGTTGTGGCAAGTCAATTGCGCTTTATTATGTAGTTTGGACGCTGTTAAACTATCTGTACCTTTGTATTGGAGGTAATTTGTCCTCTAAACCGTAACTATAAAGAGAGGTCTTCCGCTCTCTCTCCTTGTTTCTACTCATCAATTCAAAGAATACATTCCCTGCGTTCTCGTTTCTTTACTTTGCCCCACAAAGATATATCATCTCTGGAAATAGAAACAGCATCATAGCACTGGCCGATGATTTTATTATATATAGCAGAGGTCAGTTTTTCGCTTTGATCCCAAACCGCATTTTTCATTTGCCAAACCACACCCTCGGCGATACGGCTCATCCATCCAGCGAGATAAGCGAAGTTCCAAAAAAGAAAAGCCCGATATCAAAAAGCTTAATTACGCCCCGAAGCCTCTTCGTGACACAAAAAAAATATGCCAATCCAGGTTTTGGTTTGAGCAATCTGACGTCCGTCGCTCTTCATTGGTCGAGTAACTTTACTAATTGGCAATTGGCCCGTAGTTGATATACCCCACAGTTTTTGAAAAACAAAACAATTTTAGTTGTTTTTGAAAGACATCTAGACGGCCCTGGCTACGGAATTCGGAAACTTAAGACCCGGGCCCCGCATAAACTACTACTGAAGGGCTGAGCTGGGGAAAACGCGGGGAGCCGGAGAGCTAAGAAGAGGCGCTTAAGGGCGCCGAGCTCTAAACAACACTACATGTATCCAGGGCGACACATCTTCCCCGAGAACATAGCCTTTGGATATGCGGACAGGATGGAGGAAAGAAAATTCTTAAAGACACCGTAGGTAGGTAGGGCGCCGACAGCTTTATATCATCAAAGACCGTCCCCCCACGAAAGAACAGCCTCCTCCATGAGCCTTCAAAACTGTTGAAACTCCCCAAGCTCCTTACACTAGTCAGAACGAAGTTGGAGCAGCGACTATCAATCACCCCATCCTCTCCTCTGGTGAGAACGTGACTGTCACGGTGCACGTACAATGTCTGAGCGCACGGAGCAACTGCGATAGCGAGTACCCAGGGTCACAGGGGGGAGCTGGACAGATCGCGACATAAAACGTGGCCGGAGGGAAGTCCGGCCAATTGTCCAGACCTTGATGATATCAAAGCAGGTCGAGTACCGTGCTCTTGCTAGGTTTGCCCAGACACATGTACCTACATGAAAAGCAGGTCCGCCGTCATATATCTTTTGGTAGGATTGTGTCTTTTTCATTAACCGCGACGAAAAACAGCCATCAAATTGTTTGAAGAGTAATCTGTCGCGTCGTGCCGAGAGCTAGCTATAGGAGGAGCTCATCTAGAGTAATCGACCTAGTTTTATTCCCGAAAAATCGATTTGCTGGGATGTAGAGCAGAGACATCTCAATAACCCATACCTGTGGTTTATGTGTACAACCGGGAGGCGATTTTTTTGCAGGATACAGACAGATGCAGACAACCAACGTCTTACAAAGGACGGCGCAGCGGAGAAAGTACGGATAAAAGGAGCCCCCACCACGATAACCGCGGAAGGGCGTACGGATGAAAATATGCTCTTCTGAAACCTTTGCGGTCACAATTCCTTATGGCAGAGTATGTAGGTAAATTTGGTTGATATTTTAGTAGAGCTGTCAATGATTTCATACCACGTTTCTGGTGGTTGGTTCTATTGCGTTGTTACTGCTTGCTTGGCAGCTCGGAGATTATTAGTAGGCGGTTAGTGTACTCAGCAAGCCATGGCTTGGGAGCTTGGAAAATTCCCCGACAGCTTGCTCAGAAATCCATGAGAGCTCCTGCTAGCTAAGCTCTAAATTACAATGCTTGACTTGAGAAGGAAAGTGTTGAGTTTGGCCCAGCCGCTCTAGGAAATCCAATCATGTAAACACAGTCAACAACTCTGGGCGGCGGGAAACCCCGGTCGTCCGAGTTCAAAGGAGGTCATCGGGAATACGTGCTACGCCCATGCAGTATCTCCGTTAGAGCGCCGCCCAAAAATCGATGCAGTTCATGATGATTCCGGATCACCCCCTGATTTGTAATTTATCGCCCACCGCGTGGCCGTGGCCGGCCCAATCGAAGGTCAATGCGCATGCATGCCGTCAAAATGGATCATAGGGGTGAGGTTGAAAGCTGCTTGACACCAAAACTCTAAACTTGATGCAGCATCACGACCTTGGCTTGTAAGGAATGATATGAGAAAAGCAGGAGCAGGTAGTGATTTGCAACGATTGATGATCATATAATCACTTCCAATCCCCCAACACCCCAATTCCACGATGAGCATTTACCTTCATCAGAAGGTTGGGAGGGAAAAAAACGAAAGCTCAAACATGGACTCGCGTAACGGCAATTTCCGTTATCGGTTAGTGGGGGGTGAGGGGGGAGGGGAGGGGCGGTTGTGCGGGGCAATCATCGGATACACTAAGCTTTAAGTGGAGTAGCCGTGTGGGACCCTGGTCACCCTTCATCTCTGAGGTTGAAACAAAAACATAGCTGCTGTCGTCATGCCCTCCACCCCGCCATTCGGTGCAAAGGGTCGCGAATAGAGGAGATCGAGAGGGACCCTGAGTATAACAGAACACACTGGTAGTAATAGAACTTTAACCACAAGGGTAACTGCGATGCGTCGCATTCTGATGGAGTTCCTGAAACAATGGATGCTTCGTAGATGGCCACATAGGTGCTTGTTCTAACTCGATGGCTCCAGCGGGGGCCGGGGGGGGAGGGTGTCGAGATGCTTCAAGCTATGCTATGAGCTAGCTTATTCGATCTGTAGAGCAGACCGCCGGCGGCGGTGTGCAGCATGTGCAACCCATATCACATTGCCCGGGGTGTGTTCCGTTCCTTAAATCCTTAACCCCACAGTTGGTACAACGAAAGCCCAAATCATCAGTAATTTCACTCCCTCCCTCGGCTACCCTAGGCCTCATCCCCACCTCTTCTTCCCCAAGAACTCATATATAGCCTTGAGATCCCCCCTCCTTCTTCTGCTTCCTATTCTTCTGTCTCCCCAGAATACCACAGAGTATCTTCTTCATCACCGCAATCTCTATCATACCCACCACTACTACAACCTTCAATCATGAGCCTTACACAGACCATCGAGTTGCCTAATGGCGTCAAATACGAGCAGCCTCTTGGACTGTAAGCTTCTTCTTCTTTCTCTATCTATGGTTGATGATTGATGCATGATGGAATTGGGGACTAAGTGTTTTATCATAGGTTCATCAACAACGAGTGGGTCAACAGTGTTGACGGTGGTTCCTTCGAGGTCATCAACCCTACCACTGAGAAGGTCATCACCTCCGTACAAGAGGCCTCCGAGAAGGTAACCACAATCCCCCACCCCTCACTGCCATCAACAACATCATTGCTAACAATACGGTTTGAACAGGATGTCGACATTGCCGTCAAGGCAGCCCGTGCTGCCTTCGAGGGCGAGTGGTCCCAGGTCACCCCCCAGGACCGTGGAAGGTACCTGAACAACCTTGCGGACCTCTTCGAGAAGAACAGGCTCCTCCTTGCCTCCGTCGAGGCCCTCGACAACGGAAAGGCCGTTTCTGAGGCCCAGGGTGACGTCCAGGCCGCTGCCAACGTCTTCAGGTACTACGGTGGGTGGGCCGACAAGGTCCACGGAAAGGTTATTGACACCGCTCCCGGAAAGTTCAACTACACCAAGCAGGAGCCCGTCGGTGTTTGCGGACAGATCATCCCGTATGTCCCTTCTTTGCTGTGTGGAGAGAATAATTGCTGACAAGTCTACAGATGGAACTTCCCCATTCTCATGTGGTCATGGAAGATTGGTCCCGCCATTGCCACCGGTAACGTCGTCATCATCAAGTCCGCCGAGCAGACCCCTCTCTCCGCCCTCGTGGCCGCAACCCTCATCAAGGAAGCCGGCTTCCCCCCGGTGTCATCAACGTCATCTCCGGTCTCGGCCGCGTCGCTGGTGCGGCCATCTCCGCGCACATGGACATCGACAAGGTCGCCTTCACTGGCTCCACCCCGTCGGACGCATGATCATGAAGGCTGCCGCCAACTCCAACCTCAAGAAGGTGACGCTCGAGCTCGGTGGAAAGTCGCCCAACATTGTGTTTGACGACGCAAACGTCGATGACGCAATCAGCTGGGTCAACTTCGGAATCTTCTTCAACCACGGCCAGGTGTGCTGCGCTGGATCCCGCATCTACGTCCAGGAGGGCATCTACGACAAGTTTGTCGAGGCCTTCAAGGCTCGCATCACAAAGAACGTTGTCGGCGACCCCTTCCATCCCGAGACCTTCCAGGGACCCCAGGTCTCGCAGCTCCAGTTCGACCGTGTCATGTCGTACATTGAGCACGGGAAGCAGGAGGGTGCCAAGATCGAGTGCGGTGGCGGCCGCCATGGTACCAGTGGTTACTTCATCCAGCCAACCATCTTCTCGAATGTTACGGAGGACATGAAGATCATGCAGGAGGAGATCTTTGGCCCTGTCGCCTCCATTGCCAAGTTTAAGACCCTGGACGACGCTATTAGGATCGGGAACAACACTACCTTCGGTCTGGCTTCGGCTGTTCACACTACTAGCTTGGCCACTGCCATCGACGTCTCGAACCGCCTCAAGGCCGGAACTGTGTGGATCAACACCTACAACGCCCTCCACCACCAGCTGCCGTTCGGTGGTTACAAGGAGTCCGGTATTGGCCGTGAGCTGGGTAAGGCGGCGTTGGCGAACTACACGCAAACTAAGACAGTCTGCATCAACTTGGCTGGCGGCAAGGACTAAGCGTGTGGTAGCGTAACGAAACTTTGAAGCAAAATGGGGTCCCTTTTTGTTGTTACTGGGTGGGCGCGGGGTTTTTCTATTTTCTTGTCTTTTTCTTTTTTTTATGGATTTGTGGCTTTTGTTTCTTTTTCTTTTTATGGATGTGTATAGCCTTGTTTACGGTGTATGATGATTTCCCGTGGAATGAATGTGAATGGCGTCGTTGAGACGGGTTCAAGAGATTTGAATTGTGCAATTGCAAGTGATGTGATGTGATGTATGTCCTTTGTGAAGTATGTCCAGGGTTGTGAAAATGGGTTCTGTCATGAAGTCCTTGTGAGGATTTTAGTTGACTATTTGCCCAAGCGGTATCAATGATCAATTGTACACGAATTTATAAAACCGATGCCATCACCAATACTAGTACCATCCCCCAATTGAAGCGATGATGCAGTCCTATTCTATCTATAATCTATCCAACCATCCTCTCCCCGCACCCCTCCTCCCCCTCTAAATACCCACATCCGGCCTCGCCGCCATCACCACATCATCCCCCAACACACACCACGCCACATCCTTAAACCTCGCCGCCGCGACCCTCCTCCCCTCCGCCCCCGTCCTCCCCACCGGCGACACATTAACCCCACCCCTCCCCAAATACACCGGCGCCACCGTGACCACAACACTATCCACCAACTTCTGGTTCCTCGCCTCCAGCAGCGCATTCACCACCTCCCCGCCGCCCTCGATCATCACGCTCTCAACCCCACACTCCCTTCTCACATACCGCAGCAGCACATCCCACTCCCATCGCTCTGCACCCGCCGGCGGGACCGGCAGGCGGAACACCCTCCCGCCAACACCCTCGATGACAGCCGTCTTATCAGCGTGCTCCGGCGCGTCCGCGCGCACAAGTACATACGGCGGCTTCCCGGCGCCGGAAGCGGCGGTGCGGATGACGCGGGTGGTGGCAGTGGGGCACCAGCGGAAGTGCGGGTCGAGGATGATTGGTGTTGGTTGTGCGGAGAGCGGGGTGGAGGGGATGCGGCTGTTGAGGCCCGGGTCGTCGGAGAGGGCGGTGGTGACGCCGATGAGCAGGGCGGCGTGGTGCGTGCGCAGGTGGTGGGTGAGGGATTTGGAGAGCGGGCCGGAGAGGTGTGTTTGTGTGCCCGGGTGCAGGGAGAGGTGCGAGTCGAGGGAGGTGGCGTAGGTGAGGGTTGTGAAGGGGTAGTGGCCGCCGGTGGGGTGTGGGAGGTAGGGGGTGAGGAAGGTTGTGGTGGAGGGGGGGAGGGGGGTGGGGGCGCTCATTGTGGGTGTGTTTGTGGTGGGGTGGTTGGATGGTTGGTTGGTGGAGGTGGGGATTGGTGGTGGTGGTGGTGGTGGTGGTGGTGGTGGTGGTGGGCGTAGATATCATTTCCGGGGTTGTGAACATTGGCAGCCCTCTCCCCCACTTTACGGTTTCTCCATCATTGACACCTGGCCGCGTATGCAGTAGATCCACAGCTCTGTACATGTATCTACTCGCCTAAACGCGCGGTCTATACATATAGGGAATATCTTCTCCCAAGGTAATTCATCTAATCATTCACGTAATCGCTTTTGAACCTGGGAAGCATCTCGTATTCGTACGTTCATCATAGTTTCAGGCCTAGTCACTTCACCACCCATGTTAGCCCACCCATGACATGCACGCTGAATAAGCGTACCCCCCTCCCCCGGCCACAAGCCACACACATCACCGCCAACCCAAACCCAAACCCAAACCCAACCCAACCCAAGCAGCCAACCAAACAACCGCCCGGGCAGCCCTCCGTCAACCCGTCAACCCTTCAACCCAAACCTAACACCTTACCTCTCTCTCTACCTTCACCTCCTCACCACAACCACACCGCACCGCGCGTCCATATTTTTCTCTTTCCATCACCACCATCCATCGACCGCAACCATTCCGCACCTCCAGACGCCCACGACCCTCGCAATGGACAACATGTCGAACATCTTCCGCCTCGTCAACCTGGGCGTCGGCGGCGTCATGGTCTTTGGCGGCATCTCGCAGTTCTTCCCGCTCGGCCTGCAGAGCATCATTATTGGGTGCTATGTCATCTTGTTTGGGCTCGGTATATCATCATCTCTCTGCTGTGTTCTGTGCTCTGTGCTTGTGATGTGAGGTGTGAGGTGTGAGGTGTGTAGTGCGGTTGGCTAACCTGTGTGGTGGTGGTGGAATAGCGACCATGCTCCTCGAGTTCCAGACCCCGCCGCAGCTATCGCGATATGCGAGCTTCCTTTTCTCGTTCCTGGGAAGGGGTATCTGTATGTCTTCTCCTTCCCCCTCCCCTCCTCCTCCTATCTCTCCTCCTCCTCCTCCTCCTCCTCCTCCTTATTTCTAACATGTGGTGTGCCCCTAGTCTACATCTTCGTCGGGAGCATCCTCCTCCACGACCACATCCTCCGGGAGATTGCGGGCTCCATCGTCGGGCTTGTCGGGGTTGCTTATGGTTTGCCTTCCTTCCCCATCCCCCCCCCCCCCCCCCCCCTGAGTGAGTGAGTGAGTGGCCGGGTGCTAACGAGTGCTTGTAGTCGCGCTCGAATACGTGCCCTCCATTGAGCCACCAGAGAACATGCGTGATTCCCAGTGGGACGGCGAGCAGGTTTAGAGCTTTGCCGTGCCGTGCCGGTTAGTGTAATGTAATAGTGTGGGGTTGTGGTTGTGGTTGTGGTTGTTTGTGGCGGGGCGTGGGGTAGTGAGAACGGGGGCGGGGTTAAAAAGTGGATTGGTGTGAAATGGGAATGGTGGTGCTTTTTCCTTCTTCTTCTTCTTCTTCTTATATTATACGGACTGTTGAATTGGATGGGAGGGGAGGGGAGGGGATGGGAGGGATAGCTAGATTGAGTATATGTAAAGAGGCGGGAAATCAATGACCGGGTATGCGGGTGCGTTTTGTTTGCTACTGTGCGGGACTGTATCGTAGGGAGCGGGGCGTGTTGCGGCTAGCTTGTTTATTGTTGCTGTTGGGCCTCGTGTGCCCCTCTCGCTACTGATATGGTGTTGTGAGTGTGCGGTTCCTGGTAGAAACATGTTTTTCGAGTGACAAGCCGTGATCTATGGCTGCATGCTAGGCGTGCGAGTGATTGGATGTGATGTGGTGTTGTTATGAGTTGCCTGTGGCATGCATGGTTCGTAGAGTACATACGTAGCAGTAGCGGAAAGGTTTCTTTATACTTATATCTGAGATTATTGACGCTGTAGTTGTTATTTCTGTTTAGGTAAGTTATACTAGGTAGTGGGTTTTGTTTCATATAGTTGGACACGTTTATATCTGGCTATGAATCATTTGTTTGTTTTTTACTATTATTTTTTATAAACATATTACAAAGGTGCAAAGAAAGTCCTAAAAAATACCACAGGGAGAACAGGCAGGCCCTGGGGGTAACTGCTCTACCCCCCCCCCCCCCCCAAAAAAAAAAAAAAAAAAAAAAAAGCATAAAGTAAAGCTCTCCGGTATAAGTCTTGCTTGAGTGCGACAAAAGGCACTATCACAATATGTACTCTCTTATAATATTGTAAAGCGATACCTTCAAACATTAAGTTTTTACCTCCCCTTATCGGTAGGATAATCAGAAGCGGGCTAGTTCCGTCCGGTACTCTTTTCGTTGCGAGATGCTGTTCTAGTGATTTCCATTTCGCTCCCCCCCCCCCCCCAACCCACAATAGACTATTAGTCTAATGGCACGTTCCTTGTAATAGGCATCAATTGGATGACGGCGATGCCCCCCGCTCTGTATCCAGTAGGTGAGGGCGGAGATGGGGAGGGCGGCATCCACACACGATGTGGTTAGGCCGCCCCCGGAAGAAGGGGGGGGGGGGGGATAAACTCCCCCGGAGCTCCAAGTCACAGGGAGGTGGTGATGACTCCATGGCGCAAAGGTGGCTTATTTGTGGTGGGTTTGAAGTAACTTCGGAGGTTGATTCTTGGTTGTATTGGTGATGAGCGGGGTTGGTTTTTTTCCCATACCACCGATCGAGATTAGATGCGGCCTGCAGCAGGAACAGTGAGTATGTCCTCTGAGAGCCCCCGCCCCATGCTCGAGATGCTTCTTTTTCGTCGGAATATTCCACCGCATATATAATCTCACGGTTCGTGATCAACTGAGATAATTAGTAACTAACGTATAATAGCTTCATATCCAACGAGCAAACTCACATCCTCAATATGGATTTAATATTGCTGGTGGATTCCGATGTATATTCCCTTCATGAAATGTGAATCCCGTAGATGAATCCCAGGGCACCTTCATCCTCAACGGTGCAGTGCCACAGCACCCAACAATATCCCGCGCCTAGCTGCGTTCCCCCTCATACCCCGTACATAACCACGGCAATTTGGCTATTAATAAGACCATTAGCTAACCAATCTATTAATTTCTATAGAAAGTGTACACTTACACCCTTATGCTGGGTTCCATTTATAATTTCCCTTCCAGATGTGTGCAACACCGACTTGTTGCTACCAGAGGTGTTGCAGACGGAGTGCGTACTATCTACATGAGGGATGTGAGTACAGAGTCCAAAACTTTGAATTTTTGCAAGATGGTTTGTACTCCTACTTTCTCGGGGGCATATCATGCCTGTATTTAGTGACGCCTTTGTCTTGAGCCAATCGTCTTGTTTGTTTACTTGGCCTGTGTACGAGTTAGTACAGACTGGCTTTTTCACTAATACCGTACAACTTTTAATACAGACTTCATATATATCTCACATTATTTGGAGTCTGAACCCCGGCTGTTGCTGTAGATACAACTATGTGCACTGTTTGCACAACCTCTCTAATGTCAATGCTCCTATTCAAGTTCCACTAATATCACTCGTCAACTACATGAACTACTCACAAGTCAACGAATTTGCTAAAAAGAGAACTTACAAAAGAGACATCGAATAGCGTTGACGCGCTAAGTTTGACTATTTCCCCCATATTGGTTGTCCGCTTCAGTCACTCCTCCATATGAGAATAGATGGTTGTGAGCAAGGAGAGGGAGAAGGAAGAGGGAGTTTATAGCACGGTTATTGCCATCCCTCTGGGTGCTCTATGATATTGTAACCAGAGAGGATAGAAGCCGTTGTACTCATTCCCAAGGTGTAATTGAATCTCTGCTTTGCACTTTGCAATTAATGCCCAGTCAGTCGATCACTCAGTGTACGCAAGACGGTGCGACGTTCTCCTGTAGACAAGCCAGGAGTGCATACAGGAGACGTAATATAATAGCTGTATGGCCTGGCCCGCTTTAAAGCTTAGTGTCGATGTAAATGCCACAAGATCGACCAACAGAGCCGATTTTGTTACTGTATCGTGTAGTAGGAGAATTAAGAATTTGGCTATATTGCAAAAGACGTCTAGTGCACGAATTTCAACAGCCTTTTGTATCCTAGGCTAGATATTCCCTTAGAAGCATTCACGATGAGTCTTGAGCTTTGTAATCTATCGAGGAGAATAGGTGGGAGAAGGAAATTCTAAACGAACGATGGAGGAACAAGGAATTTATAACTGCCCAAAGCAAGGATGACTGGAAGTTACATCGTGAGTCCGAAGAGAGATACGATTAGGAACGATTTCTCGACACCCTTCAAAGGTAGATCTGGAGGATGTTGATGCTTATTTCAGAGACATTTGCCATCCCCTTGGGTGTTCTAAAACATGGCGATGATCCACCTGGTCCTTAAGATAAGGGAGTGGATTGCCATTTTCCTGGGTGTTCTAGGATATGGATGTTCTGTATGTGTTTAAGAAAAGAAAGCGGATGACGAGTTGAAGGGGTGGGCCTACTTATACTCGAACCCGAATCTAGCTAGCGAATGTGGGGTACAGGGTACGAGAACAGGTACTGGGTGATGTATATATGAGAACATCAGCTAATGAGGATTCGATTCCCCATGCTAGCCTTCAAAACCATCACTGCACGTGATGCAGTACTTTGAATTCCATTGATACGTTACATGTACAGTGGAGTCTCGATAATAGCATATGGTCGGGAACGGATTTTCGTGTGCCACTATCGGGGATATGCTTGTATCGAGAACAACTTTGCCCGTACCGACTCGTTTGGGATTGCCCAACTATATGCTACTATCGAGGATATGCTATTATCGAGGTTGCTACTATCGGGACTCCACTGTATATAATTGATATTTATGGTTTGAGGTACTCCGCTTTCCCTAGTTTTAAAATTTAGACTTTCTGCTGCATATAGGTACATGTAGTTCACGGCTCTAGTATTATCAAAAGCGGGTTGTACTGTAATAAATAGCCATTGTACGAGGCTTAGTACAACGGGTGATTTCAGGTGTTATGAGTGATATCTGTTGTAGTTTCGCTTAGAACTGTGATGCAGGTAGGTGATTTGATGTATAAATGATGACATAGATCAAAGCACCTCATATCATTGTAGTTGGGTGAATGCATGTGCGTGGTGGGTATAACTACATTGTGAGTGCTTAGATGGGTGCTTCGAATTTCTGCAAACACTGTTTTGTTTCTATAACTCCTGGTGAGGACTGGCACTCATTGGTTGAGCTGTTGCTATGTGGAGTCCTACTATTGTTATGATAATCCATGTATATATGTACATCCTTTAGTAGGAATTTATCGGGATGACCCATAGTGCATGAATACAGTGTTAGATTGAAAAGATCCCGTATATTCAGGCCTTGAGACGGCGAAACTGATTCTATAAGTGAGATATGTATGCCATGACAATGATCTGAGTCGGCCGGCAACAAGTAGGGTTAAATCTAAGCTTCAAGGCAATTCTGCAGTACGACAACGTCCCATGTGTAACAAACACCACACACCACGATCCCGGCCGAGTGATGCCCGATGATGCCAGACATTTTCCTCTAAACTTGAGTACATATTTTTAGACCCCACTCTATATCACACTCATATCACATCAAATCTCTTAACCATTAATAGTCTATTTTATCGAACATTTCAAACAAGCGAGGAGCCAGTCTCCGTCTACGGCTCGCGTAATATATAGGTAGGACAGCCCTATCTCTCATCAATCCAGGTTACCCCCAGCAGAAATACTAGATATTTTGGCTATTATATTAACCCCCTGCCCTCCCAAACGCATACAGCCGAAAGTCCGGATTTGAGTGGAGTAGGTAGAGTGCAAGAAAAAAAGTGCACAGGTCGTCATGCGAAACAGTGAGATCTGAATCCAGTTGTTGGTACTTTAGGACGCTGCAATCAACCCTGTCTCGAGAAATCGATAGGACAGGACAGGTAGCGAGGCCGGGGTTAGATTAAAGGTTGAACACGTAGGTAGCGATGCGGCGGCGAATGAACGAAACGAAACGCAAAGAGCAGAGAGCAGATCGCAGAGACCCAACTTACCGTTGATTTTCCTCCACAACAGCTGAAAGAAGTTTCTGTGTCTACCAGAGATGTAACTCTTGACTCCTTCTCGAAAATCTCCATTCTCCATCTTTTGACATTTTGACATTCCCCCATCCCCACTAATTGATTGGCGTTACCACAGCAACCCCCCCAGCCAGGAACCGAAACCCCCGACCGCTGCTGCTGCTGCTCCTGCTGCTCTCTCTGCACAGGCCACACTACAAACACATCGATCGACTAGAGCGACAGGCATTGTGGGATCTTTCTACCCAGTCACTGTTCGACCAGTCAACTGCTGCAACTACTGTCTCTACCTAACCTGAACTGATTGAACCCGACGCTCGATCACCCTCGACTCTACCTACTCTATCTACACTACTCTACTCGACATACACATCACCATCAATCGAGTAACATAATTCCTAATCCGTGCAACTCACAAATAACTACACCAACGCGTTACAACACCACGTCCGTCCGACGACGCTTGAACAACTGCGAATGTGAATTTGAAAGAGTAATACGTACAATACAGACAGCCAGAAAGCTGCACCAGGCATACAGACACGAATAATACAAACACGTCCATACAGTACAACACTAATATACGAACCATAACGACAAGGAATATCATACACCAGTCAACCGGTGCACAAGTGCCCCTCCCCTCTCTTCATTCCTCCAACCCCAGCCAGCTAATCCTTCCACAGCACTACAACCCCCCACCCCCCCCCAATCCACCACACATCTACAATGTCGGACGCCTGGGCCGACTCACTCTCCGAAGATTGGATCTCTCAACCCCGCGACTCCCCGCCCCCACCCCCGTCAACCCGCATCCTGCACGAATCTAGCACTACCAATCGGCGCCCCACTTCGTCGGCCTCTTCGACTGGCACCGAGAACATCCGTTCCTCCTCCGCCAAAGACACTCCAGAATGGAAACGAATGGTAATGGAGGACTTCCGCGCCCCAGGCGGAAAAGATCTTTTCTCACCAATGCCGCTGGAGTGTATGTTCCGCCCGCCGACCATTGGTGGCAGCCCAGACCCCATTAAGAAGCGCCAGGAGGCAGAGCAGCGGTGGAGGGCCAGTACGTCCCCCGAGGGAGGAGTGTCTACATCGCCGGAAAGGAATATTGCGGTACCGCGCAATAAGAAAGTTTCGTGCGCCGTTGCATTGCTGACACCGGAGGGTACATCGGACCGCAAGAATGAGAATTGGAGTTCAATACGGGCCCTTGGTGATGCTACCACGGAGGAGGCAAAGAATAAGGAGGATATACTAGATATGGTGGACCGATTGCGGATGCTGAAGAATCCTGGTAACCGCTCCTTTGGTAGTTCGCCGGTGCCGGGCTCAGTTGGGGTCACGCTTGCCAGTGACTCGCAATATCTGCCTATGGGTTCTGACGACGAGGGCTCTGAAGCCGCAGATACGGTGCCTGAGCTAGGGTCAGCACCGCCAACGGTCCCGAGAAGGAGGAAAAGTTTGGATGCCAATGCCAGCGAGATAAGCTCAGTGTATCCAAGCTCACCACCTGTTGTGGGATTGGGATACCAGTACGATTCAGAGGCAGAGGATGATGACTACGATGCCTCCTACCTTGATGCCTCTGGCTCTGGTTCAGAGGACGATCCCCCCTTCGTATCACCCCTAAAGCAGTACCCACCCGCCGAGGAACTCGCAAGAAGGCTGCAGCTAGCGTCCCCTTTCCTTCCCTCTAGTCAGGACCCCCAGCCTCCTAACCTAGAAGAACCCAGCAAGCGGGCCGCCCCTGCCCTTCCGCCGCAGGGCGAACCCCTAGGTTACTCCATCCTCGACAACATTCGACGGCACAAAGACGCCCCGAAATCACCAGTCAAGCCAACACCACCGAGTAGAGACGATTCTGCGAGCCCAGACGAGCGCGAAGACCCCTTCTTCACACCACACGCCTTCCGCCATCAGCTACTGGATATTGACCTCAACGGCGATAACAAAACCCGCACTAGCGGCAGCCCATTGAAGCTCTTTGCGAGCTTCTACGATACATACACTAATAAGCGACTTACGCAGCGACTGGGAGAGTTAGAGACAAGCGCGAACGTCTCCGGTAGCGACGACGACGAGGAGGTGAAGGAGGAAGAGCAGGAGGAGAGTGTACGTGCCCAGGAGATTGACGAGGCCGTTAGCCCTACCACCACAGACATCTCATACTCTGGTGCTGGCGCATCGGCAGTCGTCAACCGCCTCGAGAAGCTAGTGCTGAAACAAGAGAAACGGCGAGCCAGGCCGGCAGAGCCGCAACGTCACGGTAGTGCCCCGGAGGTGCGAGGGCCCATTGAAGAAGGCCACCGAAAGCACCGTAGGTGGAGAAGCGACGAGAGCGGGACTGCTACTGCGGCATCGGACACATCTTCACGAACCCCCGTAAAAGAGCGGACACCGAAGAGGGTACGCAGGAATATTAACGGTGTGTATAACCAGCGAGGGCCATCGAGCGGAGTACCACCAGTACCAGGACCACTGGGTTCAGTTAAGACCGAGGAGGTCAGAGCGGTAGAGTGTGTCACGCCAACTGGGGGTGCGAAAAGGAAAGATCGAAAGGTACCCGTGCTCAAGAAAAACTACGAGTACGGCGACAATCTTCTCTCTCCTGGTGCGTGTAAAGGGCCACGAAAAGATCTGGTCGTCTTCTCAGGTAGCCACGGCGACGGCGCAGAAGGCGAGCCCTTTGAGATGCCGAGTCCCATGCAGCCAGAGACTGTCCGGAAAGGCAGTGTAACAACACAAGACTTCCTCGACCAGGCTGACGCAGTCATGAACCGAATTCGCGACCGCGGCCTTCATGGCGTCGCACTCGACTTCCAGAGCCCCGACCGCAGCCAATGCGACGACGGTTCCTTCTACGACGATTCCTCCGTCCGCCGCCACTCCCTCTCACCACTACGGAATGAAGTCGAGCACTCTCATGAGGGCTCCTTTAACCAAGAGGTCGGTACAACTAAAACTGCAGTATCAACTTCCTCACGCAAGAGCGCAGTAGAGGTAATCTCCCCGCGCGACGGTGTCATGTCGCATCACCTGGCTCTGAAAAATAACGGCATGCGCTTCGACGAGAAGAAGATGACGTGGGTGAAGCGTGACGACGACGGTAATGAAGTAGCGCGGGTTGAGGATAGTGATCCGTTCACAGGTATCTCAGACTTAAGCGTCGACTCTCAGGAGGAGGCGCGGGCGCTAGAACTGGCGAGAAGGAACTGGGAGGGTATGGCGAGCGATGGTGAGAAGAGTGGGCTGTGGCCGAGTAGTCGCATGATCGGTATTGACGAGGAAGATGAAGAAGACGGTATTGGTGATGAGACGTGGGATCGCCAGCAGTGGTTTGGCGATCAAGGAACAGGAGGAGAGGAGGGCGAGGGAGTTGTGGGAAGTACTGTGGGTAGCGGAAGCAGTGAGCGGAGCAGTCGCTCTACAAGGCCTGGGTCGGGTGCTGAGACTCGAACAACAAGTTATGGTAGCGACGAGAACAAGGAGAAACTTCTTGCTGTAGAAGAAGAGGAAGACGACGAAACAGAGGAGATCAAGCGAGTTTCCACTGCCTCCGCTGAACCACTGCGTAGGACACCACGTAATGTCTATGCAGAAGACTACGAGTCACCCACCGCCATGATAAGACAAGAACAGCACTCTTCGAGCCCTGGTGGACACCCAGTTCTATGGACAGACGAGGGAGACTCTACGACTGATGGTGGCGCAGAGGGCTATGGAGCCCTGCGAAAACCGCGCAGGAATGTGTCTCGTACATTCTCCGGCGTTGGATACCGTGGTGCTGCCAGAAGGAAATCTAGTGGAGCGAGGACCTTCATTGGGAGGCCGATATCGCGTATCACAGAGGAAGAGGAGGATGATGGGCACCACCATCAGCATCATGGCCACGGCCATGGAAATCCCATCCTCAATCCGGTGCTACAGCGTGAACTTAGCAGGATCAGCATGAGCAGTGCACTTACGCCGCTGCCCTCTCCTTTTATTAGTAAAATGAGTATCAATAATAGTATCCGCAAAGTCGGCGATATCTCCTTCCAGATGACCCCCCTGGCAGACCTAAGTTATCAATTCGAGACCACCGACGCCCTAATAAACCTCGAGCTCTCCTTTTTCGCCACTCGCAAAGGTAAAGCCGGCACCACCGACATCAAGTCTGTCGAAGCATCGTTTAGCACCGCGCGCGCCAATCTCCTCAAAAATCTGACCGATGTACAGCCATACGAGCCCTACTGGGACCACATGAAAGTCCTCGACCTTTCAAAACGGAAGGTGGAAACATTGTTCACACTGAACGAGTGGTGTCCACGACTGGAGAAGCTGGATGTTAGTGATAATGAGCTGGGTCAGTTATCAGGTGTGAGCGACAGTGTGAGGGAGCTTAAGGTTGCGGGGAACTTTTTGAGCTCAATTACGCATTTTGGCCATTTGGTCAATTTACAGTATTTGGATATCAGCAGAAACGGGTTGGAGAGTTTAGATGGGCTGAGGAGTTTAGTCCATTTGAGGGAGGTGAGGGCTGATGATAATGTGCTGGAGAGTGTCGAGGGTGTAGTGAGGATGGAGGGGCTGTGTGTGCTTAGGGCTAGGAGGAATAGGCTGGTGGCGGTCGATTTTGGGAAGGCAAGGATGTAAGTTGTTTCTCCATATACGTCTCAGGATATTTAGAACTAATTTTGATACTGTAGGCACCGACTGACAGAGCTCGACCTCCGCGGCAATGCCATCTCGGACATCACTGGTCTCCAAAACCTGCCTGCCCTCATCAACCTCAATCTTGACCAAAACAACCTAGACACGTTGCACCTCCCTGCTGCTACTAAAATGGATACGATCCGCTGCGTAAAGTTGACACAGAACTACTTCACAACCTTTGATGTCACACCCTTCCCCAACCTCCGTATCCTCTATATGGATAATAACCGTCTCCACACCATCACTGGCCTGACTCGCGCCAAACACCTTGACGCCATTTCCGTCCGCGAGCAAGATCACGAGCTTTCACTGAAGCTCGAGAGAATGTATGAGGCGCGGAAAATTTACATGTCTGGTAACCCGCTGCGAGAGCTGTCGCTCAAGCTCGACTTTCTGAATCTGCAGTACCTGGAGCTGGCGAGTGCACAGTTGACTGTGCTTCCGAAAGACTTTGGAGAGCTACTGTGTAACACTAGAGTCCTGAATTTGAACAATAATGCGATTTCGGACCTGAAGCCGTTGTTGGGCATTATCAGATTGAAGAAGTTGCTCCTCGTCGGGAATAGAGTTAGGAGCGTAAAGAAAATTGCATCTGTCCTGAGCGGGTTCCCGAGTTTGAGTTATCTGGACCTCAGGTGAGTTTTTTGTTATAAGGATTTGGATCTTATTTATACTGACTTAACTGTGTTACAGGATGAACCCCCTCACCATTGGATTCTACCCGCCGTCATCCGTGCGCAAAGCCATAAAGAGCGCAGAGGACCCGGATGAGTACGCTAAAGACCCGTTCACTATGATGCCTGCGGACGAGAGCATCGATGCCACGTTCCAAGCCCAATTGGATATCGATTCTGCGGTAGTCAGGCGTACATATGAGATCACGATTGGGAGACGCTGCCCGAGGATGAAAGAGCTCGATGGTTTGCCGTATAATAAAGAGGGGTCGATGAGAGAGGACGAGGTGTGGGCTGAGTTGGGGAGAAGAGGCTTAGTGAGGATAGAGCCAAAGGCGGTGGAGAAATAGGGATGAGGCAAAGCTCTTTGCAATATGGGAGCTATGGGTACCCGCATCTCTCCACATTCTTTTTTTTTCTTTTTTCTTTTTTCTTTCTTTTGGTTTCGTTTAACCCACTACTGCAGGCTCCGTTCACTCCCTGTGAGCTGCACTGTATTCTGTAAAAGTGGCCATTCTTTTTCTTCTTTTTGTACCATTATGTAGTAGTTACACTTGTTAGATTCCCCTTTCTGCGTATTTTCTTTACTCATTCTGTATCGGGTCTATTGTCTTTGTTTGTTGGGGTAGTTTGGAGTTTTGGGGTGGTAACGTTTTGTTATGAGGTATATGTCGTTACGAGTTTTGTGTTCTTTTCTTGGTTATTTTTCGATTCTACATACATTACCTTAAGCATTACTTAGTTTAGTTACCTTTACCTGTATACAGTATACATTTTCTTATGGCAATGCATTATGATGCTACTGTCAACAGACAAGTTCCGTAATTGAATGGATCATAAAATATCACTCGGTCTCTATTTACTTGAATCAGCACTGGATTTGTTCCTAGCGAGCCGAGCCGGCTCGAGTTCTCCTTCTCCCGAGTCCAATTGAGCTCGAGCCATATTCCCGAACTCGAACATTCTGAGCCTTCGTTTGCACAGTACGAGCCAGCTCGAAAGTGGGAAAGTTACTCTGCCAATATACCTTCCCCTCCAGCCCTAGCGTGCTCGGCCCTAACCACCTTAGCTAACCCCCGCCTCCCCTTCGCGAAATCCGCCACAGGATAAGAAACCACCTGAAGATTGAGTTGAATTCATTCTATATGCCAACTATCGTCTACCATCACCATCTACTCTGGCCGGGTGTGCGTTGGTCTAGCAGCCCCCGCACGGTAACCCTTGACACAAAGGAAACTAGAACTTGGAATATCAGAAAGCCTCGCCCACTTAGCTAAATAAAAATGTTCCTCGGTCTACAGCAGGCAGTAGAAATCAAGCGAGGTAACTGCACTTAAGTGGTAAGGCAAAGGGTTTAGATGATACTTATGGGAACAACAATCGAAGAATGAAACCGAAGGTAAGAGTGTGGGGTGATAAGACGAAGAAACTTAGTCACACCAAGCAAACCTAAGAAAAGGAAGCGAAAGAGAAAGTTGTTGTTTAGACACCTGTAAGTTCTGCGCGTGGAGTTCGGAAACTAAGAGGTGAAAGGTTGTTCCCAAAAAGGGGGAGTCAGTGGGGTGGTGGTAGCAGTGGGAAAGAAGCTAGTGGTATAAAAAGCCCCAAAATTATTGTCCCTGCAGCCTGTGTCCACTCATGTATAAGACTTGCAGAATTGTCCGTATGCATTTGACTCTCAAGTAGTGATGCTGCTAAATGTGTTTCTACTCTCTAGCTAGGGATCATGCTTCGCTCTAGATCTGCTTGAACAAAGAGAGATCGAGACCCCACTTCGAGATCACCCTGGGGCGTGTTCATGCATGTTAGCATTCCATTCCCTCACTCTTCAATTCGTTCACCATTCCCCGGCGGGTGCTCACAAAATTCATCCATTGCGCAGTATATATATCCCACCAGCCGTCAATAATCTATCATCCCGTTGCACAGCTTATAAGTGGCCATCGATCATAGTAGGTAATTAACATAGGCGCCAGGCACCGGAGCGGAAAACCTATCCACGCCCATATCAAGCGGTGGTGTTTGGTCCTATAGATGTATGCATTATATGTTAGTGTGAGAAATTCGAGGACGCATGATATTTAGCTGCGATATCTCATAGCTAGACTCGCCTCTACCCACCCCAACCTAACCTATCTTCCTTCTATGGGATGCAATATTTGGTCTCGGCCGTACTAAGTTCTCGCTCCATTTACTCACCGTTTCGTGTACACGTATACGTATGTACTTAGGGAGCCGTTAGTAGTGTGTGTGATGTATATGTATCTACGTAAACAGCCCCGGGGAAGATGATGTCTGATAGAAACGTGGCTTTAGATCAAATATCTAAATCCAAGGAATCAGTCTCCTAATAGAACCATCACCGCTGGTAAGTATTATCGGACTGTCTCGTACAGCTATTTACAGTGATGTTGGGGATTTTGTCCTTCTGGTTGTCCCATATTGCAAAGCACTTTAGCTCAATGAACCGGGCACAAGTTCCGCCGCCCCGCCCCGCCTTACAACCGTAAGAAACCTTTTTTTCTAGAGATAACCTTAACGTTGATAGACGTTGTGAGAGGATTGTTTTACAACTGTCGGAGACGACCGTTTTATCCTTCAGGGGTTGGGGTTTGGGTTCGGTTAAGATGCATGCATAGGTATTATAATTAATATAGCCGTTTATGGACCCCTTTCATCTCTTTTGAGCCAACCCAGCTCTTTTTTCGAACGATATACGTTACGGAGGGCTATCGCAGTGATCTGCTCATATGATGGAACATTGTGGGGTGTTTGAGATTGAGTTTTTAGCTGTAGCTATGTAGGCGGCGCCTTCTGGCTTGTATTGGCCTTTCTGCTTATTGTTCTCAAACTCCCGGCCTCTTACCAACTATTACCCTCTCTTCTGTGGCTGGTATTCCTTAATTCTTCCACTCCCCCCATCGCCTTTAAATTTTATTTTTATTCGGTCTTTCTCTTCTTTTTTACTTTTTTTTTCCTTTTCTCACCCCCAGGTCAAACTCACTGGCTGGCTAATTGTGCAGTTAGTTGAACCACGACTATTGCTACAATACAGTGGGGATAAACAATCATGATATTGGCAAAATATACTACTGACGCGTACACCTTTTTAATATAATTCCCCTCTTCTACTACATGAATATCGTTATCATTTCCACTTTCACAGTTTTCTTCCTGAGTTTTTTCGTTCTTCTCCCTTTACTGCTGGCACATTCAATATCCACGTTCTTTTTACCCCCCCTACCACCGCAGCCTCACGTTTAAACCCTAATTCACGCCCCTCCTTGACAGGTCAGGGTCAAGGGTTTTTCTTTCCTTTTCAAAGACATGCTTGTCGGCCTTGGATCTTCGAGCTGGGCTCTTGGAATCGCTGTTGCAGTGTTTACATTTTTCTCTGGTGTCACTAGTATCTTCCTGTTGGTTATTAACATCCGAAATGGGCAGCACTACAACTGTGAGTGCTATTGAATCACTGCTACAACCAATACTTCTTGTTGGCTGACTTTGGCTCAATTATTTAGACGTATCAATATTAGCCATCGTTATTGCTTTGGGGAATTTCAACAGCTTTGTGCAGCAGATTTATACTCTTCTGCATTTCTCAGACCTCATGCTTGAGGCGTTCCGATTGGCGACACGGATGTTTCAATGTAACGGAAATGAGCCATTCCCTCTTTTCCACACAAACGACAAATATGTCTCTGCCTTCCTCTCACTTCGTAAGATTCTCCTGCCTATATCTCATCCGCACCACACATATTAACTCTACTGCCCGAACCAGAAATGTATTTTGTCAACTCTCAAGGCCTCCTCTTTTTCTACTGGTCCTTGATACTCTTCTCCTCATCATGGTCTCTCAGCCCCGTCTGGTGGAAAAACCAAAAAATAATCATTGGTACCAAAATCTCCTGCTTCGCCCTGCCCGCAATCCAACTCGGTCTTCTGCGCCTAGAGTCACTTCGCGATAACGACCTTGCGCAACTAATACTCATGAACTGCATCAGTAAGTATACGTCCTCCCATTTCATACAAAAATAGATCTCCCTTCTAATAACTACCCCCCGAAAGTCCTTGTAAACATCGGCATGGGATCCGTCTTCCTGGTTCTCACCCTTGTCCATGTTATTACCATTCACCGTCAAGCAAAAGGAGCCACCGAGGTCCGCCTCTCCCGCACTTATGACGGAGTTGTCGAGTTCCGCCCGCGGCTCGACCACACCCTTGAGAAGGGCAGAAAACGTACTGGTCTCGGCCGTCTTTATATCGGCTCTGATGGCTGGCTTATAGCGCGCATCGCGCTGGCTTTTGTCATGGTCGAGGGCCTGCAAATCTACATGATAGTGATGCAGATCTTCTTCCTCCAGCGGTGGGCACACTTCCGGATAGAGTGGTCGCGAGGACTACTCGAGCCTCTCATTGACCAGAGCGAGGAGTTTGCCAATATCTGCTCCCCGATCCCGGGCAGCTTCACGGGGTATCTGTTTTTCTTTGTGTTTGGGACGACCATGGAGTCGCGGGCAGAAATGCGCAAGATGAGAGTTGCGGTGGGGCGGTGGTTCTGCGGGAGTAATACTTCTAGCAAAGGCGATGAAGAGGGGCGCCCAGAAGTGCAAAAGATAGGGTCTAGCTTCGAGCCGGACGCGGAGTTTCTGGGGATGTCATCGCCGACGGGGACTGTGTCATCAACGCTGGCCTCTGATGGGACATCACCTGGGCTATCTTCGCCGTTAGCTTCTAAATCGCAGGGACTAGGCTTTGGTTTCCAGTTTGGACTGGAGGCGAATAACGGGTTGCGGATATATACGCCGCCGCAGATCTTGACTGTACCTGTTACGCCGACGCCGCCGCCGCAGCTTAGTTTTGGAGAGGGGCAGCATCAGACGCATCACTACCCGAGACGAAGTTCTGGCTGAGTTAGCGGATGGTGATTGTTTATATATATGTGCGTGTATGTATGTGTGTATTTTTGTTATGTTGATGTTGCTTTGAGCTTTTTTTCCTGCATTTTTGATCATTTCTTTGTGTTGTGGGATCAGATATCATCTGTGGGGTGGTGGATTGACTGTGCCAAGATAGTAGACGGACTAAATGTTTTAACTAATAATAGTTCCCAAAAGGGGTAGTTTGGCACGCATTATTAGTTAGTAGTCAATCACAATACATCACTCGTTGATATATGTTCCGGGCCACTGGCGGATACCTCGAATTCGTGAATGGACTGCTTTCTCCATACACCCGGGACCGGACCGGTCCGTTGGCGAATGGACTGGGCAAAAGGTAGTGAAATTGACTCTTGGAACCAACACCCGAATTGCCTGGGGTCTATCAGAGGCCATATGGCTTTACTAGAGGTCATAGGGCCCAAATAAGAGCTTGCAAAGGTGCCTGAGGCTGATAGAGGCCACAGGATGTCACTGAAGCTCGCTAAAGATCTTGAAGGTGCTAATTATTATTCCAGACTCGATATTTAGGGTCGCTAGTCTTTTTTAGAGGTCTCTGGTGATTGTAGTAGTCATCGGGGTTAATATAAATCATTATTAGTTATCAGGTGTTGATATTAAAACAACAGTTTCCCCAGGCTGTTCGTGAATAGACTGGTCCTGTCACAGATGTATGAGCCTAGGAGTCCATTCACGAATACCTCAAGTCTGTTCGTGGATTTGTCAAGTCCATTCACGAATCTGTCAAGTCCATTCACGAATCTGTCATATTCGCGAATGGCCCGGAACATATAGGCACGAATCATTAATCAAAACTTAGGACTGCCAAAACAATAATCATGCTAACTACTTCATACATAAATAAGCGTGTAGTTGACGTATCACTTTTTAAAAGACATCATGTTACTCTCCAATTCTAGAGGGGGGAAAAAAATAGATACGTAAAGACAAGAACACCATCCAGGCCGCGGAGCCAGTGCATTGAGAATGTCAGAAGGGGGAGGGGGGAAAGGATGATCCTCTATTAATGAGGCAAGTGAAAGTAAAGGAGAAAAAAATCCAAGAAAAGTAGAAATGAATGTAAGTACTTGTCGTCACCATCCTTATGCCGCCAACCAATTCCTGCACCCAAACCAGAAAGAAAAAGAAAATAAATCGAAAGCCACCAAAAACACCTCATGAAAAGTTAATCTCGCCCTATTTAGCATACAAAATTATGGTTCGCGCAATATATAAAGTAACAAATAAAGACGGGGGCATATTCTCCCCGATGAAATAAAAGAAGAGAAAGGAAAAGAAAATCGTGAAGAAAACAAAAGAAATGAATTTTTTTCTAAAACTGGTTGATACTTCCAATAGCCTCATTAGATTCTCTCAGCTGGTAATGGTTATTGTGACCATGCCCACTGTGCCCACTATGTTGACTGCCAAGGCTAGGGCTTGCCCCATGCCCCCTCAACTGCTGCATCTCCATCTGATAGCGTTGTGCCTGCTGCTGATTATAAAGATTTTCTTCCTCCCAGCGGAGTGCCGCTTCATGGGCATCGAGACCGATCGTGATGTGCTGCTCGTGGTCCCGTAATACCCCGTCAATGGGGTTCATGTATTCCTCCTGTCTCTGCCTTCTTACCACCCTTTGCTGGCCCTTCCGACCAGGTTGGCTGGGAGCAAGGCTCATATTCAACAATGGGTGCACCGGGAGATCGTGTGGCAATGGCGGGGGTGAGTCTGGGGGTAGCTGAGGCGGGAGTTTGCGGATCAAGGGTTTGAAATTGGGGTCATTGGAGTTGTTACGCGAGTGGTTTCCCCCAAAAGGAATGGTTGGAACATCAGGAAGAATTGGTTTTCTGGTCGCGTCGTAATGATCGGGCTCCTCATAATAATGGTTCTGAAGGCGAAGAACAGTCTCCTTCGTCGTGCGGTTAGTAGCTACTTGGCTGTCGGAATCTGCACGTTCCCTCAGGGGGAAAGGGTTCGCAGATGCAGCACGAGGAGGCGGCGAGAACGTTCTTGGATTTGGGGTCAGTCGGGGGCCGGGTGTCATTTGTCTGCTAGGAACCTGTTGGAATTTTGGACCCGGAGTGTTCTGCCTAGGACCTGGTGTGAATGTTCTTGGGCCTGGCGTTACCTGCCTACTAGGGCCTGGTGACATTGTCCGAGGGTTTGAAACAGCGCCCAGCGTTGATATAGCCGGCGACATCGCTCTCCCAGGCTGCATAAATGGCTGCGGTGGTGGTGGTGGCGGTGGTGGTGGTGCAGGCGCCATAGCCATAGACATGGCAGGTGAAGCAGATCGGGGAGCTGGTGCCGGTGAACCGGCGCGAGATTCGCTCCCAAACTCATTCCTCCATGCACGAGGGTTAGGAGGAAGGCCACGGACTGAAGCATTCCGTTTCATCATCCCCGAAACCGAAGGCGCACGTTCCAAAGCTCCCGCACGTTCAAGCGCATCACTCCATTGACGCATGGTGGCTTCTGAGCGGGACCTCCTAAGACCACCGCCTTGTAGACGATTTCGGGATTCCTCTCGAATTCCGCGGTGGGCTTTACGGGGCTGCCTTTCTTCATATTCCATCTCCTTGGCCATCTCTGCGTACATCAACGCCTCTGGTGCCATCGGGAGTGGACTAGAGGGTGATCGCATATGGGAAGCTTGTCCGGGAATTCGCAGGTGAGACCTACCTCGAGACCTTGCCCGGGATGCCTTGTTTAACGGTGGGCTAGCGGTATAATACCTCTCATCATCGAAACTGTCTTCCTCTTCTTCGCGGTAAAACTTGGCCTGGGAAGACGAGGGGAGAGGAGTAGAGGGGGATCTATACAAAGATCCTCCAGGTATCCTCAATTCTTCACGACCTCGGCTTCTTTGACGGCTCCTCTGACGGCTCCTTTGGCGACTTGGCTGGCGGCTTCTCTGGCGGCTTCTCTGGCGGCTTCTAGAAGCGACACGACGTCTCGAAGGCTCTCGCATTGGTGGCGGCGGGCTGGAAGTATAATATCTTTCGTCCTCAAAATCGGCCTCATGCAAATCTTCCTCCTCGACATCCTCCCTGTAAAGCCTTGCCTGAGGCGACATTGGGAGTGGACTAGAAGGTGACCGCATCAAGGGAGTTTCTTGGCGGGCTGCTTGCCTACCTCTCCTATCAGTGCTTTTCTCTCTATTGTTTCGGCTCCTATCCCTTCCTCTAATATCGGGAGATTCTGCCCGGCGCCTGCTTCCAACCCGAGGTGCAGCACGCTGAGTATCCATCCTCTTATTATTTACGTTGTCAAGCAAGGTGAGGAATCCATCCAGGTCGTTGGCTTCCGCTCGTGCTGGGGGTCGACCATTAGCAACTGGGGGTGTATTACGAGAACCAGTACGCTTGTGTTTAGAACCGCCTGACGAAATTGGAGGTGTAGCTTCACGGATTACGGTATCCATTGGAGGCCACTGGACCGACTGAATGGCCAATCCAACTGGCTTTCGCGAAGCGTGACCACCTTTACCACCACTATCTCTATTATTAAAGACATCTGAGGGTGGGGATGGAAGTGCGCCGGTAGGCGCCTGCGACGTGGGTGGAGCGGGATTCTGCGTGTAAGCCAATGCAGCCAATGTACGAGGGGGTGGAGGTGGAGGAGCAGGCGCCATTGCCAAGGAAGGTGGTCTAGGGGTGACTGTTCTCGATCCAGTGCCAGGAGCGGGTGTATTGTTGTTGGACCTATGTTCACCGAAGGAGACTGGTCCTCGACTTTCAGAAAATCCCATTTCATTACGCGCTTCAATTGGGGACGAGATATTCATCCCTCTTTCTGCCTGTGATGGAGGCAAAAGCTGCTCGATTGGAAGATTAATCTGCTGGCTGGGTGTATCAGGTGACATCTCTGTGACAGGTGGAAGCTTTGCTGCACCTGGAATCACAGTTTTTGCAGACATGGCAGCGAAGGGGTCGCGACGTTGCCAGTGACTTCCCTCAACTGGTGATATTGCAGACATTGCAATTGGGGTTGCGGCCACTGGTGTTTTACCTCTATCGCCGGCCCAAGCAAAAAACCGTTGAACTCCTCCCATTTTCCCTTCATTGCTTGGCGAAGTAGTGGCAGAACGAGCAATTGGGTCAGCTGCAGGTGCTGGGAAAGCAGTAATCAACTTTAGAGGAGAGTTCTTTGCAGTCATCCGTAGTGATGCTTTGTTACTTGGGGCGCTGATAGAAAGACTACGGACAAAATGCTGGATAGACTCTGTCTCAGACTTTGACCGTGAGTGAGAACGGGACATTGATGCGGCTGCCGGCCTCTCTGCGGATGCCTCAGAACCAGCACAGGCAAAGCTTTTAAAAAATCAGCAAACAGAGTGATAGTTTATGAAGAGAACAAACTTACCAACGGGCAGCAAGTGGTGCATCTGCATTCTCAGCACAATGTTCACCCCACTTCCGAACCAGTTGAGATTGTCTCTTCCAGTCTTTTTTCCAGAGAAGGGAAACAAGTAAAACAGCCTCCCTATGATATCACTGTAAGTCTCTCTTTGTATCATCCAAATAAATTAGCTCCAACTTACATATATCGCTTGTGAGAAACATAAACCTCCACTGCGTCGTTCTTATCCCCAAGGGCAAGAAGACACAGAACTGCCGTATGTAAGTCGCCTCTTTGAAGGAGTCGCATGACAAAAGCACGGACAACATGGTTCCACGACTTTTGACCCCCTGTGGAGTTGAGCCTCTATGTTAGCCATGAGATAGCCCACAGAATGGGGATGTATATTACCCATAGCACTCAGAGCAAGGAACATCCAATCGCCAGCTACCACGAAATCGGCGCCTAGTAAAACTGACAACGAATTTTGGTCAAGGTCACCAAGCCACATTCGTAGCATGATGGCACTCATAGACCGAGAATCAACAGAATCAACTATTGAAATACGTTAATCATCTAATGGGCATGGGATGAAACCTGGTCATCTACTTACGCTGATCTGTAATCAGATCCTCAATATCTCCCTTCCAACCGAATATACAATATAACATTTCCTTGCGGTGATCGTCCTCGGTCATTTTTCCTTTAGGAGACCCTACACGCGGGCTCTCGTATGTAGCGGTAACAAGTCTCGCTCGGAGGCCACTAAATGGATCCTCATCTTTGGGCGGGCTTGCACCCTTTTCTTCCTCTGCTGGACTCTGGTGAATCTCTTGTCGGAGGGGGTGAGGATGACGGCCTGGAGAGTTCATTGAAGTTGATCCAATCGAGGCTTTTCGACCAGGCGAGATGGTCGTAATTGTAGTGTGCGAGAGTTCACTATGATCACCGCTAGATCTTTTTGCACTCATGATAGACGGGGATGTTGAGCCATTGTGGTTATGACCCTTGCCAACGCTATCACTTGAGGATCTTGAGCTGATAGACGCCGCTCTAGGAGCTGTATTTGAGATACCAAGACCGCCGTGTTCATGTTCCATCATTTCAAGTTGTTCCAGCTCATGAGCTATTCTTCCAAACGGTGACATGACTGCTCCTGCGTAATCCTCCTCGTGCTCCTCCATCTGATGGAAGACACCGTGATCGTGGTATTGCTCCTCGCCCTGCTGCATTATTACTCCTCCGACCGATACTGGAGGTGAGGGTGGAGGAAGGCCTGGAAGGTGTTGTTCGTTGTGCACATAAGTAGGCGGGTATAAGGAGAACTGCTGCACTGTATGATCCTCGCCGAGAGTGAAAAGAACACCCTTCGGTCCATATACTGTCATGCCGAATACTTTTGGAAATGTTGGCACATTTTCCCAAGTCACCTTCTTTGTCCTTACATCCCATATTGTAGTTTCACTAAATTATCAATAAAAGGTTAGCCATCCTGCACCATTAACTATAGGCACTAAGCTCTAGATATACATACCCATCGGAGTACTGCACGATCCGCCCATTTCTAGACCATGCCATCCAGTTATCTCCCCTCCTATTATTGCTATCAGGCTTTTTAAGGATTCTAACAACCCGAGCTGGTTCGTCTGATTCCAAGCTTTTGGGTATGCTCCAGACTCTAAGATCTCCACCCCGAGTCTGAGTTGCGAGCATATCCGATTTCTGTCGGGAAGATGATGCATGCCATGCCAATGCTGTGATAGGTGAAGGCTGCAACGAAGTTGTCGTAAGAGTGTGAAGGATAGTAAATGCGGGTGAAAGCGCCGCAACCAATATAGAGCCATTCGCGTATCTTGGAGTAACATTAGAACCTACTAACTTCCATGACTATTGACGGGTACTTACCCCAGAGCAAAACTCTTGCAATCTGCGGCGGGAGCTATCGAACACAATGGATCGAAAATTGTTCTGGCAGATATCGATTCAGACCTCAGAGGATCAAATAAGGTTACGTTTCCCATGGCATCACCTATAAATTCGTAAATGCAGGAACAGTCAGCTTGCATGCATCACTCAAAACTCTAAATGTTTCATGGGGTGGGTGATGAACGTGCCGAAAGCTAGATTCCCGTTTTTCATCCAAGCAGCGGAAGTAATATGTTCAAATGAGGCATATCTTGCAATCTCATGCCCTGTTCGTGTGTCCCAAACAATCGCCAGCTTCGATGCATCCACCGAAACAACCCTGGAACCCTCTTCTCCTTCGTTGTCGCTTGTATTGTCTACCGCTATCATGGTCACATCCTCCAAATGCCCCTCAAAACGTCTTTCCAAAGCCAATGATTCGTACTGAAGACACAATATCGAGGTGCCCTGCGCGAAAAGAAAAAGGTGAGGTGTAGCACCGCATGGCCCTAGGCCGTTACTTCTTGAACCTCCAACACTTCTTAAAGACATTGGCGAAGGTAATGGAGCCGATAGTGCTGAGCTCACAGAGCCTGAGCGCGAACGGGGGTGCATTGTAGAGTAAATCGCACGAGGCACTATGCGAACCGTTGCTTCGTAAGTCAAGTTCGCTTCAACAAAATAGAAACTGCATAGAAAGGTAGGGAATCAACGCTACTTTTGTAGGCACGCAGGGCAACAGCGAGATCAATAGGTTATTATGTAGTTTTTCCTTCACACACTACAACACAATGTGACCGCCCAGGCGAGCGGTTCGTCAAGGTAGGCGGCAGATGGGCGTCAGGCTGTGTGAGGGGGGAGTGGAAAAAAAAAAGTAAGGGACAGGTGGTGAGAGAAGAGGAAGAGGAGGGTGGAAAATATGGAAAAGATAGGATTTCCAAGAACCAACAGAACAGATAGCTCAACTATGCCGCTACGGAAGAATTATCATGGGGCTTTTTTCGGCTGCAAAGGTTCGGTAATAGGCCAGCTCTGGGTAAGTGATGACAGAATTAGGGAATTGTGGATAAAAACCGAAATAAAATATCAAAAACCCGCGTGGACAGCAGGCTGAGAGGAGAACGAGTTGGGGACTAGGTCCCAAGTCCAGGTACTCTGTCGTCGTCCCCTGCAGCCGGTGGCTGAATATGGCCTATGTAGAGTATTCCCTTCTTGCGATTCTGATTTGTTCGTGTTGGTTTTGCCTTCGTCAATCCTAACTATTGTTGGAGATGAATTCGTCCCATCCAGCCAAATTCTCAGTGGGTTTTCCATCAGACTCATCAAAGCTAAACACGCTCTACCAGCATACAGGGAATCCCAACTTTTGATAGGACAAGACCCTTGAAGCGAGAGGAGCAAAAACACCATCGCACCCAATACTTATGATGGGGCGCACGAGATGCACATTCCGCCCGTCTTATTGAGTGCTCTACATATTATTCGATCAATTGTAGGTACCCTCGAATAGCCTGCATGAAGTATTGGAACCCTTGTGCATGAAATGCCTAGGCTGGGTAGAGCACGACTTCGTAGTAGGTTCTCCAATCACTCGCTGCAGGGGGGCGAGAGATCTCAATTCGTGGGTATTGGCTGAGAACGATTGCCCCTCATCACTGAGGCGGAGGGGAAAACAAGATGTTGATCTTTTTGCTGAAGTCCTGTCAGCCGGCAATCACAAATTGAGGTTGGTGAGATTGTGAGCGGCCACCAGGATTGGGCATATGCACGTGCATCCTGCTCAAGTAGACGGCCGCTACTGCACAACACGCAGGTGCAAGGGTTAGGCTTAACAATACCGTATGCAGTCAATTGGCTCTAAGCCCATGAGCGTTTCCTTTCGTTCTCTCCGGAGTTGCATCAGATTCACCGCCATTTAGCGAGCAATATTTATCGATAAGTGTTTGTACCTACTCTAGTAGTGTAGTACCCTCTTTTGGAGCAACGTCCTTTCCCCTTTCATAGCTCAACCGACATCCCCCATATTAGTGTTTCCAAGCCAGCCCTGTCAAATGCACCCCGGCCCGTTTCTAATCGCGGAACCCATAAAGAAAAGGAAAATAGGCATAGGTAGCCAACATCGCATCATCCCTCACGATCGCAGGCCCTGTTAGTTCGATAAATAAGCGCTGAGCGTGGTCCGTGGTGCGCCAGGGTGGGGGTGGGGGAATTTGGAAATTAGATGAGGTAGGTGTTATTGCTGGACCTTTTAATATATGGTACCTTATGACGGTGGTTTACTCTAATTACTTTACCAGGTATTATTACATTGGTACAGTACGCTGTACCTATATGTACTTGGGTACATAAAGTACGCCCCTCTATGTGAACATTAATTCCCACTGGGTACATACAATACATGTATCCAAGGACATGTACCAGATATAAAATGACTGACCTATTGTTTGGCTCAGTAACAGCCACCACAAATCTCAATCCCTGGTACCCGACTGAGGCCATGGAATTTGCCTGTTAAGGAGGGAAATAGTTCTTTTCGACCAGGTGGATCTCTCTGGCTGAACGGTTCATGTGTGTGTTTTTCTAGGCAGCTCTTTATCTTGTCTGCTTTGTACATGTGTTTTTAACTTCTTGCTGCAGTGATTTCCCACCCCGAATGGTGCGTGCATGCGCCGAAGCAATTTCTGGCCAAGCAGATATAGATAGGCCTGTGGTCAACCCATACCATGTCTTTTCCCGACAGGCTTTCCAGTTGTTCTCGTGCAGGCTTGCCTGTCCATACAAAGCATCAGCGACACATTCCACCACGTCTTCCTTACTCTACGCAGCCCTACCCTACTCACCTTTTAGCCCCGACCTTGACACTGGGAAGTAGTGGTGGTGGTGCAGTATTTGGTTACGGGTGCCACTCAAGTCACTTGACCCCCTCCCGCCGAATTTCCCGCGGGGTTTTGGACGTCTGCATGGTGGTTCGAACGAAGTGAGTTGGAAGTGTGAGGTCCCAGCCTATCGACGTTAGCCTCCAACCGCAACCAGCCTATGTGAGCAACATCATAAACCAACACAAGATGAACCATGAACGATAAGACCACTGTCACCACATAACACTCCATTTCTTGAGGTTGCTGCCAAGCGGGAAACTTATTGTCGATTTCGCTATCTTTGCCTATTCGTCATTTTTTTGCAAATTCCGGCAGGTAAACTTCCGTAAGACAACCACCCCCATGAAGTCCCCCCGGATGCCTGTGGAAATCCTGGCTAATCACACGTGGTTTTATGAGATATCTAAGAATTATCTGAGCGCGGGCTGCGCGCAAGAACCACTTCTTGCTCATCACATAGAAGGCACGCAATTGCCTCGGGCGGAACAGCTGCCGGGTATCTTCGCAAGAATGCAAAATATGGTAGCGAATATTAATGCGTCCTGTAAGCAATAGCAAGACTGACTATACGTCAACCCTAACCCATACTTTCAAAGAAGGTCATAGTTTTCGTGAGCTGAACCGAGTCATTCTTATCATAAGGCAAAATATCATAAATAGGGACTCGTACCCCGGTATGCCGTCTTTCAATGCACGAGAACCCTTTTGGCGCAGGCTTAGTACTCTCGTTCCCACGGTAGAAACTGACCGAGATTGTCAGGACTAATGGGCAACTGACAACAAAGATCAAGAGCATTTTTCCCGAAGGAAAGTCAACTGTCGTGTTGGACGCTCGTGGTGATGCGCCCGTGTCTCCCGGGAAAGAGGGCGTCGATCACCAAGTTTCCTTAATGAGGAAGTCATATGTACACACACGTACATACCTACCTACTCCGCTCTAGCCGTTCGTATTCAAGTTTTTCGGCACAGAAACAGAACCGCTCACTTGCAGTGATCAAGTAATAAAAAATTGAGTTTCCAGTGTCATATTTCAATGTCAATTGAGATTGCGGATCTAGCTACCTACTCGGTCAAATTTTTTAAAGGCACCGCCATCGTACGCAAAGCTGGAAGATATAACTAGTCCTTTGTCTTGAAGTAAGTTTCAATAGTTAAATAAAACCTGTTATAACGAGTTGTAATGAAATTTGGGGTCCTGCAGATTCGAATATTGGAGATTGGAGCAAAAAGGCTGGACCGTAAACTCTTAATGATCTAGACCATACTCAGAGATTAATCTCAGAGTAGTAATCTTATCATTATTATGTACTGCTGAAACTCAAGCTGGTGATCGGACCTTTTTGTTTTTTCCTTCGATGGTTTGCCACAGATTTCCTCAGCGATGAAATATTCTAGTTAAGATCCTCGAAGTTCCAGAGGTCAGATCTAGAAGCTAGAAAACCGTTTATGAGCCTGGTGATACATCACTTAGACATTTGACTTTTTTCCTTACATGGCAGGAACTTCCCCTATTTTTTCTCGCAATTCCGGAGGAAAAAAACGTTAACGCCAGTTTATGTTGGGTCTTGGCCCTAACCAACTTCGCCGTCTTCAGCCGTGCGATTGGTCGAAATCTCAAAACTGATTCAAAACAGGTTAGACTAACTCTCTAAGGACGGGATGCACCAATGATGTGCGTTGTAACACCCATTCTCACTCGGCCCTGCACCAACTCTTTCGGCGTCCACTACAACCGTGCGCCGATGGTGTATCTCGCTAAGAATCAGCGGATCAGCAAATGACGGCGCTCCCGAGACCCAAGACGATTAACACTCATGCGACGCCTATTTTTATGGGACTAGACTGTTTGATTCAATTTCGACAACGTTCCTCTACACTTATGTTCTGTGTACGACAACAACAGTATCATCTTGGTTTTATTTTGTTTCGTCTTCGGTTGGCTACAGGTGATCCCCGTGCCTCCCACTGGCATAAGCTCCAGCCACCATCCCACGTGTGGGAATTCTTACCATCCCATCATCCAGAACATGTGGCTGAAAACAACATTCACCTATAGATTTGTCGTTGGTTGGGGTAAAAGCAGAGTTTAACCAACCGAGAAAGGTCAGTTGATATCTCTCCTGACTGAGGTTCCTGAGATTCGTTGCTTTATTTTAGATTCCAGAGCGGATAGGGGGATGAGTTAGAGACACCGGTAAAGAATATCATTTCATGCGATGTCCTATATATTGGGGGTACTCCAGGAATAGAAACGAGCTATGTATATGGTTTCTGATAGGATATTAATGAACAGATCGGGACTTTGGTCAGGTACGTACTAAGTGCATACTATAATCTATATGCACATATATGTGCTCTGTTCTAGGTGCTCCACCCAGAAGAGCATGAATCTACATCATTGCGTTTACATTTAGGCAGGACAAAAAAAACCGTACTTAGTAAGCTAGACTTCCCCACAAAAATGAAGGTTTAGGTTCATGGCTACATGTACCTACTTAACTTTAAATCTCGAAATTTGGAAGCGAAGGAGAATCCCTGGCCGAACATCAAAATTAGGTTTAGAAAGGATGAATTCAATCTGGGCAATATTTTGACTACCGCAACGGCTGATGCTAAGTCTCGTTGGTGGGGAGCCGTAAGCATGATTATAAAGTGCAATTGTTGTATCCTCTTCATAAGGTATCAACCGCCGATTTTAGATGCTTACAACCACGCGGATATCTACTTAGTTTTATC